GAACCACGCCGGAACCTTCCGTTGACCTTTTCTGACCAACACCAGGATCTACCAGGATAGCGAACCAACGTCTTACTCACCGAAACACCACGGCTGCCCACAATCTCCGGAAACTATGCTTCCACTATAAGACCTTAAAATAAGCCGTGACCGACTGTAGACACGTGTATTTTTAGGTTTGGCTTCAACTGTTTACTTTAGTTTATTTTAGTTGATATAGAACGGGCGGGTTGTTTAAAGTTAGAGGCCGTACATCGATATAATGGACGATTAGAACTATATATAATTACTTCCTGCTTGTCACTATCTGATCATTTAAACTATTAACATTGACGTTTACTTAATCTGTATCTTTACAGGGGCAGATAACCAGTCAATTAACTTTATTTCAAGCCTTCACTTTTCTCAGACATCAATATCACTGTGACGTGAAAACAGATAACTATTACAAGGGCATATAACTCGTTAATTAACTTTATTTGGGCTCAAACTAGCAATTATTTTCCCATTGACTTCAATGTTAAATGACTGTAACATCACAGGCTGTAGCTTTTTGCTCAACATTCCGTTGGTTCCAATTTTTATAGACACAATGGGACCACATTTGGCAATCTCCTCATCCTAATTTTGTAGAGGGTTGACCGTTTAGTTTTTTTGCCACGAGGATTTGATGTTGACTGGGGTGAAAATCTTCCGACACAATGATTGCTATTGCTCTGCAGAAAGACACTTTACAACCCACCTATCCCTCCGCTGTAATTATGATCAGTATTACCCAAAACTGCTATGAAATTGCAAATTTGATCCATTTTCTCTAATTCTAGACCAAAAAGTCAACCAAAATATGCAGGAAGAGGGGAGAAAAAATTAAGGGAAAAATTATCTATTTATAACTCGCACTACATTACTAGTCTCAGACCATTTCAAGCATGGGCGTAGATTTAGGGGGACGAGGGGGGACGCATCCCCCCTTAGAATCGGAAGGGGGGACGAATAGGTCTCTGCCCCCCCCCCTTATGATTTTGATCGCCAGGACAGATTTTCAGGTTTATATTCACATGATGGTGAGCTTGTTTTGGGGTATCTGGAACTGAATCGGGACTTGGAACAAGAATTGCCATTCTTCAAGCGCCAGTTTTCGGCCAAATCTATTTCACTTGTGCACTAAGCGTTCCTCATTATGTCACCTGAAGTGAGGCAGATGTTCCTTTCTGTCGAATCTCTTCTCGTCTCACACTGCTGAAACCTGCTAGTTCCTGCTCAGCCGAGCGATCCTTCAGCACTCTGCGCCGTATCAAATCTTGGCTGCACAACTCCATGACGCAAACCCGACTGAAACACTTGATGGCGTATGCGGTGCATAATGAACCCCAAGATATTCAAAAAGAACAGTCCTGATCGTAGAACGAACGTTTTTGGACGATTCACTTAACTTCATGAACAATTAATATTTATGCAGCTTTGATGTAGGTAGTCAATTTTTCCATAGTGTCGTCATATTACCCCTAGTTACAGGCTTCATCGAAATAAAATTGGTACAGTAAACTGTTCGTAATTATTTATTTCGTTTGGTAATGAAATGTTCCAGGTTCCAGTGTGTGCCGCCCCCCCCCCCCCCAAAGTTATGACAAATCCACGCCCTTGATTTCAAGCCTTTCTGTGACTGACATCAATATCCCCGTGACTTTAAAATTCGCCTTGTCAATTTACATAATTTACATCAACCCCCCGTCAATCGTGTGCGAGTCCTATGAACCCAATAAAAATTGACCTTAACTTCCGCAGAGGGTGATATCGCAGACATATGTTTTTTTAAGAAGCTTTCTAAATAAACCAGTAGTGTTTGAGAGGCAGGTAGGTCCAGCGTAGGAATGTGAGGGGGGGGGGGCGAACTATTGAAATAAAATATGTTAGTCCCCTAATGATGTTAAACCCCATTTATCCCTCTTTACCCCCTCCCCCGCGCCTTGTGTGTGATGGATAATGGCCGAAGATTGTCCATTATGTAAATATAAAGAACAACTGAGGGGCGTTAGCCCCAAATTTTTTCTTTGTATTTACATAATGGACAGTCTGAGGCTATTATCAAACTTAAAACATAGCACCATAGAGATACAAATAATGGATAGTTTTCTAAAACAACAAGCCATAAAATAATGGATATATTCTTAAAACAACATGCACATGCTCATGAATGCATGTGACAAAACACTCCAGTCATACAAAGCAAGCATACACAGACAGTCCAAAATATTCTACATGGAGACGACATGTTTACAACACAGTCGAAAACAAATATTAATAATGAGAATATATTATGTGATAAGCATTTGGATACCGATTACATTGGTAATGTACTCGATATGGAAGATAATAGCCGTAACAATTGTGATGTTCTTGATGTGGGGATAATAGCCGGAAAAGTTGTGATGGAAAGGCTGCTCAGAGAATGATTTAGATATTGATAATTTTCTTAATACTGTAGTTTTTATGGAGGGTACTAGCCGTCCCAATTTTGATTTAAAATTTAATATATACTCTGATATAAGTGACAGGACACAGGATCAAAGGCACAAACCAATTCACGAAATTCAAACTCAACTGTCATTATGGTGTAATGGTAGGGTGGCCCATGTACTCACAGAAATACAGTCCACCGCTGATAGTTCGAGACTACCACTGAAGCGTGCACATTCGCCGTGCCGAGACCAACTTTCTGACAGTATGATACTATAAATAGCCATGGCACGTGCAATTCTCTACAAATCTATCAACTATTACAGCCGTAAAAAAATTATTGTTGTCGATTTTGAATAGCAGTAAAATTAAGCTTCTTGGTTATTACAGCAGATTTAGAAATTACGTTCGTTTCATTTTTTAAATCGCTTTATCATTAACTGTACCGTTAAGAGCGGCATCTTTTGGTTTAGTACAAATAGTATCTCTGAATCACTCGGGTTAGGCAGGAACATGATACTAGCAGTAGTTTCATTTTACTTTTACAAGCGTCTTAAAACGATTGTTGAGCTACCTAACGTGCTTATTTCTAATTTCAATTTCTTGTTCTAGCTTACTGTTATGTTTCGTAAAAAAGTAGTCTTGATTATCCCGACCTGTCAATCAGACGTAGAATGGTCGATAGACTGGTTAAGCGAGACTAATTTCAAAACAAGGGCACGTAACCTATCTTTTACTCAAAAGTGTCTGGATGTTATAGACGACTCTTGGAACCAGTTTTCAGTCTATTATTTATACATGATTAATGGTCATAGCTTATTAAGTACAACATGATCGTTTATTTAGTGACTATAATTGTGTGAAACTGATTTGAGGCTTGGCATATATATAAATATTGTGGCGTAATTCTCGAGATATATGGAGATATTTATTTATGGTGGGTCACCCTAGTAATGGTGATATATTTGAACGTTTTTTATAATCGGATAAAAATTGTGACCTGCATAGGTTCCACAGGCTCAAAACACGTTTTTTTTTGTTCAATCCGGGGCCGCAATCCAGGAAGTTACGGTCCGATGCGCCAATATCGCAAGGAATCGATATCTTTGGATTATAAACACACATGTTCAGTTTCACCTTAATGGGCTAATAATTGTGACCTCTAGTGTGTACAGTCAGGGGCCGTAATCCACGAAGTTACGGTCCCATACAAGCCAATATCGAAAGGAACCGAGATCTTTGGGATATATACATATATTTCAAGTTATGACCTGTAGAGTGTCCACAAAGAAGATGTGAAAATGTGGGCGTATAAAAACGTATCATCGATCTAGTGCCGAACGTACTATTAAACGGATAAGTGGAATTCTTTATGTAGACAAACACGTGAAATCAACATTCGGTCATGTGACATTTCGGTAACTATGAGGTTTTAAAGTAATTTCATGTTCTGTAATTTAATTTGTTCAGAGAATAAATTATCACAAAATACATGTTCATTTTTCAGATACGTGTCTAGTATTATTTTCTTAAACAATCGTCTATTATTTATACAACTGTCCATTATCTATAAAACTGTCCATTATTTATTGAAAATAATGGACAGTTTTATAAATAATAGACGATTGTTTAAGAAAAGCGTACATTCTACTATATAATGGTTAAAAACATCAAAGGGTGACGTCATATCTATGTTTTAAATAATATTATTGTATCTTGAACTAATTATTGGATTCAAAGATTGTAGAGTTGTCATAATTATCTCACGCACTTATTGAATGAGTGATGGGTTGACACATACAAAGATTTATAATTTGGTAAACATTGCTGGTTCTATGTGAAAACAAAATATCACCAGGACACTTGTGATAGGATGATTAGCTTAGTAACCAATCATTATAATTAAATAATTGACAGGTGTCTCAAGGACACCGTGAATGATATAAGACTAATTTAGGTCCGATGGATTTTAGACAGCCGCTAGATATGCATTGAGAGAGGAGATACCATGTAGATACCGTTGAGGTTCAAGAGACTCCATCTGGATCAGAATGCCCCGTTAAGTCGTAGGAGAGTCGTATGATATTGTCTTTCCGTCAGTAAACTCGTTCTGCGAATTAAGGGTGGAGAGCAAGACATCTTAATTTTAAGTCTTGTAATGTAATCCGAGCTTGTAACCTATGTATCCAATGCTTGATATAAAATGTAGAAACGAACTGCTGCAGTGTTATTCCCGGTAGATAAACGTCTTAAAACCACTGAAATAGTAAGAAGAAAATACACAACTTGAAAATTGGTCCTAGCCGTAAGAAGAGAATTACAAATACTAGACGATCACAAGGCTCAAAAAAGTATGCGTCACACGTTAGATGTCGGGAGTTTTTGGCCTATTAGCTTTCCACATCTGACTAGCGACGCACTGCGCTGCATAGTGCTATATGTAATTGGTCAGAATTGCGAATTGTGCACAAACAGCAGGAAATGCATATTTGTTTCATAATTAAAGATAGATTGCTATAATAGCTAAAAACTAGACAATGAAAAGTGAACATCTTGAAAATCTCAAACAAATTACTTTATTCTGAGTGAAGTTAGGGCTGTTTGGAGAATAGCGGGGTCTCGATTGCCATTACTATCGTTATTAACATAGAAAACAAAGTCTCGATTATATAATTTTTAAATAAAGCATTAACCACCAATCGTGCTTAAATCCGTTGACAATCACGAGCATCCGATGGCATACGGAGTTGATTATGATCTTGTCAAGTTAATAAAAGTCTAATTAATAAACTATATATAAACAAAGACTTGCAATAATCAGATTTAGCTGTAGGATAATGCATCCTTAAAGTTTTCAGATTACGATGAACCATGTTAGTTAGGGTTTATGTGAAACCTGATGGTACGTCCCCATTCTGATAGAACAGAAAAGCATTTGGGTCCCCAGAGATTTGTAAAATGTCACAAGGGGTCCACGAGTGGACGAAAGACTGGCAACCGGTGGTATGGATTATTGATTGAATATATATTTACAGTTTCTTACGTGATGAAAAGTATCCCTCAGAATTGTATTCTCAAAAAATATAAAATGCTAGTAAAAATACATATTTATAATATCATCATTTTCTGTTCGATTTCTATACAAGCTTTATCTTTCTGTTTATCTCCTATGCCGCCATTTATATCATCATTTATGCCGCCATTTATATCATCATTTATGCCGCCATTTATATCCTGAAAATTACAATAGAACATATTAGTGTTACCCGTAACAAATTTAAACATGGCTTCCGCTTGTCCAGCTTCGATAATTTCTTGCTTTATTTCCATAGAATTGATCCCATGAAATCTCAGAGTTTGCGTGTTTTGTATAAATTTTGAAGTACTTTTAAAATGATATTATATAGAAGAAAACAATTATTGCATTTTGTGAAAATTATATAACACTATTTTCCATGTTTTAAAAAATAGGAAAAGTTTTAAGAGCTGAGGTTAGGGAAATACTAGAGTGACATTAGTGTTGGGTTCATTTCACTTGAGTAATTAAACGCTAAAAGAAAGTTGTAAATCTGGTCGGGTGAAACGTGAGTTAGGGTTACGGTTTCGAACTCAACCATAAAAAATGTGACTCTAGAGTGACCACGTGCTAAAAACGCGTTTTTTCGTACAATGAAGGGCCATAATTCAGGAAATTACGATCCGATATGCGTGAATATCGATAGGAACCAAGATCTTTGAGTTATAAACATGTACTTTAAGTTTCATCAAAATCGGATCAAAATTATGGCCTCTAGAGGGCCCACAACCTTGATATACCAGATATTTACACTATTTGCGTACGAGGGGCGGCCATTTTGTCCGGCATTTTTAGTCCGATTTTCATTACAATTTAACGGTGATATATTCAAACGTTTTTTTGGTTTTTTTTAAAACAGATAAAAATTGTTAGCTCTAGAGGACCACAAGTTAAAAACGCGATTTTGCGTACAATAAAGGGCCATAATTCAGATATCGAAGGGAGCCAGGATCTTTGGGTTATAAACATGTATTTTAAGTTTCATCAAAATCGGATCAAAATTATGACTTCTAGAGGGTCCACAAGCTAAACACGTGATTTTTCGTACAATATACGTCCACATGAAAATCTGAGCGTATAACGTATAAAAATTAAGTTATAACTGCGTGTCTCACCTATATCATATCCACTGATAATCTACTGATATGTAGACAGAACAAACTAATTATTATAAATGACCACTATTTTTAATTTCAAATAAATATATTTTCCATAGTAATCTTTTTATCTTTTTTCTAAGGTGAATATCAGATTAAATGCAGCAGGCAGGTTATTTCTTTTACTGACACAAACTCTAACACTACCACTAATTTTTTGTTCAGATCTCACTCAATTTGTTTAATTACAAAAGACAATTCTTTTCTAAAAATAGAAACGCTTTACGCCAACTTTTACAAATGAACATTAATATACACTCCTCCTGCCCCCTACCACCCGCGACCACCCAAAATTACTAAACCACCAAAACTTCTCTATTTTATTCATATCAGCACTTCTACGACAAGACCTCAGCTTAAATGTTAATTAACATCCCGCTGACCTACTTATACAGATGACACAGGTAATTATCGTTCGCTGAGTTCTTGGACTCAACCAGACTCGTCTTATAAAACAATTAGATTTGACGCTTAACCAATGTCGTTAACTGACTTGATATAAATGAAATGAAATTGGGTTTAACGTCCTACTTGTCTGCACCGACTCGGATAAAGAAGACGGGCATACGCAATGCCTGGTCACTTGGACTACGGTCAACTGTATATAGGTTTCTTTTACGTGCACGCAATGTGTACATGGGACCTCCTGGTGAACGAGCCAGCGTCTTTCTCACTGTGCCACCACGGCTCCAAATTTGTGTATGCTTGATTTTATTACCTTTATTTTTTGGATAAGCGACTCAGTCTGTGGTGTCTTCTGCATTTTGAAGTGGGCAAAATACTCGAGGTCAGCTTTCACACCCTCGCCATCCTCCATCTCACCGTCTAGCTTGCACCCCCGGACCAACAGAGAGTTCGACGAGCCTAGAATAACCAGACCTAAAAATCCCGTAGCGTGGGATGTCCAGTAACTAAGCTGTTCGTAGGAAGGGAATAAATACAGATCTTGGAGAAGCCAGAGTCCACGCCAACAAGACACAGGTGCCACACAAACAATCAATATAAACAAATCTTCCATAATAATTTTACATAGAGTCTGATTTTCTACATATTTTGAGATCCTTGCTATATAATTCTGAACACTCATCGTTGCTATCGCGACGCCATAGCCTATCACCAGAGAATAAAGTGCAGTGGTTGACATTTGATCCGGAAATAAACCGAGATCTAGAAAATGCCACAATCCTCTCCATACGACGATAATCAGAGAATGAATAATGGTGGCTGTAAAAATGGAATCTAATACGAACCATGGCATGTTCACCTGTAATACACAAATATAAGTATCTTGTACAGGACGTATCTTGTACAGAGAGATAGGGGCGGGGGTGGAGGGGGGGGCATCTTCAATGTCAAGGTTTCCGTGGAGGTCGCCATGTTTGATCTGAGCGGGTTTGTGTCACATTCTCTGCTTGTACGCTACTGTTCATTTGACCGCTATAACGGGTGATAACGTAGCCATAAGTTCGGGAATTGCGCAAAGTTGCTTCAGGAACAAAGGGGTCGAGGAAGACACGCAAACTAGGTCATTTCGGGACTAACATGTGGTTCAGTTTTATTTCAATAACACGCTTGTTGGTAGGGGTCACGCCACAATGATATACTATTACTTTATGATCTAATGCACACGCACGCGTTAAACGGGGTATCATTTTACTACGTCATTCTTCTCGTCATATTGCTAGTTTTAGCTAAACTACGTGATGGTTTGTATCCAGATATCATACCATCTATCCTAATGTTACAGAAGAATAAAGTCCCGGAGACCGATCCTTGTGGCACCCCAGCATACATGTTTCTGAGATCAGTGACTCTTCTACAATGACCACAGTTGGGGTTTTTCTGTAAATTACTGTAATATGGTCTTTGAATTATTCCAACAGACCATACCCAGGCCAGTCCAAAAACTTTATCGATTGCTGCCTACAAAAATAAAATATATGAGTGAACTTTGCATTACCCTTTCGCAGACATGGCGGTATATTAGCGTGAATGTGAGAATGTTATATTTGATCATCTCGTGTAAGAATTCGGTCAGTTGATGAAAAGGGTGATTTGTTTAGACGTTGACTATGATGATGATGATAGCGACAATGGTGACCACGACGATATGATTTGAAATTGATGGCTGTCGCTAATAATTAAACCATAAAGAAGTCATTTTACTTACTTTAGAATGGAATCGCGTAGAAACCTTGAAATATCGTGATCTGTAAAAATCTACATCAATCATAATCGGAACACACAAAACATTGATATATGATCGAAGTAGGAATAGAGCCAAGGCAGCGACACCAGTAATTATCGCATCGTTTAACCAGTTGATTTCTGTATGCAGATCTAAAAGAGTCCATAATCCGCGCCAATGACTAACGATAGAGACGGCAAATACGTACGTATATAAACGTGACGTAATCACATACGGTACTGGTGACAAGCCCGTGAAATACCTCTCTTGTAGAGACTGGGTTGCATACATGACGACGTTTATAATCAGTCCAGTAACAATACAGATCAAACAACTCAGTTCGGCATTAGAAGGGTATATATAGTAGGTCTCTAGCATCCAGGTTCCTCGCCAAAAAAGTACAACAAACGGTGTATGTAAAATATACGTAATAAGAACATCAATGACGTGACCCCTCGATATACAATTCCAGTCCTTCATGGCTTCGTTGACTCTTTCACACGATGTTTAAATTTACGGAGTCGTATAGATCTGGAAAATACATTTTAATCATTATTAAACATTAGCTATTTATACAGCGTTGTGCGTCTATATAGGATGTTACATGGTCGTGCCCCGTGAAAATTCTTTATAGGATATTGCACGGTGGGACACTGTGAAGCCTCTTTAAGCTGTTGCACGGGTGGAGTTCTGTGACGCTTCCTCGTGGAAATTCGTAAAACCGATCCTAGTGTAACTCCGAAAACGGAAGTGATAGTGCAACGTCACAAGGCCTATGTTTTTCCCAGTTTCGAACAGCCGTAATACTCAAAATCTTAATATCGGGGCAGCCCTAGTGTAGCTACTAAGAAATAAAGAAATGGACAAACGATAGTGACAAATATATTGTAGATTTGATTAGTATTCCTTAGTATTAAATAAATAAATAAATAAAAAAATAAATAAATAAATAAATACTTGGTAGATCTACTTGCCTGATGTAGATATAAATTTGAAGGAGCAAAAATTAAGCGTGTGAAAGTATATATATTGAAATTATAGCCGGTCTCTTTAAATTTAAGTCGACTGAAGCTGAATATAAATGAAATTGAGTTTATTCTATTCTTGAATTAACATGGTTAATGAACATGGTTAATGGTTCGGTTTAAATGACGAGTAATTAAATTCAAAAGGGTGGGCGATTATTTTTAAGTATCTATTCAGGTAAAATTCCAGTACATTAATTTTAAGTGTTCCAGTCAACCGATATAGATTTACAGTATAATGTGATGGGTCTGTTTGTTACAGTACAGTCAGACGATGACCGACCTTTTAATTTATAGTTTATTATAAGAAAAGACGTATTCTTTTTCTTAAATAATTAGGTCACGTGTTGATTATAAAGATGTATTCTTTTTTGTGTTGATTATAAAGATTTAATCCCCTTAAATAATTATTATGTTCATATATTAATTATAAAAATGTATTCTTTTTAAATAATTTTTTAAATAATTAGGTCACATGTTCGACCCACAAATCTTTTGTTTTGTCCGATAGCATGATATTTTCAATAACACGAAAAAAATAAATACATACACGAGATGGGTTAATAACTATAAACTGTCAATCACAATTCGGTGATGAGTAAATTAAAGATATATTAGTATTATGGGAGATTAGATAAAGAGCTGTCAGTTACACTATAATAGTTAAAAACTAGATAATGTAAAGGGAATTTGCTGAAAATGTCAATTAAATTGATCCACTCTGAACCGAGATTTTAGCGATTGAATTTTCGGCCTAGCCTCGATCATCATTACCAAAGTCGGTACGATAGAAACATAGTCTCGATTATCCATTTCATGATTAAATCATGAATGAAAGTCGAGCAGAAAATTGGAACCTAATCCAATAAAAATCGCAGGCTAGCGATGCGATCGAGGGTTGATTATGGTCTGGATAAGTTAATTAATGTCTAATTAATAATTTAGATAACATTTCAGGTCTAAAGAAAGACCTGCAATAGGCAGATTTAGCTCTTGTATAATGTTTGTTTAAGAGGAAAAGCCTTTATCGCTGACAAGGAATTGCGTCTAGTCATACGGGTGGGACGAAACAGGGCTATAGGGCACGTGATTTGTTTGCCGGCGATTGTTTCTTAGGGCTAAGTCTTGTGTTAGGGTTAGGGTTAACGCTTGACGAAATCTGCAGTTGACCTTAACATTAAGATCTATAACCATGGTGACTGGCACCTAGGCCACCCATTAGCAGGGTTGGTAAAGGAAAATGGGAATGCGGGACGTTATTTAAAGCCCATTTCATTTCCCTTTGTTGGACCCGAAAGGAAATAACTTACCTGTGATGTTTTATCCCTCCGCAGGTTAATGTACTGATAAAATGTTGAGTGATGAACACTGCCCGATATGCAATTTTTTTTCCAACTGACAGCCATTGCACTTCTATTCGGCCGCTGGTTGGCTGAAACTTTGACGTCATATTCAAAGAAAAGAATGTTGTTCGTCAGTTTTATGCAATTTGGCAAGTTATTTTATCTATTCAACCTCTTCAAGGCTCATTTATGTTACATTTACCGCGATTGTAGTACACATGCGATACATAGGCTCGTACACAGTATACATTATGCCATGGGACCTTTACTGCAGCCAAGAAAAAAAAAACGCAATTTTTGGCATGAGGAATTCTCTTGCACAACGTAGGCTACTTCCGACGAACAATCGTCGGTGGCGAAAATTGGTTTAGCGTGCACTGAGTGTTAATCCAGCAGCGACCAATAATCCTTAGTGTGCTCGCGCACACCAGTAAGAGCAATTCTGAACCACTCTTGGTCAGTGTGTACCGAGCTTTGAGCATCATTCTAAACCAGTCCTTGTTAGTCTAAACTAGTTCCTTTCAGTGTGCGCAGCCCTTTAGGGGTCAGTGCATTTCTAGGTTCAGGAGATTAATATCGTGATCTAACATATATTTAAATATGGATACCTTTGGCTTATGTCTATGAATATTAAATAAGTAGTCGTTTGCATTTCTCGGACTTAATCCACGATATAATATGCCCATTGGGAGTATTTAAAGATACATTATGTAAGATTAGATAAAGAGCCGACAGTTCTCGCTATAATAGTTACAAAATAGATAACAAAAAGGGAATATATTGAAATTTCCGTCAAATTACCTTACTCTGGGTCAGGTTATTGTCGTTACAATAACAGTGTGCCTCATTGCTACCGTTGTTACGATAATAAAAAATTTATTAAATTTTAACCCAAATCGTATTTACATCTGTTAGTGTTAAAAATCTAGAGTAAACGATGACATCGAGGGTTGATAATGGTCTTGGTACATGTAAGTTAACTTAGATAACATTTCAGGCCTAAAGAAAGACCAGCAATCGGCAGATTTAGCTCTTGCATAATGTATGTTTAAGCAAAATAATTATAAGCACGTGTTAATGGCCTCAAGGACACAGGAGTCCCACCATAGTCTTTTCGTTGCTAAGGGCCTCTATGGGTTTTAACCCGGCCGTGCTTTCTCAATAACTTACCGATTGATCAACCAACATGCCATGTCGATCGTACTTCTTGAATTGGCGGAGCCTTAGACGTTTTTCGCAGAAGAAGAAGAAAAAGGACAACAACAACAAGATGGGTAGCGCTTGGTGCCCACTTCCAGATTCAAAAAAATCTATCCAAAGAAGAGCAAATATAGCCCTTGCTTTGATCGTCTGGTGGCACGGATGGGTATATAGTCCAAAAGGGCCCTGATGTAGGCCGGTCTAATATGTTTGTGATGTAGGTAATTTGTATTATTTTACTTCAGGCAATATGTCATAAAATACTAGTATGACAAATATCAGGAACACGTTGATTGTCACCGATTGTAACTAATACTAGACATTTATATATATATATATATATATATATATATATATATATATATATATATATATATATATGAAATGAGATGGGGTTTAACGTCCTGCTGTTCTGGTCCGATTGTGCTAATTAAGACGGGACATAATATATTCTTCAAAAAAAAAGTAGGGGATATTCAGAAACAATACAAAACTGCGGAAATGCACTGCTGTTTTTATTAGAGGTAACCAGTGTATGTTAATAACAGGCCAATTGCCTACACATGAACATAAACAGTTCATATGGGCGGCTTATCTGACAGCCCCATTTCACTCGCAAAGAGATACAAGTGAAAATGTCAAAAGTGAAAATGGACGTTTTTGTTTTTTGTCCTCAAACATTCAGCAATTCGTCGTGGCATCCTCCTAATCAACCGTCCAATCATGATTTGGGGCAATCTGACCCACTCCACTTGCAGTGCCACGGTCTCCCGATCAAATTAAACGTAACACACTAAAGCAAATATACGCTAAACAGTAAATCTTATGCAAGAACCGATAGGAAAGCAAACATGGATAGGATAAACCAGCAAGCGGAAGTTTTCATCAACCCTTCCTTGAAGTGTCCAATTTGACAATGAACCCCTCCCACGAATAGGTGCTATTGCGTGTCGCATGTGCAGCTCAGTGGTTCTGTTGGGAAGATAAGTTCTTCATCTGTGAACATACTCTCAAAGCATGTCAAGTGTCCATGACTATTTATCATATGACAACCTGCATAGGTATTTGCATTTCAATATCCCCTACTTATTATGATATCTTATAATAATGAAGTGGGATGAAATGGGGTTGAACGTCCTTACTGTTCTACTCCGATTGGGCTAATGAAGACGGGATATTATAATAAGGTTCCCCAATACAGAATTATTAGCTACTCCACATCAAGTCAATAAATTAAAACAACATTAACCGATACGTTCTTCCTCGATCCCTCTTGCGTTTACGTTGTCCATTACTTAGCGTTCAGATTAATATGGGGAGTCGCGGTGGCTCAGTAAGTAAACGCTGGCTTGCAAGCCACGCGAAAGTTAACCGGACTTTTGGAACCATTTGTGTCCACGCGACACAAACTAGGTCACTTCTGAGCTAACGTATGGTTCTATTTTTTTCCAATAACTCGCTTGTGCGTAGGGGTGCTTCAGTCGGAAACCGGAGGGCCCGGAGAAAACCCACGAAGTTGGACAGGCGACCCTACTCTTTGTCACGTACGAGCGAGGATTCCAAACTACGCCACTTGGCTCAATGACAGACCGCCTGATCCAACGCCGGTCGTGAGTGTAATGGGTTAATTCTATGGTAGAAACTCTTAGAAGCGTTTTCCCCAGTCGCTTTGTAATTGTTGGGATTATTAGGTCACTTAGGATATCAGTAAACAAAAATAAAATTTATTTTACCATAGTTACGTAATGTCGTTAAGCTATTATGGCTATCATTTTGAAACAGCTTGTTTTCTTTAGTAAAAACGTTCAGACCGAACTCCTACACACTCGTTAATTATTATACAAAACTTCTGCCACTGCGCCAATGATATGGATTTGACATTTAGTTTTTAGTTTTATTGCGTGAGTATGTACAAAGCTCGAGAACAGCTAATGTCAACCTGCATGTGGGAGTTGGTTAATTATTGCTTGTCAGTGATGCAGGACAGAGGCTCTGACAAGGGATAACGTATAGTTGTTCGGGTGGGACGAAATACCGAGGTCCCGTGTACACATTGGCGTGCACGTAAAAGAACCTTTGGCAGTTGAAATTCGGAATAATCGTGGGCCCAATCTGATTAAAACACAAATCCTATTTCGTTTCGTTTTCTTTAGTTCAAAATTTCGTTATACTACACTAGGATCTGGAAGAGGTGTTATATACTTCGCGTTGTGGTTGATGTCAGGGATTAGCCAATGAAACGGTCTGTTACGGTGAATTTTTTGTGGGTATCCTACAGATTGGTTAATCAACTGTCTTACGTCATAGGGTCAAAAATCGCTCGTTTGACCTCTGACGTGACCTCCCACTAAAACCGGTCAGATCTTCGTGTAGTAGAGGCCATCAAAAGTATAAAAAACGAAACGAAATATAGATGTGTATTTTAATCAGATTGATCGTGGGCCGTAGCGCAGCAGCCCACACCTGCCCCCCATCCAAGCACACTGCATAGGGAATGTCTTCATATGAGAGTAGTCCGTAGCACCACTGCCCGTTCAAAATGTCCCTCATAGAAATGTCCCTCATACGCATAGAGCGTATGAAACACGTATGCAATGAGTACACAACGGATGCATGGCGTTTTCAAACGGAGGGCACGTTTTTTCCCTGTTTTACATCCTCTTTGCATCCGTAAGTGCAGTGGGACCGGGCCTTTAAGTTGATATTACTTATCTCAACACTGAATCTCAAATAACAAATTTACGAACGATAAAAGATAGTCATGCACACGAGCATTCAAAATTAGCAGTAGGTATTACCAAAATTAGCAATACACGTGAAAATATTAAGAGACGTGGGTCTGTTGGCGTTGCACTGCCATTTCACGTTTCGCAGAGATATAGTACTTCCGGTTTCACGAACCTCTTATAAGTAAGTGACGCAGGTCTTCTATCCGTGAAAATCTGGACAAACAGTTTCAGTTTTTGAAATATAAAACCCGCTAAAATAAACACTCAGTAAACGTTCGATATTTTATTGCGAACTTTGTCAAAACATGGCGATTTGAATTTCACAGAATTCGATTGGGAGCTAATTTCGCTGATAAATGCGTTCTTTTTCTTTTTTTCTTTCAAGCTAATATACATAGACACAAGGAAATCTCAAATGAGTGTAGAATGGTCATTAACCGATACAATAAATGTCAACAACAACATCCCACGCAGGCTATAACAACTTTACAGCGAAACGCAGGAACAATTAAGGCTTAAAAACGTGTTGTCCACCACCTCTGGCAATCATACAGTGAACCAATCTGAATCCCGGAGATTTAAACAAAGGGTAAACTTATCTTTAGGGTCGATATTGACAGTGAACGGTGTGTAACGTTGTCGCGTGGAGCAGATAAGCCTCTGAATGCTTGTGTGGACACTTCTTCACCCTAGTTGCAATGCTACTTCCTATATGGAGCGAAAATGAAAAGAAATGAAATGGGGTTTAACTTCCTACTGTTCTGCTCTGAACTGGGCTAACGGCACTACGGCCTACTCTTATATCGAATTCCAACTGTCAAGGGATCTTTTATGTGCACGCCAATGTGATCACGGGACCTCAGTTGTTCGTCCCATCCGAACGACTAGACAGCTGTGCTTGTCAGGCCCTCCGTCCTACATCACTGACAAGGGGGAACCACGCCGGAAAATCTGGATGAACTTTCTCGGCCAATGCAGAGATCGAACACCCGACCTGCAGGCTAGCGAGCCAGCGTCTTACCCGCTCAGCCACCGTGACACCGCCCCCCCCCCCCCATGAGACCGACATTTTATTTTTTAAATCAACTAATACACTAAGTACATTTCGAGAATTTTGAGAAGTATTTATTCCGCATCCATCAAATTAAAAAAAAAGTTTATTTAGTCTTTGTGTGTATGACAAATATAAAACGCGGCAGAACCGCATTACCGATTAGTATACTATTATTTAGATATGGCGGCCATTAAGTATAGATATCTTTTCTCCTCTGGCATACTCACCGAGTCACAATGGCTACCAAAGCTCAATCTGGAAATTTACAAAGATCTTTAAAACCGAAAAGAATCCAAGGATCTTATATTTCTGAAAGAAGACAATGAAAGCATCAAAGTGCTACAATGTCATTAATATGATATTATATGATGGACTCCGGCGAATGTAGAACGTGTGGGTGTTTTTATACATTAAAGGGACAATAACACTCCTGTTGGCTTGACAGCTCCAGAAAATAAAAAAATAGCCTTATTCTAAGTACTAGATGTGTTAGTGTCCTACCTGTTGTGTAAATTATCCATTAAATCCTATTTTACTTGTCCAAAGGGTTCAAAAATATTTTTAAATCCAAGTCACATTTGAAAAGCTTTACGTCAGGCTTTTCAAATCATTTAGTTGAATTTTTCCAATTTTTTAAATTAGGTGTGTTAAGATGAAATTTGTATCATCAATTAATTGGAATATTGTAAAAGAGTACAATTTGTTGACCAGAATAAAGATTGGGACATATTATTCAGTTACAACAAGAGTGGTATTGAGCCTTTAAGGTCGTGTAGATCTATGTCTTTGTAAATATATGAAAACTTTCTATTATAAAATCTTCTAACAACCTTTATCCATAACTCCCTTCTAATATTTCCACACTGTATCGTGCTGTTTATAAATATGATACACGTGAAATGAAATAAAATGGAGTTTAACGTCCTACTTTCCTCATCCAGATTTCCCGGCGTGGTTCCCATTGGTCAGTGATGCAGGACGGAGAGCCTGACAAGGACAGCTGTCTAGTCATTCGGATGGGACGAAAACCGAGGTCTTATTGGCGTGCACATAAAAGATCCATTGACAGTTGGAATTCGATATAACAGTAGGCCGCAGTGCCGCTGTTCGGGCAAAATTTCCCCCATAGCACACTGTATGACGTATGTCCGTCTTCATTAGCCCAGTTCGGAGCAGAAAAGTTGGACGTTAAACCCCATTTCATTTTCTACTTTTCTGCACCGGCCGGGCGAATGAAGACTGGCGTACGCAATACAGTGTGCTATATATATGAGGAACATTTTGCTCGGACAGTTGCGCTCCGGCCTCCATCGATTTTGCTGAAATTTGATTTATATACTTATGCATTCTCTCAAAGCAGAGTTGTCTTTCCCAGCAGTTCATTTCGAACTAAAATGGTAACCAAAAAGTTAATATCCTAGATTATAACTGATATCTTAGGTTAAAATTGCTATAAATATCTTAAATAGATTAAAATTGATAATAATAATATTTCAGGCTAATGTCCATTTTAGTATCTGAAGTTAAAATTGATTAGTAGTTTAGGTTTAAAATTGATATCAGTATCTTAGGTTAAAATTGATATCAGTATCTTAAAAATTGATATTAGTATCTTAAAATTGATATTAGTATCTTAAAAATTGATATTAGTATCTTAAAATTGATATTAGTATCTTTTATTAAAATTGATATTAGTATCTTAAGTTAAAATTGATATTAGAATCTTAGGTTAAAATTGATATCAGTATCTTAGGTTAAAATTGATATTAGTATCTTAGGTTAAAATTGATATTAGAATCTTAGGTTAAAATTGATATCAGTATCTTAGGTCTAAAATTGATATCAGTATCGTAGGTCAAAACTGGTATCAGTATCTTAAGTTAAATTGATATTAGAATCTTAGGTTAAAATTGATAACAGTATCTAAGGTCTAAAATTGATATTATTATCTTAGGTTAAAATTGATATTCTTATCTTAGGTTAAAATTGATATCAGTATCTTGGGTTAAAATTGATATCAGTATCTTAGGTTAAAATTGATATTAGTACCTTAGATTAGAATTGATAATAAAGACCTTGCATTGTAAATATTTTTACACGTGACTAATGAAACATCTTTTTAATCCTTACTTATTAATTATGTTAAATATAAATTACGGAAAACATCTATTAACCGTCTATCGCATTACGTCATTAATAACATTTACAACTGTTACGTCATGAATAACATTTAGAGTTGTTACGTCATGAATAACATTTACAGCTAATACGCCATTAATAACATTTAGAGCAATTACTTCTTCGATAACTTCCCGAGCTGTGAAACAAAACCCGTCGGCTAAATTATACCTAGATTGTGGACAAGATATTGTGGAGGTTTTTATTACCACAACAAAAAGCTAATGGACGTGTTTCCGTGAAAATAAATACCCAGACGAATCCCTCATTAAAATTTAATCAGATCCAATCAGAAAGCGTGTAACAATACGCCAATTTTAATTAGATAATTATAAATATGTCTCAGTAATCTTCCTGAACAATTCACAATTCCGTTCGATTAAAATAGACAAATTTGTTTCTAATTATTTCAAAGATAGCTTTCTCGCAATTGTTTCCGCCATTTATAGTGGGCGTTATCCTAATTGGAATCTACGGTGGCTCAGTGTGTAAGCCGCTGGCTCTCTAACATTGAGATTCCGTGTTCGATCCCTGGGTTGGCCGAGAAAGTTCATCGGGATTTTCCTGTGTGGTTCCTCCTATCAGCGATGCAGGACAGAGGGCCTGGCAAGGGACAACGTCTAGTCGTTCGGATGGGATAAAAAAAAACGAGGTTCCGTGTACACATTGACGTGCACGTAAAATAGCCATTGGCAGTTGGAATGCGATATAAGAGTAAGACGTAGCGCCGCTCTCCAGGCAAAATTCCCCCCATAGCACACTGTATGGCGTATGCCCGTATTCATTAGCCCAGTCGGAACAGAACAGTAGGACGTTAAACCCCATTTTATTTAATTTCGTTATCCTAATTGAAAACCCAAATGAAGTCCTATTACGCCGTTCGTTCATAGAAAAATTAAAATTATTATTTGAGAAGTTCCCCAGAAAATATAGATATAAGAAATGACCCGGAGTTCAAAATGTCAAATTTTCCGTTTTTGCACTAGGAAGATTTAAAGAAATAATTGTCAGTGTAAAATATAAAAACTAAAGCCAAATCTGTTCTAATTAATAATAGGAACATTTAAAATTATTTATCTTTAGGTGGTCTTGGCACCGTACGTTTACTTTGAAACGTCGAACAGGACCAAAACGCTTCAAAAACTGTTTCAAAAATATGTAACAAGCGGTTGCCATGCAAGATACGACCACATTTTGCAAGAGATGGACAAAGAACAAGCTAAAAAAAAGTGATTTTTCGTAAAATCAAGGACCATAATTCAGGAAGTTACAATCCGATATGCATGAATATTGAAAGGAACCAAGATCTTTGGGTTATAAAGATGTATTTCAAGTTTCATCAAAATCGGATCAAAATTGTGTCCTCTCTCTAGAGGGTCCAAAACCTTGATATACCATATATTTACAATATTTGCGTACGAGGGGCTGCCATTTTGTCCGGCAGTTTTGGTCCGATTTGTACGAAATTCAGACTCATCCATCATAAGGGTGTAACAGTGATATATTCAAACGTTTTTTAAATCGGATAAAAATTGTGACATCTAGAGGGATCACATCCTAAAATCGCGACTTTTCGCACAACCAAGGCCCATAATTCAGGAAGTTATGATCCAATATGTGCGAATATCGAAAGGAAATGAAATGGGGTTTAACGTCCTACTGCGAATATCGAAAGGAGCCAAGATCTTTGGATTATAAATATGTATTTCAAGTTTCATCAAAATCGGATAAAAATTGTGACCTCGATAGGGTCCACAACCTTGATATACTATATTTTTCAGTTTGAGAACGAACGGCGGCCATTTGTCTGTCAATTTTGGGCCGATTTTCACGAAATTCAAACTCGGCCGTCCTTAGGGTGTAACGGTGATGTAATACGTTTTTATTTTTAAATCGGATAAAAATTATGACCTCTATAGGGTCCACAAGCTAAAAACGCGATTTTTCGTACAATCAGGGGCCATAATTCAGGAAGTTACGGTCTGATATGCGCGAATATCGAAAAGAACCGAGATCTTTGGGTTATAAACTTATATTTCAAGTTTCAACAAAATCGGATAAAAATTGTGAACTCTATAGGGTCCACAAGCTAAAAACGTGATTTTTCGTAAAAACATCGGCCATAATCCATGATGTTTCGATCCGATACATGCCAAAATCGAAAGCAGTCGAGATCTTTTGGGGATAAACCTATATTTCAAGTTTCGTCAAAATCGGACAAGAATTGTGACCTGTAGAGAGTCCACAAACAAATTGTGGGCGGACGGACGTCCGGGACAAGGGCGACGACAATATACGTCCACATGAAAATGTGGGTGTATAAAAACTGTCAAATCAAAATCTCTCCGATTTAGTTTCACAACGATTGCTATATACAATGAAACTAATTGTCCGAATAACAAAATCTCTCCGATTTAGTTTCACAATGATTGCTATATATAATGAAACTAATTGTCCGAAAAACAATTAAATAGTTTCATGGATGGACTTCAGCCTACATGCCGCGTGGATTTCTGGTAAGCCCAATCTGGGAAAACCGACGTTAATCTGTGACCGGAAAACATGTATAAGACAACCTGATTGCAAATTTTTGTATGAGTTTTCATGAATTTGACCCGAACATGGACACAGATAAAACCGACGGATGCATCGTACGCAATAGCTCACTGGATATAAATGTCGTATTGGTATATGTTACCGGAGAAAAGTTTGGCGGGCTTCGTGTAATACTTTATTTGTCAGCAATACAGGTGTTACGCTGCTTCTCAGTCCATCCATGACCCAAGATCCCCCCCCCCCCGCAAGACATCCGACTCGGGGTGCAGTGCCCATACAACTCAACCACTGCTACTCTATAATGAATACAAACCAAGAGATATATGTTTAAGTTATTTTATAATCTAATATTCAGTACAATATAACGGACTATTTGACGATTTTCTTTCCACCACACAGTCTATATATAGATAAAGTCCGCGAAACGAAAATGGTATGGTGTTTGTTGTTGGTGTCTGCTGATTGGTTGTTTTATGGATAGAAAGCTCCGGGTATATTATAACCAACCACACTACGTTTACCAATGATTTCTCCCAGAGTAAAACAGAAAATGCATTCTAGAACTATCACAGTGTTGATGAGGGATTCCTGAAAAATATCAAACAGAAAATAACTTTTAGAAAATCACAGTTCTGATAAAGGATTACTGAAAAATACAAAATAATCCCGACATTAATCAGCATTCTGTTAATTTTTTCAAGTTAACCCTATTCTGTACTACTATAACCTTTCAGTGTTTACAGTGAAAATTACTTGGCATTTTCTTCCAGCTTTGCCCTGGTTGGTGGTGGAGAATGAAGGGAAAAAAGTGTCTAGTCGTAATTTCTGGGACAAGAGATTGGGTTTAACGTTTCACCTGTTGTATCCCCATATTCATTAGCCAAGTCAGTGCAGAGTGGTAGGACGTTAATCCACATTTCATTTGCTTGTCTTTTAACACTGTCAGTCCATGATACAAGGGGAGCAACTCTTAGTTAATGAACAGGTAAAATACACTCATTCACGAAATCTTTATATTACAGTACAGTACAAAAATCTATGAATTTAAAGGGGCAGACTGCTGGGTGGTAACTATGGTAACACTCTTATCTGAAGTTACAGCTGCCACTTCAGATTTTTAGTAATGAATTTACTTTTCGAATGTTCATTGATAAGTTGACTCCAGTGTTACAGATACCCTGTAGTACCCTGTAGTATGGCAAATTTTAACTTTTTCAAACTTATCATAAAGCACATGCCATAAACAAAAGGTCAGAAAGCTGGGCCCCATGAAATGAAATGGGGTTTAACGTCCTACTGTTATGCTCCGATTGGGCTAATGAAGACGGGTATATGCCATTGAGTGTGCAAGGATAGAAATTTTTTCCTGGACAGCAGCGCTACAGCCTACTCTTACATCCAGAATTCCAACTGCCAATAGATCTTTGACATGCAAGCCAATGCGTACACAGGATTTCAGTTTATCATTGCATGCAAACGACTAGACAGCTGTCCTTGTCAGGCACTCTGTCCTGCACAACTGACAAGGGGAAACAACACCAGAAAATCCCAATGGAACACTCGGCAAAGACCGGGATTGAACCTCCAGGCTAACGAGTCAGCGTCTTACTCACTTAGTCACCGTAGCACATGAAACCAAACAAAAGCACCTGTTACATTGTCAAGCACAATTTCATGCTGTCTGGTACATTCCCTCTGCTGCTTGTCATCTTATCTATTTCCTGTGTTTTTAATAAACATCTGACACCAAGTATAAAATGACAAGTACTAAAATCATTATTTACCAGGGCTGATCATGTAGACATACATGTATATGTAACTTCCTGTATACATTGAAATAGAACCCTTGGTAGATGGAGGTAGGCCTACAGGTTTTATAGACAGATTCGTTCTAAAATCGAGCCTTTGGTGCAGTACAGATTTAAACATACATTATGCAAGAGCTAAATCTGCCTATTGCAGGTCTTTCTTTAGCCCTGAAATGTTATCTCAGTTATTAATTAGACATCAATTAACTTATTCAAACCATAATCAACTCTCGATTGCATCGAATACTCAAGATTTTAACTAGGTTAGAAAGGTTCTCCATTTAAAAATTTAACTTAAAAATGGGAAAGTGAACGGTGATAACTTGGCTCAGAATGAAGTGATTTCAATATTTTCATTTTACATTATCTATTTTTAAGCTATTATAGCAAGAATGGTCAGCTCTTTATCTAAATCTTACATAATGTATCTTTAATGGACAGATTCATTGTGAAATTGTTCAGTAGAATATTTTAATGGGCAACTTAATTCTCTGATAATATTAAATTTATAGTTTTATTTATAATACCTTAACAGTAAATTTCTTCCACTTTCCAGTCCTAGCTGATACAATAATATTATTGATTCCCTCTTGAACTTGTGGCATTTCAGATAAAGTTGGTGGTCGAAGTTCTACTTTAGCATATTTCCAGAATGTCTGTAATCTGGGTGTACTGTAACTTTGAATCCCTGAAAAAACCCAACAACTTTTCTGTATTATTGCCCCAACAAAAACAACCTAATATCACAGTCACAACCTTATAATATTTATCATGCTCATTCAGATCAATATACAAATGAAATGAAATGGGGTTTAACGTTCTACTGTTCTGCTCCGACTGGGCTAATGAAGACAGGCATACGCCATGCAGTGTTCAATGAGGAAAATCTTGCCCTGGCAGCGACACTTTGGTCTACTCTTATATCGAATTCCAACTGCCAATGGATCTTTTACGTACACGCCAATGTATACACAGGATCTCGGTCTTTGTTCCATCCACATAACTAGACAGCTGTCCTTGTCAGGAAACCACGTCGGGAAATCCTGATGAACTTTCTCTGCCAATGCAGGGATCGAACACGCGACATCAATATGAGTGGTGATGTGCTAATGAATCCTACAATCTTGCGATTGCTTCGGCCGAATCATTCAGCTAATGTGTCCACGAGTTTACGATACAAACATTATACCGTAGCTATTGGCAGATAGAACCAGAAGCTCCAAACGTCTTCTCGAATCACAGATTGTCGACAGAATAGGTACCGTTGCCAGGTAATAATAATAACAAAATCTTTATTAGGGTAGAATAGGCATTGTCACTCAGTAGTAGCATGCAGTGCTGCAGTGGTTAATGGTTATAAATAATATTAAATATAATAATAAATCATAAATCATAAAATGGTTTCTACTAAGTTACACAAGTACTGAAGTAGTATCATTCAATAGCCTAGTGTCAACAACAAGACGCCTTTCTTCTTGAAAAATTTTTTTAGAACACGCACGGAAATTACAAAATGCCCATCTTATAAAGTGAACCATTTAACAAGAAAGATTTCTGGTTGAATTTAGACGTATACCTTTCGCTGTGTTCACTAATCTCGTGGCCAAACCGCCGGCTTTCTGTGCTGCTTGAGCCATGTTGATATTCAAGGTCGGACTGACGATTTTTCAGAGCGCATGTCCGGACTTTTTGTGAAAGGGAGGTAACCGCCGTAAACAAGAGTTATTCCCCTTACACCACGATTGTCAACAGGAAGTGGAGCCCAGACAAAACAGAAGAACGTCTCGCGTTTTGATTATTATTAAACTCATTCATGCATAATAATTTCTCTTGTGCAGGCACTAGGTAATTAGCCGAACATAATTTGAGCAGGATTAATAGCTTCTGCTTGCGCAAAACAAAAATGTATTATTTTCAAGAATCTTTCATCATTGGCATTGCTACCGTTGTACAGCTAAGCATGTTTTAATAATAAATAAATTATCTTTTAATTAATTATTGGTTGACTACGAAGCCTACCTTTACATTAGGCCTATAGGCCTATATATCATGGCTCTGATGATTGAGGAAAGAAAATTCATGAAACGATTCTGCAATCACAGTTGCATGTTGACACCTCTTTGGGTTCCAGGAATTTCATCTGTAGGCGCTTACTGGTCTGGAGATTGCAAATTAAAATACTCAGTTAACCAAATTCCACCATTTTCTGAAACTTGAATGACACCATACCATGGACCTTAAAATAGACCATCTTCTGAAACTTAAAGGACAATATTGGTGTCAGTCATTATCACATGTGATAGAACTAATTAAACACGTTCCTAATATAATTTTAACACAGAGATCATTGCTACGATAGCTGGAAGTGACGAATGCCAAAGGAAAACACGAGTCATACCTCTATAACTGACTGGTGTGACGAGTGATAAAAGATACAAAGCCGAATTTCTGCTCACTAATAATTCCTTCGAAGACCAAAAGTTGTTATATGGGACTGTATATGAATGTCATTAGAGAACACAAGAAAAATATAGAAATATTTGTACATTCCCTTGTTTATATTCATTCTATACCTTATAAAAACATGGTAATGTACAGACCTTTTTCTGTTTTTCTTTCGTGTTCTCTTATCTAGTGGCAGTCAATTCTTTTTATGAATTGTCAGATATTCTCTCACAGTCTCACACAACAACTTTAGGTCTTGGAAGGAATTATTAGTGAGCAGAAATTTGCCCATGTATCTGTTATCACTCATCACTTCAGTCAGTTATATAGAGGTATGACTCGTGTTTTCCTTTGGCGTTCGTCACTTCCGATTCAGGAAACCTGTATTACTCAGCTATCGTAGCAATGATCTCTGTGTTAAAATTATATTTGGAACGTGTTTAATTAGTTCTATCATATGTGATAATGACTGACACAAATATTGTCCTTTAAATGACAGGATATTATCTATGGTGCTGTGGACCTTATAATATTAAAAGGTCCAGGGTGCCACACACACACACACAGAATGTCTGCCATTGAGTCAAGCGGGGTGGTTCCGATCCCAGGTTTGTACTTGACTGGAAGTAGAGTCTCCGCCCAACCTCGTGAGTTTCCTCAGACTGATAATCTCCTCTAAGCACAAGCAAATTATTGAAATACATGTATAAATTGCACAATGTCTGGCCTGAAATGACCATTGTATTATAAGGTCCATGAAATGACCCAGTTTGTGCTGAGCGAATGTTAAACCATATTTTTCTTTCACATTCTTCCTAGCACCTAGCTTCTGATCTCCCAAATCTAAATCCAAACTATAACTTCAAATGTGGGTAGTAATAACTTTAATTTACTATTTCAGAACACCTGACACAACTTTTCTTGTTCTTTAGGGCATTGGGTGGCTGAATCGTTAATGTGTGGTTTCAATTCCACACTTGTACATGACATGGAGTAGGGTGGCCTTTCCAACCTCGTGGGTTTCCTCCCACTGCTAAAGTCCCTTACACTCAATCGACCTATTGAAATAAAATTGAACCATATGACCTACTACTTTGTGTGGAGTGGAGGTTATACCCCATCTCTCTCTCTCTCTCTCTCTCTCTTTAAGATCACAGAGCCAGATTGCTAATAATATATTGTGGTATCGAATTCTAAGATTATAATGAATGTTTTTATTTTTACAGGCTTTTCTTCAAGGAAATAAACTGGATACATGTTTTAAGTTTTCTCAATCCAAAATTTTGCCGTAGAGCTGGGGAAGATGTCAAATAATTCAAGCACACCCGCTAGTCTCCAACAAGATCAAGAGATTCCGTTTAACACAGTTTCAAATATAACGTCAACTGGAAATACTCTGCCCGGTACATCAGTGAAAGATGCCTGTGATCTTCAACCTACAACTGATACTAATTCTCATTTGATTAAAGATAATAATAAAATCATGCTTCAACAAAAAACAGACATTTTACCACATTCAAATGAAGAGTTTATGCTGAATGAAAGCTCGGGACAAATGGAACCACGACCAGTAGTTTCAGCTACGATACAAAACGTACATTTAACGGACTGTAATACGACTCAACTAAACAGTGATTCTAATCTAGATGAAGAAACTGATGTCGTGACTGTGCCACAAGCATCTGACCTTAAAGCGGATTCCACCCTGGTTGACTCAATAGAACAAATCAAAACTGGTACAGGTGTAGAAAACCAACCAGAGTATATTCTGGCGAAGTCCATCAGAAATAAAAAATCTGGTTATGAACAAATTCTTAATTTGTGTGAAAAAAATTTCCCTTCGAATATACAACTGATCCAAGATTTGTTGAATTTAAATCAGAATTTATCCGAAGATGGAGAAATACAGGAGAATTTCTCGAATATTTGTAATAGACTGATCAGCGAAATGTTACATTTAAATCACACAATATCGGAAATATGTAAGAACAGTATGACATCCCAACAAGCTAACACTCAGTCGGGACCGTTTGAAGCACTTCTTAACGTCTGGAAGAAAAATATGATACAAAGACGAAAGACTGGTAAACTGAGTTTCGAAGATGAGGAGATGATGAATATGGCCGCTCTGCAGCACGATTCAACATACGATAATATTGTCCCAAATCTGGACATCCATTTCAGCAATCAATCATCAGTTAACGACATTTCTTCGGGTAAAAAATCTGAAGGTAGTTTTCTTGACATAAAGAGTGAATGGCTGAAGCGATTTTCTGGTACTAGTTCTAGAAACAAATCAAATCCGCAAAAATCCAGTCAATCCGATGATTCAGCGTATACACCATCGAGACGAGACGGTTCAAAAGATACAAATAAATCTCCCTCAGCAGTATCAGAAAGATCCCTCAGAAGTTGCCGATCGAAATCAAGAGTATATAAAGACAGTCTCAATCTTTCAGATATTGATCAAACTTCAGAAGAGGAAGATTGCGATCTTCCATCGGAAAGTAAATCCGATCTGGATGACGAAGACTTTGTGCCATTCAAAGAAAACTCTCAGTTGAGTTGCGAAGTTTGTGAAAAGGTTTTTAAAACGCAGCGTCTCTTGGTTCTTCACAAACGAATTCATCATAAAATACCAGAGTTTACGTGCGATGTTTGTAATCGATCCTTTAATTCTAACAATGGCTTACAACAACATATAGCGTTCCATGTCAGATCCTCGAAATCGTCAAAACCTATTCCACACAGTTCAGTTAGCCAATCACAGACCACCAAACCTTCTTCAACTAGCCAATCAGCAACTCAAAAAACATCTCCTCAGCGTCCGTCCGTATCTGAGGAGATCTATACTTGTGAAACATGTGGACTTTCGTTCAGACGAAAGTTTCGCTACTCCTTGCACATGCGATCTCACGACATTACAAGACCTTTCAAATGTCCAACTTGTCCTAAAATGTTTCGAACCGAGACAAGCTTAAACAAACACAATGTATTAAGTCACAGTGCAAATCAGAGATACGAATGCACGGAATGCGACAAAACGTTTAAGAACGAAACATCATTGAAGTATCATCAGATGTGTCATTCGGGAAATTTGCCGTATGCTTGTTCACAGTGCGATAAGAAATTTGTGACGATATCTGTTCGCGATAAACATGAGTTAACGCACTCGGATGAAAAACCCTACCCATGTACACTCTGTGACAAAAAGTTCAAGACACCATACAGTCTGAAAAAACATAATCTGTTACATTTACCGGAGAAAAACTTCCAGTGCGATTTCTGCGGTCAGCAATTTCGTCAGAAGAGTACGCTGACGTCCCATCATCGAACACATACGGGTGAGAAGCCGTACGTCTGTGACACATGTGGTAAAGCTTTTAGTCAGAGCAGCATCTTAAACATGCATAAACGTATCCATACGGGGTATAAACCACATAAATGTACGTTATGTGAAAGTGCTTTCTCGTGTCGCGCTTCGCTCCGCAAACATATGACAATTCACACGGGAGAAAAAAACTATATGTGTAAAGAATGCGGACGATGTTTCGCTCGTTCCCAGAGTTTAAAATACCACGAGAGATCTCACACAGGCATTAAACCGTACTTGTGTAAGGAATGCGGAAAACGGTTCTCGTGTCGTAAGCATGTTAAACGACACCGTCTGCTTCATTCAGGCGAGATGCCGTTCTCGTGTGAAGTTTGCGGTAAAATGTTTCGACAAGAATACAACAAGAAGATCCACATGCGTGTCCACACTGGGGATAAGCCGTTTGATTGTAAAAATTGCGGACGATGTTTTGCATATAAACAAAGTGCCCAACAACATACTGTGCATTGTTTAAAACAAGTACAAAAACCAACTTTTGTACCTTATAACGTTCAACAAAATTTCAATTTTCAGCAATTATAAACATTTCTGAAGGTTGCAAATTTTATTTCAAGAGTAAAGCCCTGGTGAAGTACATGATGGTGCTGGTTCACTAATCAGGAGGTCCCTGGTTCGATCCCTGTATTTTTTCAGACATGGTTTCCTCTTGTCAGTGATGCAGGACGGAATGCCTGACAAGGACAGCCGTCTAGTCGTTCAGATGGGACGTAAAACATTGGCATGCACATAAAAGATCCCTTGGCAAGTGGAATTCGATATAAGAGTAGGCCGTAGTGCCGCTGCCCAGGCAAAATTTTCCTCATAGCACACTGTATGGCACATGCCCGTTTTCATTAGCCCAGTTGGAGCAGACCAGTAGGATTAGACCGGGAGCCCAGGGGACCAACCTAGCTGAAAAGTGTACCAATTTTTTCCTATGTTATCAGTGCATGTATATCTGGTATCATCAGAATGTAAGTCTACCGGGTTTCTGGTGGTGGGTGTGGTATTCCACGCCCAAAATGTCATGCACACCAACTAGGCTAGATTAGCTCAAAAGTGTACCACATGAAAATGGTACAGCAGTGTACCGTACATCTTCAGATGTTATAGAAACACTGTAACAGACATTTCTAGAAGTGGGTTACCCCTGACAGAGCTATGTAATTGTCAGACATTTGTAGTGGTAGAGTATCCCTGACAAGAGTTATGTAATTTCCAGTCCACAGCTAGGCTAGATTAGCTGAAATCTGTACCACCTAAAACAGCTTTGGAGTTGTTCAGCACGACCACAGGAATCATGAATGACCACTGCCAGACAGTTTGTGCGATGGGTTACCCCTAATAGACACGCCCCAAAATGCCACGTCGGAAAATCTCCATGAACTTTCTCGGCCAATGCAGGGATCGAACATCCGACCTCCAGGCTAGCGAGCCCGCGTCATAACCATCTAGCCACCATGGCTCCCCCACTCAAAGACAGGTCTTGTGATCTAAAGCACACACGTTTAACCAATCGGCTACCCAACTCCCCGGTTGGTTAGGAAACATAGGATGTTAAATCCAATTTCAGTCTTTCGGTACATGTAACATAACATTACATTGACTTCTATTGAACTCCAGGAAAGTGTCATTAGGTGTTCTGGAAATAGTAAGCGTGTAACGCATTTCTACTTATATAAATAACTAAATGAAGCTATAGTTTGAATGGATATAGCATGATGTTATTTGACTGGTATTTGTTTTGTGAAAGATTTGTTATTATATTTTATATAGTTTAGTCAACTTGTTGTCATGGATCAATATTGATATATAATTAAGCTTATACATTATATTTACCAGTTATTGCATGTTAGTTTCTCTAGAAATATATAAAGACGTTGTCGTTTACTACCTATATTTTATACGTTCAATCAGATTAAAACACAAATCCTATTTCTTTCGTTTTTTATATTTCAAATTTTCATTTTACTTGTCTTTACTACACTAGGATCTGGAAGAGTTGTTATATAACCCGCATTCTGGATGATGTGAGGGATTAGCCTACGAAACAGTCTGTTACGGTGAGTTTTTGGCGTGAGGTGCTCGGAACTGTGGGTAACCCACTAGAAACATCAGCGTTGATTGGTTAATCAATTGTCTTACATGATAGGGTCAAAAGCCGTTCATATAACCTCTGACGCGACCTTCCACTACAACTGGTCAGATCTTCATGGAAAGTATAAAAAATCGAAATGAAATATGGACCTGTATTTTAATCAGATTGTGATACGTTTTGTATATTAGGGTCTGTTTGTTGTGTATTTTGTTTATTTTAGACCAGTAAGACATTTTTTCCAAAGAATATAACAATTTTGAGCATTATCTCAATTTATAAATCAAATTTTGTTTTTTTTTACCTGTATAAAAACTATCAATTTAACTGTATTTATTGTGTTTTATGGTTGAATTCATTAAAACACCAAATTTTATTGCATTTAATTTAACTGACAGGTGTATTTGCAAATTTCACTGCAAGAACGGTAAAAATGATCTAATCATTTTACATAAGATATTAAATGGCGGATATTGTAAATTATATTATATTCTTAGCTATGTGTATCCTCTATATATTATATCTGTTTTATTTTATTTGCTGTTGAATAAAACTCAAATGTGTATTATAAAATGTGTATTATTAATTGATATAATTTATGTAGTTACCTCCCACTCGATATATAGCCAGCTATAGGATGTAGTTACCTCCAACTCCTTAAGATACATTATGTTAGAATTAGATAAAGAGCTAGCCATTCTTGCTATAATAGTTCCAAAATAGATAATGTAAAATGAATAATTTGAAAATTTCATTCAAATTACTCTATTGCGAGTGAAGATATTAGCCTTTGAAGTTTTGACAAGACTGAAGGTTTGACAAGACCTGTGCAATAATTTCAACCACTGTACTGGTTGTTCCATCGAGAACTGATTTTGGCCTGGATAAGTTAATTAATGTCTATTTAATAATTTAGAAAACATTTCAAGCCTAAATAAAGACTGTCAATTGGCAGATTTAGCTCTTGCATAATGTATGTTTATATAGCCAGCTATAGGTTGCAGTTACCTCCCACTCCTTATATAGCCAGCTATAGGGTTTAGCTACCTCGCACTCATTATATAGCCAGCTCTAGCGGTTAACTACTTCAGGGGGTTTGGATGGCGGAATGGTTAGCACGTGAGTGCTGCGCTGTATCATACGGTCTGTCATTGAGTCAACTGGCGGGGTTTCGATTCCCCATTTGTACGTGACAAGGAGTAGGGTCGCCTGTCCAACCTCGTGGGTTTTCCTCGGGTCCTCCGGTTTCCTCCCACTGCTAAAGACCCCTACGCGCAAGCGAATTATTGAAATAAAATTGAACCATGTGTTAGTCCCTAAATGACCTAGTTTTTGTTGAGTGGACGTTAAACCCCATTTCTCTCTCTCTCCTTATATAGCCAACTATAGGGTTTAACTACCTCCCACTCGTTATATCAATCTGTTTCACAGAGAATTACGAGTCTTCTCTAATATCTCTGTAAAAGACGACTGCCTTTAACACGTGTTGTCACAGCACGCGGCGTCAATCATTGGCTGAATGGCGCGTGCATTGTATACTTAAGTCATTTTAATACCCATTTACACTAAATAGGAAATAATTTTTACCTACAAATACGTCAAACGTCTTTATTTATTTTTTGAATACATCAAAAAAATGTTTTAGAATTTAATTTGTCGGTGGAAAAAAGTTAATATTTGAGACTCATTAAGTTGCATTGATGTCATCTTTATCAGTGATTTTAGCGGCCTAGCGAATATTCACTGCTGATCAATGTGTCGTTATATAGCCAGCTATAGGCTTTAGTTACCTCTCACTCATTATATAGCTAGCTATAGGATTTAGCTAACCCCCACACCTTATATAGCCAGCTATAGAGTCTAGTTGATGTCATCTTTATCAGTGATTTTAGCGGCCTAGCGAATATTCACTGCTGATCAATGTGTCGTAATATAGCCAGCTATAGGCTTTAGTTACCTCTCACTCATTATATAGCTAGCTATAGGATTTAGCTAACCCCCACACCTTATATAGCCAGCTATAGAGTCTAGTTGAGAATTTCAAAAGAATAAAACAATCCCATAACGGTAGACCTTTACAGCCTGTTAGTCTAATCAAGAAAAGGGTGGTTGGATGGTTGCAGGTTGAGTGGTCTAAGCTTTAGATCATTGAGTCAAGTTGCATGGTTTCGATCGCACACTTGTACATGACAAGAAGTAGGGTCGACTGTGTAACCACATGGGTAATCCTCCGGTCCCCAAGAGCGGGTCTAATGGTATTTTTCATTCACATTGGGGTCTAATATTAGTTTCCATTGGGAATTCTGAAAATGGACATCTGTTTACCATCTAATTCTTCACCCCTAATCATTTTAATAATATTCACATAAAATTGCCGCAACATAAATATTCAAACTCTTTTCATCAATTCCAAACTCGTGAATGATTACTGACAGGATTAGACGGTAAAGTAATTACTGGACCGACTCCAAATTATGTCGAACAATTTATTGGATTTACCTCCCTTTAACTAAAAATTTGTCCACAAGAGCAACTTGATTCATTGAAATGCTCCGTACACAGAAATACAGTAAGTCTGGTTAACCGTACCCTAAAGCAGACAGGAAGTTGGTTCTATTTTTTGACAGGCGATGAAATATTGTTAATTTTGCATCAAATATCGAGTATTTATGGATATTGCATGGAATGCATAGTTCCCCATTGCAATTCGGCTACATGGGCACAGCAATAACTTCAATTTGATGAATAAGGAGTCGATTCTAAGGTGAAATTCTCTAAATGTCTGTCTGGTAAATGTTATAGTCTCGATCAACAAGGACACTTATTTTCAATTTTAGGTTTAACATGTAAAGGTCCATTCCTGTTTTTGACATGACAAAGCCTAATTCATCCATAACCAGAATTTGCCCCAAATGTCTGTCAGCTCATTGATTTCAAATTAAGTAATGGCCATTTTCATATTTGTTCATAATTATCCATTTGTTCCTATTGGAACGGTCCTTGAATGGAAGTTAAGTCCTGTGCATGAGTCTGACCGTTCCTATCCGATGCCGTGGTGGTCCATCCATTTCAACTCTTGAGTGACTCAGATGTTTGACGTAATAGCGTCATAAAAATCCACGTCAGTATGTTAAATATTGGTACACATTTAATTATATTTTAAAGTCATCTCATTAAAAAACAACTCTGAAGATACACCATACAATACATATATGAAATGATTTAGATAGAATATCATTTTCATAAATAGTAATTTCATGCCACAAATTAGTATAGAATCACAAGTTTCTCTAATATTTCAAGAAGAAACAGTACAATTTTAATCTGTCAAACAAGAAGATAACAAATTCGTCTGCTTATAAGGGAAGTAACTCCCTTGTTAAATATTTGTTCTGCTTGGAACCATTTAATGAAATTGAAAAAGTTTATTTAGTCTTTGTATATGACAGATGTGAAACGGAGTAGTATACTAATTTTTGGATATGGCAGCCATTTTGGTCAGAGATCTATTCTCGAAATAGGAAGTAGATGAATATCTGTGTGAAGAATGGATGTATGCCTGTCTTTTGCCTGGATTTAAAGTCCTTTAATGTTTATAATTTAATACATGAGCTTATTTTTCTACCCTGTTAGTAGGGTAAAGTAATTCATCAAACTTAAATTAATACTTTTTCTTTCTTTTATATTTAGTTTCAGTCGACAAAGGAAAATAAATTGAGACAGTATGAATAATCATCATTCAAATATGAGTTCTGAGGATTTTGAGTTTTACACCAAATCACCATCCCTAACAACAGACTCAGTTCATCCTCCACCTTTACCAGGATTACCTCCCTTTGGAAAAACTTGCACAAGTGTAGAAATATCACCAGATATATCCCAACCATCGCTCATATCTGAGAATGGCATAAAGAAAATTATGGAAATTTGTGAAAATCATGTGATAGGTCAGACACGATCTGTTCAAGAAATCGTCAATATTTGTTCAAAAATGGCCGGCTATGAATATTACTGTAACCAAATCGTGGCGTTTTGTAACCAGATTTTCTCTGAGACACTAACCTCTAGTCACACAATAATTAACTTGTGTAAATCATTTACACATTTAGATCTAACTGTAACTGTAAAAGATTCTGTCTCAAAAAATGACTTGGTTCTCCGTAATATCAAGGAAGAAGCACCTTCGACATCAGAAGAAAAATTGGACAGTGTTGTGGAACAGGAAGGTAACAATTCAGAAATAGCTGAGCCTTTTGGATCGTTAGAAACATCTGTCACAGATTTTTTAGATTCTGAAAAGACATTTACGAGTTCTAATTCTAAGAAAAAGCCACGAAAATCTCACCCCGTGAAATTACAGACGGTAGAACAGGAGACGTCTGCTGAAGAACTAAGTGACCAAGAATCGGAATCAGAACATTACAGCAGTGATCCGGACTGGACGACCGATCTCAGTTCAACTGCCAGCCCAGAAAAGAAATCCCCAAAACGATTAAGCTCGACCAAGAAAACAAATAAAAATGTTTGTGATCCGATAGTTCTGTCTATAAAGAAATCCTCAATTCCAAAGAAAAAATCTGACAAACCGGTGTACAATTGTTCATTCTGTTCCAAGAAATTCAGATTAAAACACAACATGCTTCGACATAAATTACTTCACGAGAAACAAGATTTTCCTCGTAAAAAGACAGAAAAGAAAGAATATAAATGTGAACTCTGTGGTCTCGTTTGTCCGTATAATGCAGCGTTTTTACGTCACATGCGTTCACACACGGGGGAGAAGCCTTTCGTGTGTGAAGTGTGTGGAAGCGCCTACGCCGATAACCAGAGTCTGAAAAATCACCAGTTGACTCATTCTGATAATAAACCGGTTGCTTGTGAACTTTGTTCGTACAGATGTCGAAGTAAAAAACAATTAAAGCATCACATGATCGTTCATTCTAACGAGAAGAAATATCAGTGTGATGAATGTGGCAAACAATTCGCACGTAATGACGATCTAAAACGACATAAACTAGGCCACTCTGGCGTTAAAAACTATGCTTGCGAACAATGTGGCAAGCGCTTTGCTCGAAATAATCATCTGAAAGAACATCGAGCAATTCACAACGACGAGATGCCGTATTCATGTGAGATTTGCGGAAAGCAGTCGCGACAAGCGTATAATATTGTTGTACATATGAGAACACACACTGGGCACAAACCGTTTGCATGTGAAAAGTGCGGGAAAAAGTTTGCCCATAATGTATCACTACGGCAACATCGGAACACCTGCCCAGGTAGTGATATGTTGTCAGGACAACAACAAACAAAAGTTGATTTACCAAGGCAACATACTGGGTCCAGATTACAAGGAAAAATGGACATGTTGACTGGTCAATCAAGAAATATAGACATCATGACTGGACAACCAAGTAAAATAGTGAGATTGCCTGCTGGACAGCAAGAGGATAAATTAGACTTGTTGTCAGGACAACCAGGAAGAGGAGATGGACCATCGTCTACATTTAACCCTTTAAATTATTTATATGGAAATATTCCTTCTTTATAAACTTTATTAATATTTGTTTGTTGTATATTAGGATGTTACATTGTAAATGTATACCCCTAAAAATTACATGTAATTTAAATATCTAAAACTAAACTTCGATTCACTGATTTTTAATTTTTTACACTTAACAATTGTTACTATATATATTTTTGTTATGATAAAGTATGATTTTAATGGATAAAGGCCTCACCAATTTCAGTTTTCAGTTCTTCAGGATCAATTAATAACATTTACTTGCTCTTTTCTAAATTCTTGGCATCAATTTTTAAATTTTAAGAAAAAAAATCCAACAAACATCTCTCACAGTTTGTCAGTGGCTAGTTATGAAGATCTCAAAGAAACTAAAAATTGAATTGGATTGACCTATAATAAGTTATGTATTCCCCCTATACTTGTGATCCCTTGTTGTTAAATATTATATGTAAAAGGTATTTATATTTCTATTACTGTCAGGTTTCTTGTAGGCCTATATACAAGACTGGACCCAAAGCACCTGTCACAGACTTCGTCAGACACAAATAATTTGTGCAATAATTTGTGCCTGACAAAGGCTGTGACGGGTGCCTTATATCCAGGCTTTTCTTTGTACATGTATAAGGAACTCTTTTCCTAAATGTAATATACTCCATTCCCAAGTTGTATGGTAAAAAGAACTTTTTAAAATGAAAATATAAAATTTTATCCATTAAAGATGGGTTCCCAGAAAAGTATTTATCGGGTGGTTATTTCCAATAAAAGTATGGCAATTTTGGTATATATGCAGGGCTGTCGGTAATTTTTCACAGTTGATTAGCAGCACTGCTAATCAAAAAGTCCAATTTTGCCAAATTTGATTAGCAGTTTTTCAGTTTCAACGTAAAACACCTAAATAACAAGATATTACTTTAATTCATAACAAATATGATTAGATTCCATTCTGACTATTCTTTAAATTCTTAGATTTTTTAGCACTGCCACAAGTACTTGTGACAGTTTGTGAATGTGATGTAGACATTTAGTTAGGTCTTATGTCTGAAGCCAATTCTTGACAGTGACTTCCGAAGCTCCACTCAATTTAATTGTTATTTTTTGTCACGTTAGAAATCTTCGTTAGAAAACAATTTGTCTGCTTTTTATCGTGTATTAGTTTACTATTTTTGTTCAATCGGGCGCACCTCGATTAACTAGACACACGCATTATAAACAATAATATTTTACGGGAATTTTTACTTTGATTTATCATTTTAAAATACGTTAACATGTATTTTTTTTTTTATATTTTATTTACAATGCGTGGGGGATACACTGGATTTATTTCTTTCAAAATGAATATGATATAATTACTTGATGTCTCGCAATGTGAGTGGTACTACTTGATTCCCTATTTCCGGTTTAATAGTCCCTATTCATAGAGTTATGTCCCTGTGTTATATAGTATTGTGTCTGGGTAGTTCGAGAAGAAAATGTCACACGGAGAATTCAGTTTTGTTTATAAAATTTTATTCAACATTTTATACACGTTGAAAGTGTTGAGTAAGCCTTCTAGTCTTCAAAATGTGGATTATTCTTGTGTCAATATCAAAATTGACAGGCATATTAATGATTCGCAGTTACTGCGAATGAAAAACGTTAGATTTTAATTTTTGGTTAGCAACGGACAACATATGTATCGCAAATTGCGCTGCGATACTGGTTGTCGGCAGCCCTGTATATATGGAAAGGAGAGATATCCAATCTTACTAGAAAAATAATGGATTCCCCGAAAAACACTCATGGAGCGTATACAGGACAAAAATGTAAGGGTTCCCCTAATCAACAGCCCGACGATTAAGAATTTCTGCATGCGTAATGTCAAAGGTCACACGCGAACATTGAGCGCTTGATGTACAAGTTGATAAACTTTATGAAGAGTTAGACGTACAACACTTTCTGAGATAAAAATGACAGAAAAAGACGCGGGTAGTGGATAATCCGAGAATTTAATTAGGATTCGATATTTGTAATAAATAGTAAGCGATTAAAGACAACATCGTCTTATGTATGCAATGAATTCTCCTCTGATTTCCAAGACGTGACGTAAACATGACCTGGTTTGATCGAGTTTTAATAGCAGGGCATTCCTTCGCAATTACAATGTTTGAGAAGGATTTGAAGCATAATTATGACAAATTAATTAGTTTGAATATGTTTTTAGTCCATATATACCATTAAATCACCCAGTTTGTACGCGGGAACCCATCTTGAAGCTGTCTGTTATTGAAAATATCAAATGCAAAATTATTAAATTGTATGTCAATTACGTTAAAACAATATTCCATTTGCGCAGTTATAAATAAATACTTATTTATTATGTTTAAAATATTTGATCTAGGTTTAATTGTAATTAATGAGTATAAAATATATGGTGTTGATTTAAGTAATGAGTATGTGATATCTGATCTAATTTATGTTTAATTAATGAGTATAAAATAGGTGATCTAGGTTTAATTAAGAAGTATGAAATATGTGATCTAGGTTTAATTAATAAGTATAAAAAATGTGATCTAGGTTTAATTAATGAGTATCAAATATGTGATCTAGTTTTAATTAATGATCATAGAATACTATGTCTTGATCTACATGTGTACCGGTAGGTTTAATTAATGAGTATAAAATATCTGATCTTGGTTTAATTCATAAGTATAGAATACTGATCTAGGTTTAATTAACGAGTATAAAATATATGGTGTTGATTTAAGTAATGAGTATAAAATATCTGATCTGGGTTTAGTTAATGAGTATAAAATATCTGATATTGGTTTAATTAAGGAGTATGAAATATTTGATCTAGGTTTAATTAGGGAGCAGTAGCCACGATGGCTCAGTGGGTACGACGTTGGCTGAATAACCTGGAGAGGTCACATGTTCGATCCCTGCATTGGCCAAGAAAGTTCATTGGGATTTTCCTGCGTGGTTCCTCCTTGTCAGTGGTGCAGGACTGAGGGTCTGGCAAGGGACAACATATAGTCGTTTGGATGGGATGAAAACTGATATAGGAATAGGCTGAAGCATTGCTGTCTGGGCTATTTATCACTCCCTCATAGTATAGTGTATGCCCCTCTTCATAAGTTGGTGCAGAACAGTAGGATGTTAAACACCATTGCATTTCATTTTAATTAGGGAGTATTAATTAAACCCAGATCCGATATTAATTAATGAGTATGATGTGATCTAGGTTTAATTAAAGAGCAGGAATATAGCTTTGAAGAGCATCACATGGTATTTATCACATTTTGTACAAGAGCTCTTCAGATACCATGGTTGTTATTTTACTTGTTTTGTTTATATATTTTGAATTTATTTACTGTTGTGGGTGTGGCAATATTCATCATAGTTATCATTTCTAATAGACTAGTGATTAACCTCTACTTCTTTTGGTGGAAGTTAAACTTAAAAATATATTTCGTCGGGGAGCCGCTGTGACTCAGTGTGTAAGACACTGGTTCACTGGTTCAATCATGGCGCTGACCGAGAAGGTTTTAAATGGGTTGTAGTTTTCATTTTGAGTGAAGCCTTTATCCGTATAGGTCATGGACTGTACATTGCAGTGGACGCTTCCACTTGGCTCCAAATCCATTCATTTGATTTGATATACATGTATATCCGTTTGTTGTTTATTACTTGCAATGTCTGTGTATTTTGTCGGTCTTGTCTGAAGCAGGCTTGTCCGTGGGTTTGTCTTTATGTGTGGTGCAATCTTCCTGTACTTACTATTAGACAGGACACATTTCTGTGAAATACCGTACAATTACTGTTTATTACTGGGCAGGGTTGGGGCGTGGTTTCTCTAGTCTTAATCTATTACAAAATATATTTAAAACATTTAAAATGATATATTTAACATTATATTACATATATTTAATATGACCCTGTTATACATGTATCACATAGTTTGTAGTATTATTTATTTTATCAATTTATTTATTTCTTAACCACATGAACTAGTAGTTACGATATATTAGTACATATATTAAATATAAACAAGCCCTATGGCCACATGGACTGGTAGTTACGATATTAGTACATATATTAAATATAAACAAGCCCTATGGCTACATGGACTGGTAGTTACGATATTAGTACATATATTAAATATAAACAAGCCCTATGGCCACATGGACTGGTACTTACGATATTAGTACATATATTAAATATAAACAAGCCCTATGGCCACATGGACTGGTAGTTACGATATATTAGTACATATATTAAATGTAAACAAGCCCTATGGCCACATGGACTGGTAGTTAGGATATTAGTACATATATTAAATATAAACAAGCCCTATGGCCACATGGACTGGTAGTTACGATATTAGTACATATATTAAATATAAACAAGCCCTATGGCCACATGGACTGGTAGTTACGATATTAGTACATATATTAAATATAAACAAGCCCTATGGCCACATGGACTGGTAGTTACGATATTAGTACATATATATATAAAGAAACCCTATCGCCATATGGACTGGTAGTTCCGATATTAGTACATTTATTATATATACACAAAGAAAAAAGTTAAGCACCCTATGTATTTTTTACAATGACATTTTTCATCTTCAATTGCAATGTTGAATTATGTTTCTGACTCTGTACCTTCATACTTATTCTGACTCCATCTTGGAATTATTTTCAATATCATGATAAAAATCTCAAAACTGTAAAAACTCTATATGTTTCTCCGAGATTGTGAAAAATACACATATGGTGCTGAACTTTTTTTCTTTGTGTATATAAAGTAGCCCTATGGCCACATGGACTGGTAGTTACGATATAATTATATATAAAGAAACTCTATCGCCAGGATGGAAGCGCAGCGGCTCGGTGAGTAAGGCGTTGGTTCGCTAATCTTGAGGTCCCATGGTCGAGAAAGTTAATCTGGATTTTCAGATGTTGTTCTCCCTTGCCAGAGGTGCTGGGCGGAGGGCCTGGCAAAGGACAGTATATATTTGTTTGAATGGGACGAAAAATCAAGGTCCCGTGTACACATTGGCATACATGTAAAAGAAGCCTTGACAGTTGGAATTAGATAATAAGCGTAGACCGTATGGCCGCTGTCCAGACCAATTTTCCCTCATTGCACACTGTATGGCATATGTCCATCTTCATTAAAGGAATCTGAGCAGAAGAGTAGGACGTTAAACCCAATTGCATTTTCTATCACTTCTTTCAAAATTTTAAACTGTTATTATGATAGCCTCGGTTGTACGTGACAAGGAGTAGGGTCGCCTGTCCAACTTCGTGGGTTTTCACCGGATCCTCCGGTTTCCTCCCACTGCTAAAGACCCCTACGCGCAAGCGAATTATGAAAATAAAATTGAACCATATGTTAGTCCCGAAATGACCTGGTTTGTGTGGAGTGGACGTTAAACCCCATTTCTCTCTCTTTCTCTCTCTCTCTCTCTCTCTCTCTATTATGATAAAGCCAGCTTTATGGTTAAATTTTCATTTGGCAGAGGCCATTTTTCCTTTCCTAACTATTTATTCAGTAAATATTTAAAGGGGCGTTATATTTAAGATTAGATAACGATCTGACAGTTATCGCTATAATAGTTAGAAAATAGATAATGAAAAGGGAATATGTTGAAAATTTCAGTCAATTTACCGGTTCTTCACTCTGAGCCGAGTTATCACCAATAAAATTACAGTGTAGACTGCATTGTTATTGCTACCGTTGTTATGATAATAAACAATGTCTCGATTATCCATTTTTCTGTTAAATCGTATTGAAATCTATTTAAAATCTAGACTACCCAATGGCATCAGGAGTTGATTATGGTCTAATTAATAGTTTATAGAACATTTCAGGCCTAAAGAAAACCTGGCACTGGGCAGATTTAGCTCTTTCATTATGCCTGTATAAAGACACAACATTTCAAGGCAGTCGTAGTGGGTAAGTTAGTAAGATGCTCGCTCGCTAACCAGACGGTCTCATGTTCGCTCCCGTTATTTGTTCCCCAGGACAGTCTCTAGTGGTTAGGATGGGATGAAATAAAATGAATGAAATGAGGTTTAACGTCCTACTGTTCAGCTCCGAACTGGGCTAATGGAGACGGGCATACGCTATGAGCTATGAGGGAAATTTTGCCTGAACAGTGGCACTACTCTTATATCGAATTCCAACTGTCAAGGGATCTTTTACATGCACCCCAATGTGTACACAGGGACCTCGGTTTTTCATCCCATCGAAACAACTAGACAGCTGTTCTTGTCAAGCCCTCCGTCCTGCATCACTGACAATGGGGAAGCACACCAGAAAATCTGGATGAACTTTTTCGGCCAATGCAGGGATCGACGACCCGACCTCCAGGCTAGCAAGCCAGCATCTTACCCACTTAGCCACCATGATCCCTGAGTCAATATTGGGGGATATTCAAGATGTCAGTTTTGGCGGGAAAATTCAAATTTTACACAAGGATCAAGTTTGGTGTTAAAATATTCACGTATGTTTTCGAGGTAGCTGAATCCATTTTTGTACATATTTTGGTGATTAAGTAATTCCCCTGTGTCAATATAGGAGAAATTCCAATTAGGGATTTAGATTTCCGATTGGAGATTAATGATTCTCCTACCTTAGACCTAATACAACGACATTCATCCAGCTCACTGCGGTAGCGGCGTATGGGTATGTCCACTTGGGCCACTCCCAGGTCACTGCGGAGGCTGGTCGCGCCTTTTGAAGCACGTCCGTGGCGAATTTATTTCACAGAATGCTTCAAATGTTGAGACACAGATGGATACAGTATCGTCTGTTTATCAGATATGCAGTGAACAATTTGATAATGAACAGCCCGCCGTTATTGCACAATGTTGTAACGTTATTGAAGTGGAGGGGCCTGTATCAAGGTCTAGACGGTCTGCGGTACCAAAATTCACTTTTGCGGACTGTTGTCTTTTACATGGTCTTTAGGAATGACTAGCACTCTGTTACAACAGTAAACAGTAGAACTCGCAACACCTATTTTTTTGGACATGCCAAGACAGGACAAATGATGACTGGACATTATAAATCTAGTTGTATTTAACAAATCAACATAAGCAAAAAATCTCATTGCAGAGGCGCGCTGGACAGGTAGTCAATCGCCTGCCCCCCCATAAATGCAAAAACAAAAGAAATTGAAAATGGTTGATAATGCTCGATGAGATTTCCGACCAAAGTATAGGGGAGGAAGCGGGGGTGGCTATGTGCCCTCTCTTCCGAAAATGTGCCCTCGAATTTCGACAAGAGTTACCTTAAATACTCAAGGAGAGGCCCACCCTAATGAAAACACAGGGGCGGATCCAGGAATTTTTGCAGGAGTGGTTTTGCCAGGTTCACAGCCGGATTAGTATTTCCATAATATTCAGAATTAACTAATTTGTCTTAATTCTATTTATTTATCTAAATGAATTTAGGAAAATTTCAACATGGGCAACGGGAAAGTTTTTGTCGGTTAGCATACTCAGGGCCAATACGTCACCACGAAATTGACATTTAAACTGTCACCAGTAACTCCCTTGGTTTGGCTTAAAGTGTATCTTGACCATCTTCTTGTTCTTGTGGTTGTCAATCTACTTTCAATTCTACCCCCCCCCCCCCCCGTTAACCATCTGCTCATTAGGGAACTTAATCGAACGAATCTTGGCAGGTACCCTTTGTCAGGAATACAAGTCCCTTTGGATGCTTGTTTTTCTTTACTCACAGGTCGTTTAGTTCTTGACTGCAGCTATGTTCATTTTCAGATCCTTAGAACTTATTCATAGTCCCTTAACCAAGTGTCAATGTATGGTATGTCATGATTCACATAAACGTCAAATCCCTATACTGCCCCCCCCCCCTTCCTAAAGTGCCCTAACTTTGGTCTGCCTACCCTCATTCGGAGGACCTAGCAAGCCTTTGGCTCATTGTCAAACTTAGGCATGATTCTACACCAAGTTTTACTCTGTCCTTAATTCTCTGCCATTAAAATTGGTATCGCAATCGGCTCATTATTGTCGGCCTCCAAAACCCGTTATTTTTTCGTCATTCAAATGGTTCACTGCATATCTGACAAACAGACAATACTGTTTCCGTCTGTGTCTCCGCATTTGAATCATTTTGTGAAATAAATTCGTCAGGTGCTTCAATAGGTTTGACCATCTTGGCTCAACTTTCGAGATTGGTTAATCGAAATCGCAAACGCCCACTAGTGGGCTGAGAATGGCGTGCACGTAAAAGACCCCTTGACAGTTGGAATTCGATCTAAGAGTAGGCCATAGTGCCGCTCTCCGGGCAAATATTTAATCATAGCACACTGTATGGCGTATGCCCGTCTTTATTAGCCCAGTTGGAGCAGACCAGTAAGACGTTAAACCCCATTTCATTTCATTTTTTCCACTCCATGTATAGACGCTGCACTGCTGTTATTGACACTCGCGGTGGACACACCGCATACTGATGTATAGACTGTGTACAGATTCTAAACGTTCTCGTAATGTCTTGGAATTGTGAAGAATTAATCACTAGCTCAAAATTGCTTTGATCCATATAGTAAGTCGTTTTCTAGAATGATTTGATTAAAAGTGCCTCTCTGATTTTGAAATCGTACTGACGTGTTTTTCTTGTTTAGTACATAATTATATGGCTATTAATGTAACTTACAAATAAACACTGTTTTTTTTTGGGGGGGGGGGGGTAGTCAGAAGTTACAGTGCAGATATTGTTGGCCCCAGCTGAACTATTTCCTAAATGTTTTATGGCAGAGCCTCGTTTAACATGGTCACTAGAAGGCGCCGGCGTCGCGCACTGACCAAACTGTGCCGCCTACTGAGCCCAAAAGTTGAAGACTGGGCGGCAACATACGTACATACGTTGTGAAAATCGCTGACAAGGTTTTTTCCATGTGCCAAGCATGCATGAGGGCTGTTAATCTGTCATGTCCCTGGCTGGCCGAACCAGTCAGCAGCCGGCGCAGCGAGGTTCCCGTGGCCTCACTTTGGAACGAGTGTCCTGTCAGTTTCATGTCTGGTATCCGATCAATAGTGAAAATGAAAGCAGAAGTTTGGAAAAAATTTTATTTCGATATTTCTATCGTATTTTTATCGTATTTACATAGTTTTTACCTCTTATGTGACCTCGCTAGGCAGTATGGCTGATGGTAACGGTCCACCGGACAAAGTAGGTTTACAAAATCGTCTTTCTGATTGTTTTATGGGTATATTTCTGTCGGCGGGTCAGCCGCAGCAGTGTTTTGATCTCGATTCTACAGAATCAATCCATGGGTTAACAAGATGCCAAAACTAATATGTGTATCAAATCCTCGAAACTATTTTTTAAGTGCTCAGAAATCGAGTCTAAGGGAGTCAATTTTCAAAATTTTCTGGGCGAGGGCCCCCCAGACCCCCCGCGCGAACTCACACCTGTGGTGTTCGCGCGGCTCGCACCTACGGTGCTCGTGGGTGGGGCTTCGCCCGACATTGCCGCGCACGACCAAATCCTTTGACGAGGCTCTGTTTTATGTATAGGAGAAAACATCTCAAATTGCCCATATCTCGATTATTTCTTGACGGATCATGTTTGGATTCCCATAGAGTTTTTCTGAAAGCTTAATCAATGCTTTCCAAATAGTCCTCTCCATTTTGTTAATTTATATTGATAGACTAAAAATGACTGAGAGACCCATGTTCCTTAACATTTTGAATTGTTTATAGCGATATGCAACCACCATTTTGAATCCAATTTTCGTAAACTATTCAGGAGATACGAGAGCCCACTCTATCTATTAATGCCCTCCACGACGTCCCCATCCCTCGGTATCCCACTGGTCTCATTGCGCACCACTCTACTAACCCCTGGTTTAATTCATGGGGGGAAACACGTATTCAAATTATCTGCCCTTGATAACTGTGCCATTTTTTCGACCAATCAAAAAAATAAAATAGATGTTTTAGGACATCTTTTTTTGCAACCTTTCTCATAATCGAGCGAACATCCGCAATAGTGTTTTTTTAAAAATGTGAATTTCGTTTAATTACATGTTCTCTTATTTAATACATGTTAATATAAGCAAGGATTGTTTGCAGTATTGAATATTTATGAAATGCTGCTAATGTTGTCCTAGTCATCGTCACTCTTGTTGCCACCGTTGCTATCATTGTTTTCGTTGCTATCGCCACTATCGTCGCTCTTGTTGCTATCGTCCACACTCCCGTTGCTATTGTTGTCGTTGCTATCGTCGTTATTGCCACTATCGCTGCTCCCGTTGCTATCGTTGTCATTGTTGCTATCGCCAATATCGTCGCTCTCGTTGCTATCGCCACTCCCGTTGCTATCACCACTATCGCCGCTCCCGTTGCTATCGCCACTCTCACCGCCCCCGTTGCTATCACCACTATCGCTGCTCCCGTTGCTATCGCCACTATCGTCGCCCCCATTGCTATCGCCACTATCGTCGCTCCCATTGCTATCGCCACTATCGCCGCTCCCGTTGCTATCACCACTATCGTCATTCCCGTTGCTATCGCCGCTCCCGTTGCTATCGCCACTATCGCCGCTCCCATTGCTATCGCCACTATCGCTGCTCCCGTTGCTATCGCCACTATCGCTGCTCCCGTTGCTATCGCCACTATCGTCACTCCCACTGCTATCGCCACTATCGTCGCTCCCATTGCTATCGCCACTCCCGTTGCTATCACCACTCCCGTTGCTATCGCCACTATCGTCATTCCCGTTGCTATCGCCACTATCGCCGCTCCCGTTGCTATCGCCACTATCGCCGCTCCCGTTGCTATCGCCACTATCGCCGCTCCCGTTACTATCGTCACTATCACCGCCCCCGTTGCTATCGCCACTATCGCCACTATCGCCGCTCCCGTTGCTATCACCACTCCCGTTGCTATCGCCACTATCGTCATTCCCGTTGCTATCGCCACTATCGCCGCTCCCATGGCTATCGCCACTATCACCGCCCCCGTTGCTATCGCCACTATCGCCGCTCCCGTTGCTATCGCCACTCTCACCGCCCCCGTTGCTATCGCCACTATCGTCGCTCCCATTGCTATCGCCACTATCGTCACCCCCGTTGCTATCGCCGCTCCCGCTGCTATCGCCGCTCCCGTTGCTATCACCACTCCCGTTGCTATCGCCACTATCGTCATTCCCGTCGCTCCCGTTGCTATCGCCACTCTCACCGCCCCCGTTGCTATCGCCACTATCGCTGCTCCCGTTGCTATCGCCACTATCGTCGCTCCCATTGCTATCGCCACTATTGTCGCTCCCGTTGCTATCGCCGCTCCCGTTGCTATCGCCACTATCGTCGCTCCCATTGCTATCGCCACTATCGTCGCTCCCGTTGCTATCACCGCTCCCGCTGCTATCGCCGCTCCCGTTGCTATCACCACTCCCGTTGGTATCGCCACTATCGTCATTCCCGTTGCTATCGCCACTATCGCCGCTGCCGTTGCTATCGCCACTCTCACCGCCCCCGTTGCTATCGCCACTATCGCTGCTCCCGTTGCTATCGCCACTATCGTCGCCCCCATTGCTATCGCCACTATCGTCGCTCCCGTTGCTATCGCCACTATCGTCGCCCCCATTGCTATCGCCACTGTCGCTGCTTCCGTAGCTAACGCCACTATCGTCGCTCCCATTGCTATCGCCACTATCGTCGCTCTCGTTGCTATCACCATTATCGCCGCTCCCGTTGCTATCGTCACTATCGCCGCCCCCGTTGCTATCGCCACTAACCCCGCTCCCGCTGCTATCGTTGTCCCCGTCTTCAGCTGCAGTTGTGCCCGGTGCTACAGTTGTCGCGGGTGCTGCAGTTGTGTCGGGTGCTGCAGTTGTCATGGGTGCCGCAGTTGTGCCGGTTGCTACAGTTGTGTCGGGTGCTGCAGTTGTGCCGGGTTCTACAGTTGTCGTGGGTGCTGCAGTTGTGCCGGGTGACGCGGTTGTGACGGGTGCTGCAGTCGTGCCGGGTGCCACAGTTGTCGCTGTTGCTGCAGTTGTGCCGGTTGCGACAGTTGTCGCGGGTGCTGCAGTTGTGTCGGGTGCTGCAGTTGTCATGGGTGCCGCAGTTGTGCCGGTTGCTACAGTTGTGTCGGGTGCTACAGTTGTGCCGGGTGCTACAGTTGTCGCGGGTGCTACAGTTGTCGCGGGTGCTGCAGTTGTCGCGGGTGCTACAGTTGTCGCGGGTGCTGCAGTTGTCGCGGGGGCTACAGTTGTCGGGGGTGCTGCAGTTGTCGCGGGTGCTGCAGTTGTGTCGGGTGCTGCAGTTGTCATGGGTGCCGCAGTTGTGCCGGTTGCTACAGTTGTGTCGGGTGCCACAGTTGTGCCGGGTGCTGCAGTTGTCGCGGGTGCTGCAGTTGTGTCGGGTGCTGCAGTTGTCATGGGTGCCGCAGTTGTGCCGGTTGCTACAGTTGTGTCGGGTGCTGCAGTTGTGCCGGGTTCTACAGTTGTCGTGGGTGCTGCAGTTGTGCCGGGCGCTGCAGTTGTGCCGGGTGACGCGGTTGTGACGGGTGCTGCAGTCGTGCCGGGTGCCACAGTTGTGCCGGGTGCTGCAGTTGTCGCGGGTGCTGCAGTTGTGTCGGGTGCTGCAGTTGTCATGGGTGCCGCAGTTGTGACGGGTGCTGCAGTCGTGCCGGGTGCCACAGTTGTGCCGGGTGCTGCAGTTGTCGCGGGTGCTGCAGTTGTGCCGGGTGCCACAGTTGTCGCTGTTGCTGCAGTTGTGCCGGTTGCGACAGTTGTCGCGGGTGCTGCAGTTGTGTCGGGTGCTGCAGTTGTCATGGGTGCCGCAGTTGTGCCGGTTGCTACAGTTGTGTCGGGTGCTGCAGTTGTGCCGGGTTCTACAGTTGTCGTGGGTGCTGCAGTTGTGCCGGGCGCTGCAGTTGTGCCGGGTGACGCGGTTGTGACGGGTGCTGCAGTCGTGCCGGGTGCCACAGTTGTGCCGGGTGCTGCAGTTGTCGCGGGTGCTGCAGTTGTGTCGGGTGCTGCAGTTGTCATGGGTGCCGCAGTTGTGCCGGTTGCTACAGTTGTGTCGGGTGCTGCAGTTGTGCCGGGTTCTACAGTTGTCGTGGGTGCTGCAGTTGTGCCGGGCGCTGCAGTTGTGCCGGGTGACGCGGTTGTGACGGGTGCTGCAGTCGTGCCGGGTGCCACAGTTGTGCCGGGTGCTGCAGTTGTCGCGGGTGCTGCAGTTGTGTCGGGTGCTGCAGTTGTCATGGGTGCCGCAGTTGTGCCGGTTGCTACAGTTGTGTCGGGTGCTGCAGTTGTGCCGGGTTCTACAGTTGTCGTGGGTGCTGCAGTTGTGCCGGGCGCTGCAGTTGTGCCGGGTGACGCGGTTGTGACGGGTGCTGCAGTCGTGCCGGGTGCCACAGTTGTGCCGGGTGCTGCAGTTGTAGAAGTTGCTTCGGGGCTGAAAGAAACAATGTTTAGTACAAGTCTTTAATCCATTTCGGTGGCAAATTATTTCAGGAATTTGGCACCACTAGTTAGAGTACTAACAAATGTCATGTTTTGTATTAAAGATGTATTATGTAAGTTTTTAGATAAAGAACTGATAGATCTTGATATAATAGCTAAAATATCTTGAAAATATCAGTCAAATTACTTCTTTCTGAGCTTCATTATGGTCGTTCGGGGAATAACGGAGTTTCGGTTGTCTTTGCTACCATTGTTATGATAGTAAACAAAGTATCGAATATCCATTTTTTAATTAAATCTTTAACCGCCAGTCTTGTTTAAATAGGTTGAAAATCTCGAGTTGGTTATGAACTTGGCAAGTTAATAAATGTTTTAAGGCTTAGAGAGAGACCTGCAATGGGCACCTTTAACCGCCAATCTTATTTAAATAGGTTGAAAATCTCAAGTATCCGATGGTATCGGGAGTTAGCTATGAACTTGGCAAGTTAATAAATGTTTTAAGGCTTAAAGAAAGACCCGCAATGGGCACCTTTAGCTCTTGTATAATGCATCTTTACTAATACGAATACAACTCCTCCATCACAAGAATTTAATAATTTCTCCACTACTGAACCTGGTTAACAAATGAGTCTTGACCAGCTTGGCACATTGACCTTAACCCAACAAAATAAAAATTCAAGATTTTCAAAATATGATCAAATAAAAACATTTCGTTTCAGGAAAATTGATCTACGTTCAAGATCACAGTTTCATGAACTCGATAGTAAGGCTATAGACGGGCGCGGTTTTGGTTTCAACTTGGCAGTTTCGCAACTGACAACATACTGAATTATAGGACCATTCGTTAACAAGATAGCATTATGTATGGATTCCATGTGAAGGCTTGTCATGATTGTCCAGGACAGGTGGCCTGGCAAGGGACAGCGTATCGTCATTGGAATGTGAAAACCGAGGTCCCCGTACACACTGGTTAAAGATCCTTTGACAATTGAAATTCGATATAAGAGTAGGCCTTAGTCCCGCTGTCCGGCAACATTTCCCTCATGGCACACTGTATGGTGTACGCCTGTCTTATTAGCACAGTCGAAGCAGAACAGTCGGACGCTAAACCCCATTTCTGTTTTGCCATTATTCCAATATTATAGCACTTCAAGAAAGCAAATTCAGAGAGGTTGGAAATGCCCTTAAATAGATCCTAGAGAGAAGCATGTAAATTTTAATTACTAGTTTCAATAAAATACAATAATATTTCAAAGAATATTATTAGGGAAACGGTGATCGGCTCAATCGATATATTGTATTATTGCCGCATTTTTAATGGTCAAAATATTACTGTCAATAGAATTTAGGCTACATATTGGGATATATTGATTTATTGAAATTATTGCCAAGCCCTATGTGAAACCTATCTTCGAAATTTCGATCTTTACTTTTTCCCCAAAAATCAGTTTACTTACTTGTCGACACAGCGGGCAACACCACCAGTTTTGGTGCAGGTTTGATTCTCTCTGCAGACGTTGCCGTTGCATTTACACACACCCCAATCACATGTTAGAGGTGCACAACAATCAACGTTTCTACACGGATCTAGAATATAATTTTTAAAAAAAACGTAAGAGAATTGGTGGATGAAGAACTGCTGTAAGTCGGCCTGTGAAGAACTAGTGTAAATTGTCCGATCAAGAATTTTCGGAACCGATTAATGTGGCTGATTTCTATTTAATTTTAAAAACAAAGTTTATTTCAAATGCTTTCACATAATCAAATTGTCTCCCTTTCTCACATTTCTCCAGAAGTGATATCGCCAACAAAAACGGCAAGTACAGGCTATACGGTGGTGGCAATTCATATTTTAACGGAATCCCATGTCTGTTGAACCGAGGCAAACTCGGTTTTCTAGCCATATCCATGCCCTTGTGTAGAGTAGTCCCAATAAACTGACCAGGTCTTGAATTTGATATGACAGAACAGCTGTGATATTTGAGAAACCATGCAGATACCCACAAGGGCCTCCGGCGTAGGGTGGGTTGGGTGGCCGAATGGTTAAATCATAAGGTCTGTCATTGAGTCAACTGGCCTGGTTTCGATTCCCCGGTTGTACGTGACAAGGAGTAGTGTCGCTTGTCCAACCTCGTGGGTTTTCTCCGAGTCCTCCGGTTTCCTTCCACTGCTAAAGACCCCTACGTGCAAGCTAATTATTGAAATAAATTTGAACCATATGTTAGTTCCGAAATGACCTGGTTTGTGTCGAGTGGACGTTAAACCCCATTTCTCTCTCTCTCCTCCGACGTAGGGTAGGCAGATCAAACTTAGGGCACTTTAGGTGGTGCCGAGCAATGTTTGGCTCTGTGGCACATGCTAGGATCGACTTGGCGTACATCTCAGCCATGGCATACCCATGTTCCTGAAGCAACGACTGCGATCTAGCCGTTGCTAAATTGGTTTGAAATTCCCAAACTTTTAAGTACGTTATCTCCCTTGACCACAGACATGTGATACAAACAAATTAGAGGAATAGATTCGCTTACAGCCGTTGAAAACTTTTTTAAGTTAAGTTAACCTTACTAGCATAATGGAAGAACGAAAAAAAAATGAAATAAAATAAAACGAAGTAGGGTTTATACTGTTCTGAACCGGCTGGGCTAAAGAAGACGGGGAATGGACTAAGATGTGAAATAGGCCATAGAATAGAATAATATTAGCCAAAAAGCGGAATGTTCCAACAAACTTGACATTGAACGAACTTTGAACTGTGCATCTCGATTATCACAGCTAGACATTTCAGCTGGAAACTGCGCGACCTAGTATTCTCGATAATATTTTCTACCGATGAATCTGAGAGGTCCCCATCTGGGCCAATAAGTGACGACAAATGTAGGGTATTACGCTAAGGGCTTGATAATATGTGCGAGGTTAAAAAGCCTTCTGTTGAAGATGTGGCATACCATACTTTGGCACTTGGTTGATGGATTACTACTCAATCTTTTTGAGAAATTGGACCAAAAATGGGTACAAACTGGGAACTTTGAAAAATGGAAACCGAAATCAGAGAAAATTGAATACCAGCCACTATCAGTCGATCATCAGCAGCACTGACCGGCTTCCTGACCCACTATGGCTGGGAGCCAACGAGCAGCAAGGAGTTATTAATGGTGCATGTATGTACATTCAGCGCGATTGGATTGTAGTATCGCTGGTTCTGGCTGGAACAAAAGAAGGGCAGCAAAAAACCGAGGGCACAATTTTGTCATTGGGGCAATGAGAATATGATGACATTAATGCGGGAATTCGAGGGCACCCACCCAGGACGCCTCTAGAACCACGCTGTTTAGGACGAAAAAACAGAATCATATCTTACCACAGCATCTGTCGCAAATACCATATTCTCTTACCCTACGACAGTTCAAGTTCTGCTGCAAAGGTCTGAAGTTCCAGAATAGGGGTAAGGGATACCGCGCTGGTCTGTTGGCTCTTCTGTAACGTCCATACCTGTGCCTGCCACCCCAGCGAGCCTCGACAGCAATCAAAACTACAGCAACCAAGAGAACAGACGTTAACAAGAAGCGCATATTGGTAAATCTTTCACCTTTTAAGTATAGAGAAATCAGAAAGGTAGTTGATTAATTCAGAAACACCTCTGTCTATTATACTAATTTACGAGTAGACAGGTGTTTATACTGTAAACATTTTATGTAAAAAAAATAAAATTACTGTGAAATCAATCAGATTTTCTTGTTATAAAACAATAAAATATTTATTGGCATATCTACCTGTTAATTAAACCTATATCAGCCGTAGTTTAACACACTGTCACTGACCTCATCTCTTTTCTTACACATCGAAACGAATAATAAGGTTCTTTGTTTAACTAGTCGGTGCGGTTTCCCCATGTCAGTGGTGCAAGACGGAGGAGCTTTTTGTGCCATTTGCGACTATTGAGCGTGATCAGTGTGTGTATGTGTGGGGTGGAGGTCTGTGTGACGGTGGTAAGGGGTGACGGGTGGTGGGTGTTTTCGCCCCCCTCCCCCGCACCCCGATCGGCACCTTAAAAATGTGATGTTTTAAGTAATATAGTCAATATGGCAATATAAATAATGGCAAAGTATTTTGTCGAAAAAAAAATGTTTGTTTAGAGCAATGTCATCCGAACTATAGTGTAGAACTTAGAAGATCCTCTGAATCACATACGAGCTACCACTGATAACTTACGCATTTGACTACAATTACACGTCGACGCTATAGTATGAAAGCTATTTACGAGATATCGTTGGTCTTTGGATACAGGCAATTGACCCCACCGTACACAGGGCCATCTGAACGCCAATCTGATTAAAACACAGATCCTATTTCGTTTCTTTTTTTATAGTTCAAAATTTCTTCACAACACTAGGATCTGGAAGACTTGTTATAGAACAGGAGTTCTAGTCGATGTGAGGAATTAGCCAATGAAACGGTCTGTCACGGCGAGTTCTTGGCTTACTCTGCACGAAACTGTGGGTAAACCCCAAGAAACGTCAACGCTGATTGATTAATCAACGTCAGACGTCATAGGGTCAAAAGCCGCGCTATGACCCCTGACGCGACCTCCTAGTACAACTGGTCAGATCTTCATGTAGTGGAGACCATCGAAAGTATAAAAAAACCCAAAACGAAACGAAATATAGATCTGTATTTTAATCAGATTGTCTGAAAGCCTTATCAGGCAAGGTAGGGGCCCGGGGAAGGGGGCACGAGTATAATAAGGGCTCCATGATAATCTATATATGTTGTGACCTGCTGATTCTGTTGAAAGTACCAATACAATAAATAGAATTATAATTTTATTCATGTGAGTGGTTGTGCAGGTAGTTGCCCCAGGGAAAAGCAGTGCACTATATAGTGCTGTTAATAGCTGGACCTGATCTAACACGATTTGCAAGAACTGGAAGCATTAAAAAGGTATTGGTTTTAAACCATATTAGAGACGTCATTTACATATTTACATTGGCAAACGAGCCCGATGAGTTTTGGGAGGGTAGAGGGGCGGGGAAGGGGGGTGGGATGAAATGACCGACGATAAATTCCATTGGAGTCGTCCGCCAGCGAAGTCCAATTTAAAATTAGCCGTGAGTAAACAGCAACTTTTGGAGGAAGGGATATAAATGAAATGCCGAAAAAAGTCCCGATTAGAGTACACGGCATCATGGCCTACGAAGCCGGTATCCCTCGGGCGCCGAAGATGCAAAACGCTAGGTCGGAATGTATGAGAGGCTCCTCGAGACAAATTTGAACATCAGCCTACCACAAACGCGTTTTCCTGGGTTTTTTTCCAGCCCTTAGTACAGCAACTTAAAAGTGTTCTAATATAGCCTTCACATCACCGGTGAGAGTATAAAACAGGTACACGGGTATTGAACATTATATAGGGAAAGTACACCCATTAGTCATAAAAAATATCAAAAAAGGAAAATCGCCTTTTGAGGGCCTTTTCGATGGTGAGCCAATAACTATTTTCTTAAATTTTTACAAAACTAGCACATAAAACACGCTCGATCTTTTTGATATTTTTGATGTCGAATGGGTGCATTTTCCCTATATAAGGCACATCTCCGGTAAGTTGTCAGCAGGGTATATAAAAAAAAGTACACGGGTATTGAACATTATATAGGGAAACCGAAATCCCACCCGTTAACCATCTAAACCAGGCCCGCAAGTACCTTTTTCTCCAGGTTATTGCGCGCAAGTAACTATTCAGTTCGATACAGTGACGTAACTGGAAGAGACCTGGGCCCCATTTCACGAAATCTTAACTAAAGATAAAATTTCATGAAACAGGCCCCATTTTTTAACATAGAGGTGAGACTTCTAGAAGTAAAACGTAGACTTTCAGAAGAAAAAAACCCTGATATGCTCTATACTGATCCCTGGGTAAAGACCCCCCGCCCCCCAGTTGCGAGGGTCGCGATTAGTTAACTTCACTGAGCAGTCGATCTTAAATATTGTATCTATGACTGATTGGCTAATTAAAACAGAGTTTTTCTAACATTCTATTATTATGTACATCTTATATGGGGAGGTGGTAACTGCTCTGCCAATTTTCAATAATAATTGCAGGAAAACCGCAACACACACACACAAACCAGAAGACAAATCTGCCGAAAAGAACATCACAAACACATTACCCTATAATCATTAATTAAAAGGGACAATATACCACCATGTAAACGTACTGTGTTCAATTATTAATTGAAAAGGGAAAATACAACATACTGTGTTTCAATTATATATTTAAAGCACCAATGTATACCACTATGTAACATACTGTGTTTTAATTATCATATATATTTAAAATAATCTCCGTACAACAGCAATACAAAAATAGACTTGGGTTGAAATGAGTTGGTTTATTCACCTTCATAACGTTTCTAGTTAACAGGGGGATCATGGTGGCTAAGTGGGTAAGACGCTGGCTCGCTAGCCTTGAGGTCGGGTGTTCGATCCCTGCATTGGCCAAGAACGTTCATCCAGATTTCCCTGCGTGGTTCCCCCTTGTCAGTGATGCAGGACGGTGGGCCTGACAAGGACAGCTGTCTAGTTTCGGATGGGACAAAAAACCAAGGTCCTGTGTACACATTGGCGTGCACGTAAAATATCCCCCGACAATTGGAAATCGATAGAAGAGTAGCCTGTAGTGCCGCTGTCCGGGCAAGATTTCCATCATAGCACACTGTATGGCATATGGCCGTTTTTATTAGCCCAGTTCAGAGCAGAACAGTAGGACGTTAAACCCCATTTCATTTCATTTTAACAGACCCTTTTTATGTATCTATCAATGCCTGCTCTCTCCCTGCACAGATCTACCAGCCTGTCCAGCCTCTGCTACTCTTGTAAGGGGGCTTAGGGAGTGTCCCCCCCCCCCCCATAATATTATTAAAGGGACAATATAACACCATGTAACGTACTGAAGTTAAATTATAAATTGAATATAAATCACTTGATATACACCCAATTAATTACATTAATATGTGCTTTTAGACCCATTTATGATTCCAAAAAATAGAGCCATATGCCCTTTAAAGACACAATATACTACCATGTAACAAACTGTAGTTTAATTTTAAGTTAAAACATGGAAATAACCCCCTGTTAAAGTAGGTGACTGTTTTTCAAGTATAGGTTTAAAGGACAATTGATAACCCTCTTTATTTTAACTTCTGAGTATAAAGGAAAGAGAGAGAACTGGGGTTTAACATCCACTTTACACAAACTAGTTCATTTTAGGACTAACATGGTTCAATTTTATATCAATAATTCACTTGTGAATAGGGTTTTTTTAGCAGTGGGAGGAAACCAGAGAACGCGAAGAAAACCCAAGAGGTTAGTCTGGCGAACCTACTCCTTGTCACTGTAATTTATAAAGGACAATATACCACCATGTAATAAAATTTTAATTATTAAGTTAAAGGGACAATACAATAACCATAATATAACAACCTACTCCTTGTCACTGTAATTTATAAAGGACAATATACCACCATGTAATAAAATTTTAATTATTAAGTTAAAGGGACAATACAATAACCATAATATAACAATAGACCTACTGTAGTTTCATTATGAATTTAATGGAACAAGAACCTCTATGCAACAGTAGGCTACTAAAAGTTACATTAAGAATGTTATACAAGGTACATATAATATGACTAAATAACAATTATAGAGTATAAATATTATCAGTAAAAAGGTTCCGCAACCAGTACGAAGTATGAACTACAGACACGGCTTCAAACATTATAACAACCATATTAACTAGTTATAACCCCATCAGACCGGGTGGGGGTGGCGTCCTTACTGCACTGCTGCGATCGTATGGCGACTAGAAAATGCACAAGGTCGCCGGCAAACGTGAACACAACGCGAGTAAATGTTTCGAAAAATTACAAACTTGAAAAAAGTCGAGTTCTTACAGCTTTCCAGGCCAGATCGCATAACCTTGGCGTTTGCTTTGAACAAACGCCGTGACTCGGCGATCATTGGCGACCATAGAGACCATAGCACAATATCTGGTATTTACACCACGCTTTTTACCGTGCATATGGCGATGTTGACGCGCTCTGAGACCAATTTTCGTCGCCGTAGCAGCGCAATAATGACGCCACCCAGGTCTGACGGGGGTATAGTATACACATTATCAGTACCGCCGATAGATTTACTAACAGTATCTGATATCGGTTTTACTAATAACATTATGACAATCATATTAACTATTTAGTATAGTATACACATTATCAGTACTGGCCGATAGATTTACTAACAGTATCTGATATCAGTTTTACTAATAACATTAACAAATACCCCTATTAACTAGTTAGTATAGTATTGTAAAACCAAAATAAAAATGGTTGGAGTGCCCAAGTTTAGATTTGTCGTTGATTCCATAAAGTAGTTAGGATTGAAACATGGCGCCCGAAGGGTTTAATATGATGTTGGTACGAATTAGTACCAAATGGTTTATTTATATGAGAGTCAAGGTTTGGACTATGCCTTGGAAATGTGTCTCTCTTTTGTGGACCGAAGTGAGATTGTCCGTTGTATTAACTAGACGGTTAGGCCTGTTCACCTTCGGTTCTGTGTCAATGTTGAATGAGCGGCTTCTTATCAACCTGGTCGGCTCTGGACCGGTTTGATTCTACGTATCTCTCGTAGCTGAGAGAACAAAGATTTTTTAGCCTAGGGAATATTTTCCGTGAAAGTGGTGATTGATTCCGAGGCACTCTTAAATGTCTTCTATAGTTAGTATAGTATACACATTGTCTCCTGTTTCAATTTACTTCCTATTGACTTGGTCATTGGGAATTCCCTACAGGCCTCAGCAAAATTTGATGATAGCTGGTCTGCTGGCTGAATTTGACAGAGACTATAATCAGATAGGTCACCAAATCGCATATTTGGGGTTCATTTTTCAAAATTTTCATGGGGGAGAGCCCCCCCGGACCCCCCGTTTGGGCTCCACTGTCAGTATAAGGGGCCGCTCCGATACGGGAGCCCGGGTCAGTTCCAGGCCCCAATCCGCCCCTGATTCCCTATGGCTCACTTGGTAGAGGTGTGTGGATTCCATGCCTTAAGTCGCGGATTCGATTCCCGATACCTATCACCCTTAAAACTTTATTATCGTCAAAAATGAAACAAATCTGATTGATCACTTCTGTTAAATCTTTTCAATTTTACCTACACACGAATTTTTATGTTGTCTTAGAGACACATTATGTGCAAATTTTTTGCCGCATATTTCACAAGAGAATGGTTTATGCCCGTTATGTGTTCTCATGTGAACAGTTATGTTATACGCTTGTCGAGAACGCTTTCCACAAATTTCACACACATGCTGTTGTTCATGTTTATGTATTTTACTGTGACGGGTTAAAGCCCCATGGTCATTAAAACGTTTGGAACACATATGACACGAAAATGATCTGACGTTATTATGTGTTGTGATGTGTTTTTTCAGATTGTTATTTGTGGCGAATCTCTTTCCACATTGATCGCACTGGTAGTTTTTATCTGTTGAATGAGATTTCATATGTCTGCTCAGATGCTGATTAGTATAACCTTTGTAATCGCAGAGTTCACACGAGAAACTTTTAACTCCACTGTGAGTTTTTAGATGATGTCTTAAATGACACAAGTTTTTGTATTGCTTACCGCATATTTCACACTGTCGTTTCACCCTCACTGAATTCTTCATCACAGGAAGTTTAACAACATGATCTTTATTTGTTTCAGTCAAGATTTTGGTTTTGATATTCTTTGAATGGCATTTAGAAATGTGGGTTTTCAGTTTATTTTTCGTGTCAAAATGTTTGTCACAAACTTCACAACCAAAATCATTTGTTTGTATTTGATGTGATAGTTTGTGTCTTTTAAATGGTTTGTCTTTTTTAAATGTGTTAGTACAAACTTGTTCATCTTCTAACTCTTTAACTTCGTGCCAATCTGGATCATTATTTACATTATCATCATATTCTAATGCATCAGTATCAGAATAAGTCTGGTTTTCTACTTCTGGACTGGTCTGTCTTCCTTCTATTTCATTTCTCTTTAGCATGAAATCAGGTTCTTCTGATACCACATCGATAATTTCATCATCATTAGGACGCTCATCTTTTTCTACTTTTCCTTTAGTTAAATTTTCTTCTAATTTTACTTTAGTGGGTTCGAAACTTTCATTTTCTTCAAATACATCAAACACCATTCCAGCAGAGCCTGTCTGTATGAAAACTGAAGACATACGTAATTTGACATGTCCTTCATCTGTTTGACTCAACACATGTTTTCTCAGTTTTAATTTACCTGCAAAACGTCCGTTGCAGACTTCACATACAAAGTTGTACCTGTTATGATATTGTTTATGTTTTTTAAATGTTGTTTCTGTTTTAAATGTCTTTGAACAAACTGAACACGTAAATTCTGAACCAGAATTAGTTTGTGAAGATGGTCCTGATATCCCTTTGTCCCAATCCAGAACATTTATTTCCAGACTATTAGAAGATTCACCCCTACATTCACCTTCAACTGGAAAATCTGGGTCCTTTGAGCAGATGTCGTCCATTTTTAAAGTGTTAACTTCGTGTAAATCGGTACTGCTTTTTCCTTTGTCATTTCTAATTGTGTTGGAAATCTGATCTGAATATCTGACAAGTACTACTTCATGAGGTCCTGTTGCCATGTCAACAATACTTGCTGGATCATCAGTCGATGATGACCCTTCTACTGCTAAATTATACAACGGTTTGGTCTTTTCTTTGACAATTTTACAAGTCTGCCTGTTATAACTTGAAATTGTTAAAGGATTCTTTTTTATAGAAACATGACGCATGTACGAATCACTTAATTTATCACTTTGTACGGTTATCATGCCAACAGAATGCTGTGCATCATTAGTTGAAGAGCAATAATTGTTTTCTTCTTTCACTTTGGATATCAACATATCCTCTTCTGTCGAAAAACTGCCTGATTTTTCTCTGTTCATCAATGAAGCCAACTGTGATGATGTTAAATCTATTTTTGTAAACGACTGACACAGACTTATCACCATATAGCTACAGTTCAAAGTTTCAGAAACAATTTGATTACAATGGTCTAATATTTTATTGCTATGAAATCCATAACCAGATATTTCAGAACAATGTGACACAATTTCATTCACTGATTTAGTATGTGATTCGATCAGTTTTTCTGAAATTTTAATAATAGTGTTTAAATCTTTGTCTTTTATTCCATAATAAGATGATCCTGCTTCATCCATTTTATAATTTCTATTGTTCTTGCATAACGCTGATACCAGTACTGCAATGTTCCTGAAAAAAAAGACAGAGTTGTCTTGTCATCAGATCTGATTCTGGTAAACTTTGAAGCAATGACATGAGATCAAATTAGATCTCTCTTGTTCTTTCTTTCTTAAGAAGGGAGCCATAGTGCCTCACTAACCAGGAGATCTGAGATTTGATCTCGTTATTGCCTGAGAATATTAGTCAGAATTTTCTGCTTACTTTTCCCTTGCCAGTGTTGCAGGATGGAGGACCTAGCAAGAAACTGTGACTAGCTATTTGGATGGGGTGAAAAACCTGAGGTCCTGAAATGAAATGGGGTTTAACGTCCTACTGTTCTGCTTCGAACTGGGCTAATGACGACGGGCATACACCATACAGTGTTCTATGAGGGAAATTTTGCCAGGGATCGAATTTTGCCAGGGATCGAATACCCGCCATCCAGGCTAGCGAGCCAGCGTCTATATACCCGCTTAGCGACCATGACACACCCCCCCCCCCCCCCCGAGCTGAGGTCCTTTGTAGCCTACACGTTTGCATGCATGTAAAAGATCCCTTGACAGTTGGAATTGATGACAAGTAGGCAATAAATGCTATTGTCCTGGCAAAATTTTCCTTATAACACACTGCCTGGGATATGCCTGCCTTCATTAGCCATGTTGGTGCAGAAATGTAGAAAGCTAAACCCCATTTCATTTCTTAATAAAACTGCCAAATTGTTATCGTGGAAGTTACAAAAAAAATTAATGTAGGCCCTACATACCAGTACTACAAATATTTGCATGCCACATGCAATTACTTGTATAAGCTTAAGTTTATAAAAGAATTTAAAGTAGCTAAGTCTCTAACTCAATATCATCCAAAATCTTCAACATTGAAAACTCGATTTATTTGTCAAATTAAATCAACATTCATGTTGTGATCTTACCGGAAAAAGATGGACTTTTGATATCCAATATTTAAGACAAAATAAACATTTTACCATTGGTACACGAATCGTGTACCATAATGCTCTTCAGCCCCAGTTGTATCGAGAGACTCGAGGGCTGAGGCTAGACACATTGCACCAAATCAAACGGCGTATATAGACTGGAATAACCAGACGCTAGAAATTTGCACTCGCTTGAGACTGCTGGCTTATTTCGCCGAACATAACTGATTTGAAATTGGAGTAAAAACGGAAACCATTGAATGTAAATCAGTTTATATACATTCATACTACAGTATTATATGCGTTGCGACCCACTTTTGTCAATTTCTAGGTCCCAAATGTTAGCGATTTAGCTCCTTTAATTTTCAACAAGTTATTGAGAATTATATAAGTTCCATCGGTTTTTTTTTGTTGACATTACTGTTAATTTTGCAGGTCTTTTTTCTGGCTTCAAATGTTATATAAATTATCATTAAACATTTATTAATGACAAGCCCATAATCAACTCTGTGGGCCATGGGATGCTTCTGATTTTAAGTTTATTAGAACACGGCACCCTGATTGTTAAGTAGGCCTACCGTTGCTACATATGTTGCCAAAACTTCAAACACTCATAACATTTGAACAGAATAAAGTGATTTTACTGAAAATTTCAATATATTATTATTAATTAGGAGTCGAGGCCTATTCATTTTTTTAACATTATCATGAATGGCCAGTTTGATAATTTTTTTTTAATATAAAATATGTTGTGATAGTATCATACTAGACAGCGACAGAATGACACTGACAGTAGACGTAGTGACAGCGATTAGCAGCAGACTAGCTATCAGACAGTAGGCTAGTGTTTCCATCTTCCTCCCTTACCCAACCTTTGTCAAAAACAACTAACTTTGTGATCGATGTTGTCCACTGTGTTACAAACCCTGTCCATGGGCCGAGGTCCAAGACCTGTCAAACATTGCTGTACAAAACCATGAACCATTAGGCCTACATGAACCATTTCTAAAGAAAAAGAGCACCGACAGTCCTCAGTCAGGGGAAACAACTCCAATATCGATTCAACTGGAATCAAACCACTAAATTTTCAGGATTTGACTTTTATTTCTTTCCTAGGCTCCAACTTTTCCCTCAAAACGTTTACACAATACTTCGCGTGTATATTAATTTGATCAATAGCTATGATGCTTACCATGATTATTGATTACCGATCTTTTCTGTGAATGCTCTTGATGCTGTGATTGCTACCTGAAGTGAAATGAACCTATAAGTGGCGAGATAACTTTTGCACATAATATACTTCCAAACTGGATTATAGACTCAACAAACATTTATACGTTTAAGATATCTTTAAAGTCTCAACTTTTAAAATCTATTATTACCTTGTCTATCTTTTATACACCCAGGGGATCACATGGCTAAGTGGGTAAGGCGCTGTTTCGCTAGCCTGGAGGTCGGGTGTTCGATCCCGGCATTGGCCAAGAAAGTTCATCCAGATTTTCCGGCGTGGTTTCCCCTTGTCAGTCATGCAGGACGGAGGGCCTGACAAGGACAGCTGTCTAGTCCTTCAGATGAGACGAAAAACCGAGGTCCCGTGTATATATTGGAATGCACGTAAAAGATCCCCTGGCAGTTGGAATTCGATATAAGAGTAGGCGATAGTGCCGCTGCCCGGGCAAAATTTCCCTCATAGCACACTGTATGGTGTATGCCCGTCTTCATTAGCCCAGTATACACCCAGACTCTTTGTTCTGTGCACTTGAAAGATCTCTTGGAATTTAAGATAAGACTAGACTGTACTGCAGCTGTCCAGGCCAAATGTCCCTCACAGCACACTACACTGTATGACGCAAGCCCATCTTCATGATCCCAGTCGGTGCAGAAAAGTAGGAGGTAAAACCCAATTGCTAAAATCTGACTGAAATTTTCAGCAAAATGCCTTTACATTATGTAGTTTTTAACTATTATAGTGAGAACTGCCAGCTCTTTATCTAATCTCCCATAATGTATCTTTAAATATTTTATATATTCAGCGCTTTATAGATTATTTTATGAACACCTGGTATCACATCTTTGATAGAGAAGATGTCTTGTGGAAGGTTCACATAGCTGAGCATTTTGTTTTCATCCTGGTTTTTTAGTTTTTGAGTATTGGTTGAGAGGAGCCAAACCTCTGGTGCTCTAACCAGAGCTTTTGATACCCGTTTCCTGTTGTCAGGGGTGCGGTGTTTAGTTGTTGGGATGGGAACGAATAAATGCCATTGACGTGCACATAAAAGAACCCATGAGAGATGGAATTCAAAATTAAGAGTAAGCAATAGTAGTGCCGCTGCCTGGGCAAAATTCTCCTTAAATCACACTGCAAGGTATATACACATCTTCATTAGCCCAGTTAGTAGAGAAATGTAGGATATAAAACCCAATTTTATTTGTATTTGCTTGGTGCATTATATCTTTGTTGTTCTGTAATATTTGCTTACTAGCAGGATACCCATCTTCAATAGAAGGCTTGATCTCGCTTTAACTACGTACATCTTATCAAGGCCTTCACGTAATACCCTGCATATTTCGGCACTAATTTCGTATGGGTACATGCCCAGCTTTTGAGCCTATCAAAGTCCTCGATCTTCGTGAATACCAAGTCTCACGCTTTTAAGCTAAATGTCTACATGTGATAATCGAGTTGCAAAGGTCAAGGTTCATTCAATGTCATGGTTTCCTCTGATTGGACGCTACTGTTCACGTGTCGGTAGATAATGTAGCTATAAGTTCGGGAATTGTGAAGTAATCTAGCAACGGCCAGATGTTGTAAACCACGCAGTCATTGCTTCAGGAACATGCAGGATACCTGGCTTTGCCTGTGGCCCAAATTAGACTGGGGCCCAATTTGCCCAGGGCCCAAATTCACAGAGGGGATAATTCGCCCAGGACCCAAATTTGCCCATGGTATAAAACTTTCACGGAGTGGGGGTGGATCGCAGCAACTAAGCATGACAGGCGAACATACATACATACATACATACATACATGCACACACACCCATACACACATATAATATATACATACTTTGATTTTATTTATATAGATATATTTTGGATTGTCTGTGGTGTTCTGTGTTTTCAGTTGTGAAGTTTACATAGCTAACAAATTTGTGTTTTAATTTTGTATTGTGCCATGTAGTGTCAATTTGAACACAGTGACAAAACAAAAAGAAACAAAAGAACAGTTTAATTAGGCTGAGAAAATTTCAGCTGATCCCAACAAAGGTGATCAATAAACAAAAGAATTAAATCATCTATGAAATAATCAATAATATTGCCATATCTATGTATAAAAACATATCCACAATTGCACAAAAATGAAATATTTTTTCTTATAAATAATTTTCATGATTAAATGTCATCTTATTTCCCGAAGGGAGTCACAGTGGCTAAGTGGGTAAGAAGCTGGTTAGGTGTTTGATCCCTGCATTGGCCGAGAAAGTTCATCCAGATTTTCCGGCGTGGTTTGCCCTTGTCAGCGATGCAGGACGGAGGGCCTGACAAGGACAGCTGTCTAGTTCTTTTTGATGGTATGGAAAACCCAAGTCCTGTGTACGATTGGTGTGTACGTAAAGGATCCCTTGAAAGTTGGAATTCGATATAAGGGTAGGCCGTAGAGCCGTTGTCTGGGCAAAATTTCCCTCATAGCACACTGTATGGCGTATGCCCCTCTTCATTAGCCCAGTTCGGAGCAGAACAGTAGGACGTTAAAACCAATTTCATTTCATTTCCCATCATAACGAACGGTTGCCAGGCAACGAAACATATGACCACAGGCAATTAAGTCACAGAATTTTCCAGCAGATTTCGGAAAAATATCACTAACCTGTTCAGTTTTGATGACAAGGAAAACACCTCCACAAATAATTAATGCAAAACCTTAAATTTCAGTCAAGTTAACTCTTAACAAAAACAAGCTGACAGTGAGGCTTATGATCCCCGGACTCAATCTCACATATCATTTAAAGATACATAATATAAGATTTAGATAAAGAGCTGACCATTCTTGCAATAATAGTTCAAAAATAGATAATGCAAAATATTTAATACATGTATATTGAAAAATTTCATGCCAACTACTTTATTTTGAGCGATGTTACCACTGTTTGAAAGTTTTTAAATGAAATGAAATAGGGTTTGACGTCCTACTGTTCTGCTCCGAACTGGGCTAATGAAGATGGGCATACGCCATACAGTGTGCCAGGAGGGATATTTTGCCCGGACAGCAGCACTACAGCCTACTCTTATATCAAATTCCAACTGTCAAGGGATCTGCATCATGGAATGGGGTTTAACATTCTACTTTTTTGCGCCGGTTGGACTATTGATGTTTTGACAAGATGTAGCATAGATTGTTCATCATCATCCTGACAGTACTTGTTAATCGAGATTAAGCCTTGGTTCACCATTTTTAAATTGAATCATTAAATGGTGATCATGTTTCAATCCATTTAAATCTCCACCATCAGATTATAGACTTGTCATGTGAATAAATGTCTAAAGAATAGTTTTCTCAACATCTGAAGCCAAAATAAAGACCTGCATTAAGCAGATTTAGCTCTTAAATAACGCATCTTTAATAATAGTACATTTGGGTTTTTTTTTGTAAAGTACGGAGGACTTGAGTTTTTTGTCTCTTCCAAAAAACTATACACTGTTCCCTATCAGCACCACTGAAAAGGGGAAAACATGCTGAAAAATACTGAGGAACATTTGCGGCAAACACCAGGAGCGAATCCAAGACTTCCTGATTTGCGAGCCAGCACCTTACTCCTAGAGTCACCACGGCTCTCAAGACCTGGATGACAACAATGTACAATGTATAAAACACTTCCAAATATTCATATGACAGTAAAGATTGGTTGAAAAAAAAAAATATAACAAAACAAAAAAGTTCTTTAATACAACATAGTGTATATACTATTAGCACTGTTCGTACCTTTGAACCCTGATCGGAAGATGGGAACACGGGATCTTCAGGATGCGCCATTCATCAACAGCCATAAAGCGAGGGTAGATTATAAAGTAACTATTGCATATTCAGGTTTTCGGTTGTATGTTTTTGGGGTTTTTTTTCTTTTTTTTTTGGCCCCGCCACGCTTTACCCCTTTTGATAATTTCGCTTTCTTTCTACAGTAATTCCAACATATTTTCACTCCAGATCTCACATCTGTAGAAAGGAGGCGAAACGGTGCCACCAGTACACTGATTTGAATAATTTATACTATTATTAATCAATTTGATAAACACATACTAAGTATTAACATTTATAGAGTACTAGCAGGATACTCAACTCCTCCCGGGGCCGAAATTTGCACAGGGCCCAATTCAAAATTAACTGTTGTCATAGTAACGGTTGCAGTGTTAAGATATTTACAAATTATTTCACATAGTCTCAACCAGCCTTGCTGACTATTTCACCATGACACTGTCTTAACCAGCCTTGTTGACTATTTCACCATGACACTGTCTCAACCAGCCTTGCTGACTATTTCACCATGACACTGTCTCAACCAGCCTTGCTGACTATTTCACCATGACACTGTCTCAACCAGCCTTACTGACTATTTCACCATGACAAGATTTTTTACTACAAATATCACAACAAAATGGTTTGTGTCTGTTATGTGTTCTCATATTAACAGTTGATATACGCTTATTGAGAACGCTTTCCGCAAATTTCACACGTCTCCACCAGCCTTGTTGACCATTTCACCATGACAAGATTTTTTATGTTGTCTCAATGAAACATTATGTGCAAACTTGTTACCACAAATTTCACAGGCGAATGGTTTATGTCCGTTATGCGTTCTCATATGAACCGTTATATTATACGCTTGTCGAGATCGTTTTCCACAAATTTCACACGCGTACGGCAGCTCCTCAATATGAACTTTCCTATGACGGGCTAAATTAGTACTTAGAACAAAACTTTTTGGACACTGATCACAATGAAAGGCCCTAATACCAGTATGAGACCGAAAATGTTTGATTAAATCCCCCTTTCGGGGAAATCCCTTTCCACAATGATGACATATATATTTTTTTATCCCTGTGTGACGGATCATGTGTTTCCTCAGGTGTTCATTCGAATAACTCTTGTAATCACAGAGTTCACATGCGAATTCTTTCACTCCGCTGTGTATTTTTAGATGTCGTTCTAGATAACGCATGTCTCCGTACTGCTTCCCGCATATTTCACACTGTCTTTTAACTTTCACTGGATTCTTCCCCACATGAAGTTTAATATGTTCTTTATCTGTTTCGGAAAAGATGTGGGTTTTCAATTTATGTTTCATGTCAAAACGTTTGTCACAAACCTCACATACAAAATCCTTGGTATTGTTTTGTATTTGATGCGACAGTTTGTGTCTTTTATATGATTTGTCTTTTTTAATTGTGTTCGTACAAACTTTTTCATCATCTACCTGTTTAACCTCATCCCAATCTGGATCATTATTTACATTATCATTATATTCTAAACCATCATTATCAGATAATGCAAGGCTTCCCTCATCACTTCCATCATGATCTTCAGTCTTGTCTTCAGAATGGTTTTCTACCTCAGAACTGATCTGTCTTCTATCAGGTTCTTCTGACACCACATCAATGATTTCATCATCACTCGATGGACAATCGTCTTTTTCTACTTTTATTTTAGTTAAATTGTCTTCTAGTTTTACTTTAGTTGGTTCAAATGTTTCATTTTCTTCCAATACATTAAATGCCATTCCAGCAGAGCTTGACAACATTTCACCATTATTCATGCCAAGTTTCACCACAGAACCTGGGTTTATAAAATCTGAAGACTCGACTTGACTAAAAGAATTCTGCGTCATACGTAATTTGACATGTCCTTCATCTGTTTGACTCAACACATGTTTTCTCAGTTTTAATTTACCTGCAAAACGTCCGTTGCAGACTTCACATACAAAGTTGTACCTGTTATGATATTGTTTGTGTTTTTTAAATGTCGTTTCTGTTTTAAATGTCTTTGAACAAACTGAACACGTAAGTTCCGAACCAGAATTAGTTTGTGAAGATGGTTCTGCCATGCCAGCAATACTTGATTGATCATCATTCGATGATGAAGAATCTTCTACGGCCATATTATCAAACGGTTCGGTCTTTTCTTTAACAATGTTACATGTCTGTCTGTTATAACTTGAAATTGTTAAAGGATTCTTTTTTACAGACACACAGCGCATGTATGGATCACTTAATTTATCACTTTGTACGGTTGTCATGCCAATAGAATTCTGTGCATCGTCAGCTGAAGAGGAAATACACTTTTCTACTTTTACTTTGGATATCAACAAATCCTCTTCTGTCGAAAAATTGTCAGATTTTTCTCTGTTCATCAATGAAGCCAACTGTGATGATGTTAAATCTATTTTTGTAAACGACTGACACAGACTTATCACCATATAGCTACAGTTCAAAGTTTCAGAAACAATTTGATTACAATGGTCTAATATTTTATTGCTGTGAAATCCATAACCAGATATTTCAGAACAATGTGACACAATTTCATTCACTGATTTAGTATGTGATTCGATCAGTTTTTCTGAAATTTTAATAATAGTGTTTTTATCTTCGTCTTTTATTCCATAAAAAGATAATCCTGGTTCCAGTGGTAATTTTCTTGCTTGTGCTGTCATACTATATGTCATCCCCTGGATTTCAGGCTCCCTACCTGGTGGTATGTATAGGTCTACCGGTATTGCACCATCCATTTTATAATTTTGATTGTTCTTGCATAAAGCTGGTTCTTCTCTGTTCCTGAAAATATAGATAGAGTTTTCTTGTCATGAAACTGACAAATTTTTGTCTTGAAAGTTACAAAATAAATTAACTAGAAATATTTGCATGCCACATGGAATTTCTTGTATAATCTTTAATCATAAATAATCAAAAGAATTTAATTTTCAACAAGTTACTGAGAATAAAGTTCCATCGTTTATTATGGACATTAATGTTAATTTAGCTGGAAGACGCAGGCCATAATTTTATCTTCCACTGATATGAGAGGTTTACAAGGAAGAAAACATCTTGGAAGTTGTTAGAGGTTTTTTATATCTTCTGTGCTAGAATTTTGATCATGTTTAGTATTTTTTTCATAGATTATCATTTAAGAGTAGGGAGTCACGGTGGCTCGGTGAGTAAGACGTTAGCACGCTAACCAGGAGGTCTTGTGTTCGATCCCTGTTTTGACCGAGAAAGTACATCAGGATTTTCCAACACGAAGGGCCTGGCAAGGGACAATGTATAGTCCTTTGGATGGGATGGAAACTGAGGTGCCATGTACAAAGTTAGGGTTTGAACTGAATAGGCCTAATCATTTATTGATTAAAAGAGTTGGTGGAATTATTGCACATTATATTAAGATGCATTATGTAAAAGCTAAATCTGCCTATTGCAGGGCTTTTTTTCTGGCCCCTACGTCGACATTCAGGTGAGCAGCAGGCGCTCGAGAGCGATCACTCGCCTTAAAAAACAATGACTGTTTTAAGAGTGACGTAACTAGAACTCTAACCAGGAGCCATGGTGGCTAAGTGGGTAAGACCCTGGCTTACTAGCCTGGAAGACTCTGATTCGCTTCCAGTGTTGGCCAAGAAAGTTCATCAGGACATTTCCTCCCGTGGTTTCCCGTTGTCAGTGGTGCTGGAAGGAGTGCCTGGCAAAGTTTCCCCACATAGCACACTCTATGGTGTATGCTCCTCTTCAGCCCAGTCGCAGCAGAATGGTCGGTAGGATGTTAACCCTCCTGAATATTTTTTTTTTTTGTGGGGGGTGGGGGGGCATATAAGTTCAAGTGGAAGTTCTTTATTTTGCGGGGATTAAAGGGAAAGGGAGTCAGGCCAAACATAATCAGGGATGGGGGTTGGCGCGAATGGTTAGCATGTGCGCGCTGTATCATAAGGTCTGTCATTGAGTCAACTGGCGCAGTTTCAAATCCCCGGTTGTACTTGACAAGGAGTAGGGTCACCTGTCCAACCTCGTGAGTTTTCTCTGGGTCCTCTCGTTTCCTCCCACTGCTAAAGACCCCTATTGAATAAAATTAAACCATATGTTAGTCTCGAAATGACCTAGTTTGTGTCGAGTGGACGTTAAACCCCATTTCTCTCTCCAAACATAATCGTCGATTTTACACTTATTTTCCTCGTACGACTGTTTGATGCCAATGTTGCCAGACAAGGTTAGGGTGACGGGTGGACTGCAGTGCCAGAACAATGACGCTGACAGAGATTATAGCTATTACTGTACTACGTGTTTCCATCTACTTTATCAAACCTTGCTCATATACAACTAACTTTGTGATAGATGTTGACCACTGGGTTACAAACCCTGTACAATAGCTGCTGCTCAATACCTGTCAAATATTGCTGTACAAAACCATGAAACATTTCTAAAGAAAAAGAGCACATGTAGTCACCAAAATCAGGGGAAACAACTCCAGCATCGCTTCAAATGGGATCAGACCACCACATTTTCAGGAATTGACTTCTATTTCTTGGCTTGGCTCAAACCTTTCACCAAAAACGTTTATACAAGAGTTTCGCGTTTGTATTAATTAGATCAATAGCTATGATGCTTACCATGATTATTGATTACCGATCTTTTCTGTGAATGTGCATGAGGCTGTGATTGCTTCCTCAAGTGAAAACTTTAAGCAGGGCTGGATTAAACTTGTGGAGGATTTAAGAGTAAAGTGTAGGGTCCAGTGAGTCATGAAGCCCCTTGAACGTTTTTAAAAAAATAGATTTGATTTGGTGCATTCTGGGGTATATACTGGGCGAGTAACACAAGTTAAATAATTTAGAAATAATTAACACTTTTGGGGTTTTACAACACAAGATGTAAACTTCAATCAAGGTAACAGTTGAACATTAAACCCCATTCCATTTCATTTCAATTAAAGTATACATGTAATTCCAAGCCAGTCCTTTTTAAAGACAAATGGTCACTAATGTAACTTACATTTGCTAAAAAAAACTGGCTTGGTTATCTAATGGAACTTTTGATCTTGCGCTCAACTCAAAGTGCAGGGGGACCGGACATTTGTCACAGTTTGCCTTCCTGAGATTCGGTACTGACTGTAAGTAGGGAGATGACTTTGGGACATGGTTCCTGTAATGCAAGTAGATTTCCAAACTGGATTAAAGACTCAACAAACATTTCTATGTTTAAGATATCTTTGAAGTCTGAACTTTTAAAATCTGTTATTACCTTGTTTATCTTTTATACACCCAGACTCTTTGTTCTATGATGGACGATAAACCGAGGTCATGTGTATACTTTGGCGTGCACTTAAAATATCTGTAGATAACTGGATTTCAATATAAGAGTAGGCTGTAAGTGCCGATGCCTGGGCAAAATTTCCCTTATGGCACACTGTAAGGTGCAAGCCCATTTTCATTAGTCCAGTCAGTGCAGAAAAGTGGGACATTAAACCCCATTTCATTTCATTTTTATTCTATGTAGAACATCCCTTGAATTTCAATTGTATTATGTGTTGTGTTTGATATATTATTTTTTTAAAATTTTACCGTAGAGAATACTCCTGAGGAGAGGAGTTCACTAGTCCGCCGCTATAAGAAATACTATAAATATGGGTATCAAAAAACCCAATCCGAACACTGACCCTAAAAATAGATATCGGTGGACTAATGAACTCGCGTACTAGTGCACCTTAACCCTAACCCAACCCCTACTAATAGATATCTGTGTACTAATGAACCCGCGGACTAGTGAGCATTCACCCTACTGAGCAACTCTGTAGTTGGATATTCGGCGCTTTATATAAATACAATGTAGATTATTTTGTTAACACCTGGTACCACTTCTCACATCTGTGATAGAGATGATTTTTTGTAGGAGGTTCACAAAGCGGACCATTTTTTTTTCATCCTGTTTTTTTTTTAGTATTCGTTGGGAGAAGTCAATCCTGTGGCTCACTAACCAGAAGATCCAGCTTTCGATACCTGTTTTCTCTTGTCAGTGGGGTAGTGTTTAGTTTTTCGGGTGGGACAAAAAAACAATGAGGGCGCGTGTAAACATTAGAGGAACTTGTATTAATATTATTAGTCTGAAGGCTCAGTGCGGGGGGGGGGGGGGGGTAATTAGTCCGCCGTTGGGGCGTTTTCGAGATATTCGGGGTCAAAGGTCAATTGCACTGAAAGTGGATACGCAGCCATTCTTGTATCATTAAAACAAGCTGAAAGTGATCGAAAGTAACCACCCTTTCAATAAAAATGTAAATTTGCTAAATTCACCTTTTGTGACCCCGAAGGTCAAAAGATCAAATTTTCCGTTTTTGCACTAGGAAGATTTAAAGCAATAAATGTTAGAGTAAAATATAAAAACTAAAGTCAAACCTGTTCTAATTAATAATAGGAACATTTAAAATTTATCTTTAGGTGGTCTTAGCACCAAACTTTTACTTTGGAACGTCGAAAAAGATCTCGCATAACAGAACCAAAACACTTCGAAACCTGTTTAACAAATACGTAAAAACTGTCAAATCAAAATCTATCCGATTTAGTTTCACAGCGATTGTTATACATAATGAAACTAGTTGTCTGAAAAAACAATTAAATAGTTTCATGGCTGGACTCCAGCCTGCAGACCGCGTCACGAAGCCTATATTATTATACCAAACTTTTCCCCGGTAACATTTACCAATACATTTATATACCGTGAGCTATGATGTACAATGCATCCGTTGGTTTTATCTGTGTCCATGTTCCGGCGAAATTCGTGAAAACTCATAAACAAATTTGCAAACTTTTAATCACGTCGTCAGATACGTGTTTTCCGGTCACATATTAACATCGGTTTTCTCAGATTGGGATTGGAGTCCAATCATGAAACTATTCAATTGATTTTTAGACAAATGATTTCATTATGTATAACAATTGTTGTTAAACTAAATCGGTGAGATTTCGATTTGACTGCCATGGTGAACTACCGGTACCTCTGATTGGTGATGTGCCGTGTGCTAATGAATACGGGCATACGCTATGAAGCATGGTATGAGAGACAATTTGTCTGGAAAACTGTGTTACGGCTTTTTCTTATTTAGAATTCCAAGTGTCAAGGGTTCTTATAATATATGCACGCAATGAGCACACAGGACCTTGGTTTTTCATTCCTTCCGAAAAACTAATGACTGTTCATTATGAGGCATTCTGTCCTACGTACACAACTGACAAGGGGAAACCATGCCGGAATGTCCTGGGGAATTTTCTCGGCCAACAACGGGAGCGAACCTGACCCACAGCGGCTCCCAAGACATGGATGAGAATGGGGTTTAACGTCCACTCGACACAAACTAGGTCATTTCAGGACTAACATATGGTTGCGTGTAGGGCTTTTTTAGCAGTGGGAGGAAACCCGAGGATCTGGAGAAAACCCACAAGGTAGGACAGGCAACCCTACTCCTGGTGACATACAACCAGGGAATTCAAACTACATCATTTGACAGACCTTATGATTCAACATGCATGGGCTAACCATTCACGTAAAGATTGCTTGAAAAAAAAAAGTAACAAAACAAAAAATTTCTTTAATACAACATAATGTATATAATACTACCGGTACTACTACTAGCACTGATCTGAATAATACCATTATTAAAGATGAATTACGTATAAGATTAGATAAAGAGCTGACAGTTCTCACTATAATATTTAAAATCTAAATAATGAAAAGGGAATATCTTGAAAATTCCAGTCAAATTACTTCATTCTGAGCGATGTTAAGGCTGTTTGGAGAATAGCGGAGTCTCAATTGAATTGCTACCATTACGATAGTAAAGAAAGTCTCCAGTATCCATTTATTATTTAAATCATTAACCGCAATTCCTTATGAATCCAAACAGCTTTTCATGATTAACCGTAAAAATGGATAATCAAGACTTTGTTTATTATCGTAACAATGGTAACAATGAAAACCGAGGCTACAATGTTTTTAAAATTCGGTTTTCTCGGCTGAGACTGAAGTAATTTGACTGAAATTTTCAGAATATTCTCTTTACGGTATCTATTTTTTAACTATTATAGCGAGAACTGTCAGCTCTTTATCTAATCTCCCATAATGTCCTTTAAATTTTTTTAAATGCCCAAAAGAAAGTGGGAATATGACACTTTGCGGTTTTTAAAAAGGCCATATTTTGGTGTCACCTATATTTGCGATCTTCAAAATCCTATAATATTTGTTTGCAATTGGGGTGAGACATCCTCTGGGGATTGTCCTTTTAATTGTCTACCACTAAATTGTTTTTGTTTTCTCATATTTTTATTGATATTTTGATTACACATCCTGCAGAAATTTTTAAACGTCAGTAGAAATAACTAAAGTCATTGTTTACAGGCCTGAAAATTTGCTGAATCTATCTGAAGCTTATTATCTTAGTACCATATGCTGCACAAATAGCAAGCTGAAGATGGTAGAGTTGCTATAAATATCACATACAGTCTAGAAAATTTGCTGAATCTTAGTACCATATGCTGCAAAAGCAAATAGCAAGAGTTACTATACTCCAACTTGGAAAATAAATAGGTGGTGAAGGGGATAAGGTTGCTATACTCTAACTTGGTAAATAAAGAAACAAAACCAGAGAGGATGCCCCAGGAGATATCTGATCATGAAACGGTTTTCCTGGAAGTACAGAAATTTGACCCATGTTTAGAAATTTCTCGGATTAAGTGGGAATTTTTGTGTGAGATCAAACTAAATTCAAATTAACTATCGTCATAGTAACTGTTGCAGTTATGATGAATACAAATTATTTCACATCGTCTCCACCAGCCTTGCTGACTATTTCACAATGACAAGGTCTCCACCAGCCTTGCTAACTATTTCACCATGACAAGGTTTTTATGTTGTTTCAACATGCCAAGGGCTCAACCAGCCTTGCTGACTATTTCATCGTGACAAGATTTTTTTACCACAAATATCAAAAAAGCATGGTTTATGTTCATGATGTTTTATCATATGAACAGTTATATCATATGTCTGTCAAGAGTGTAATTTATGTTTATGTCTATCCCTAATATTATGTTACGATGTGTAATATTCACATGTCACAATGGTACATTACCACAAAGTCCACAAGAGAATGGTTTATGACAAGTATGTGTTCTTGTGTATATAGTTATATTATACACTTTCTACAAATTTCACACGTCTCCACCAGCTTTGTTGACCATTTCACCATGACAAGATTTTTTATGTTGTCTCAATGAAACATTATGTGCAAACTTGTTACCACAAAGTTCACAAGAGAACGGTTTATGACCATTATGTGTTCTCATATGAACCGTTATATTATACGCTTGACGAGAACGTTTCCCACAAATTTCACATGCGTATGGCATCTCCACAATATGAACCTTTCTATGACGGGCTAAATAGTTACTTTGAACAAAACTTTTCGGACACTGATCGCACTTAAAGGCCCTAATACCAGTATGAGATCGAAGATGTTTGATTAATTCTCCATTTCTGGGAAATCGCTTTCCACAATGATGACATATGTATTTTTTTATCCCTGTGTGACGGATCATATGTTTCGACAGGTGTTCATTCGAATAACCCTTGTAATCACAGAGTTCACATGCAAATTCTTTCACTCCGCTGTGGATTTTTAGATGTCGTTCTAGATAACGCATGTCTCCGTATTGCTTACCGCATATTTCACACTGTCTTTTAACTTTCACTGAATTCTTTGCCACATGAAGTTTAAAATGATCTTTATCTGTTTCGGACAAGATGTGGGTTTTCAGTTTATGTTTCATGTCAAAACGTTCATCACAAACCTCACATACATAATCTTTGGTATTGTTTTGTATTTGATGCGACAGTCTGTGTCTTTTATACGATTTCTTATTGTTAAACGTCTTGGTACAAACTGAACATGTAAACTCTGAATCATTTTCATCTTCTACTTGTTTTTCCGCGTCCCAATCAGGATCATCATCTACATTATCATCATATTCTAAAGCATCACTATCAGACAATTCAAAGCTACTTTCACTTTCCTCATCTCTATTTTCATGATCTTCAGTCTTGTCTTCAGAATGGTTTTCCACTTCTGAACTGATCTGTCTTCCTTCTATTTCATTTCTCTCCATCATTAAATGAGGTTCTTCGGACACCACATCAATGATTTCATCCTCACTTGATGGACAATGATCTTTTTCTACTTTTACTTTAGTTAAATTGTCTTCTACTTTTACTTTAGCTACATTCTGGTCTACTTTTACTTCAGTTACATTTTTTTCTACTTTTATTTTAGTTGGTTCAATTATTACATTTTGTTCACATACATCAAATGCCATTCTAGCAGAATTCCTGCCAAGTTCCACCACAGAACCAGGGTTTATTAAAACCGATGGATTTGCTGCAGAAGTCTTGACATGCCTTTTAGCAGGTTTAGGTTTTCTTCCTCTCTTAGGAATATTATCTATGTCTCTTGATGAAGACGATGACATGTCTGATTCTATATTAAACGCCTGACACATGTTTATAACAGTGTAGCTACTATTTAAAGTATCTGACACCATCTGATTACAAGTATCTAAGATTTTCATGCAGTGAAATTCACAACCACTGCATATCTTAGAACAATTAGAGACAATGTCATTAATTGATTTGGTTTGTGACTCGATCAGTCTTTCAGAAATTTCAATAATAGTATTTAGTTTGGTCAGGTGTGTTCTGTATATAGGTGTCACATTCTGTAAACTTGAAGTATCGTTGGGTGTTCTGAAATTAAATTTGTAAAAAAAATCACAAATTTAACCATGTTACAAGGATAGTTTTATGGTCAAGTTACCCTGTAACAACATTTAATCTCATTAAATAAATACGTAAATACGACTGTATGGGTGTAAATACGACTGTATGAGCGTACTATCGACGATAAATCTAGCATGATGTCATAACAAATATCAAATTCTGCCAATTGATGTACAAGTTTAATGTCCATCATACTTGAATTCACAGAGCCTTGGGGCTTTTTTCGAAGAATGTTACCCTCAAGAGAAAGAGAGAGCTAGAGAGAGAGGGAGAGAGAGAGAGAGAGAGAGAGGTGGGGTTTAAGTCCACTGGACACAAACTAGGTCATTTTGGGACTAAAATAGGGTTCAATTTTATTTCAATAATTCGCTTGCGCGTAGCGGTCTTAGCACTGGCAGGAAACTGGAGCACCTGGAGAAAACCCATGAGGTTGGACTGGTGACCCTACTATGCTTGTCATGTACAAGCGGGGAATATCGAAACCACACCACTTGACCGATTGAGAGACTTTATGATGCAACACGCACATGTTAACCATTCAGCCCCAACCCCTCGCCCGCCCCAAGAACAATATCATCAAGATGAGTAGGGTTGGGGAACAGTTTCTGGTGCAAACAGTATTTTTACTCATTTAAAAATTTTTTTAATATTTTAATCAAAGAATAACACAACTATTGTTGTTTATTTTTGTAAGGCTCCTAGATATTTAAAGATATATTGCCACGTACAAACTGGGTGATTTAATGGTATATATGGACTAAAAAAATATTCAAACTAATTAATTTGTCATAATTTTGCTTCAAATACTTCTCAAACATTGTAATTGCGAAGGAATGCCCTGCTATAAAAATTTGATCAAACCAGGTCATGTTTACGTCACGTGACTTACCTCTCTTGGAAGTCAGAGTAGAATTCATTGCATACATAAGACGATGTTGTCTTTAATCGCTTACTATTTATTACAAATATCGAATCCTAATTAAATTCTCAGATTATCCACTACCCGCGTCTTTTTCCATTATTTTTATCTCAGAAAGTGTTGTACATCTAACTCTTCATAAAGTTTATCAACTTGTACATCAAGCGCTCAATGTTTGCGTGTGACCTTTGAGATCACGCGTGCAGAAATTCCTAATCATTGGGCTGTCGATTAGGGGAACCCTTACATTTTTGTCCTGTATACGCTCCATGAGTGTTTTTCGGGGAATCCAGTATTTTTCTAGTAAGATTGGATATCTCTACTTTCCTTATACCAAAACTGCCATACTTTTATTGGAAATAAATACCCGATAAATACTTTTATGGGAACCCATCTTTAATTGGTTTAACCATGGGCCTTATAATACATTAAGGAAAATGAAATGTCAATGGTGGTCAAGTCAACCCACTTTACCTGATCGATATACCAGAATTTAGTGATATTAAAGATACATTATGTAAGATTTAGATAAAGAGCTAGCCATTCGTGCTATAATAGTTCGAAAATAGATAATGTAAAATGAATAATTTGAAAATTTCATTCAAATTACTCTATTGCGAGCAAAAATATTAGCATTTGAAGGTTTGACAAGACGTGTGGCATAATTTCAACCACCGTACTGGTTGTTCAAAGCTAAGTCTCGTTCCTCCATTTTTAGCTTAAATCAAAATATGGCTGAACTGTTCTAATCTATTTTATATCGGAGAAATCCGATGCCATCTAGAGTTGATTATGGCCTGGATAAGTTAATTAATGTCTAATAATTTAGAAAACATTTCAGGCCTAAAGAAAGACCTGCAATAGGCAGATTTAGCTCTTGCATAATGTATGTTTAATAAGATTTAAGAAATTACATTGCTTTGAAAGATTTACAATTTCTGGAATCCAGTTTTACATTACAATCTATACAAAGATATTTGTACTGACCGATTTGAATGTGGTGAAGACTTCTTCATTTTGTTGGTTCTATCTACAGACAGAAGTTCTCATAATCTCTAAAAAAAAATGCAATTTCAAAGGATAAACACAATTAAATAGACATGTATTTTTTTTTCCTTTATGTAGACAAGCCTGAGAGACAGTCATGAATGGACTGGTCATGAATGGAATGGGATTTAACATCCTACTTTTCTACACCAACCAGAGAGAGACAAATGGGGTTTAATGTCCACTCAACACAAACTAGGTAATTTCGGGACTAACATATGGTTCAATTTTATTTCCATAATTCGCTTGCGCATAGGGGTCTTTAGCAGTGGGAGTTAACCGGAGGACCCGGAGAAAACCCACGAGGATGAACAGGCAACCCTATTCCTTTTCACCTACAACCGGGGAATCGAAACCACGCCAGTTGACTCAATGACAGACTTTATGATACAGCGCGTTCATGCTAACCATTCAGCCATCCAACCCCCCTACACCAACCAGACTAATGAAGACGAGTTAACATGTCATGCTAGCTACGAGAACGTAGCTAAAAACGTTGAGATATACTGATGTGTTTGTTTTTAGCTATGATTGGCAGCCTTCAGTTTGACGTGGCAAACTCCTTTAGTACACGCCCTTTTTACCATATCCTGAGGTCTGCAATTTATTATCAGGTCCAAAATTGCCTTTTTGATTGGCTGTTATAAAAGCCTAATTTAGCCCCGCCTTCAAAATGACATATTATACGGTCTATATGCTGTTTAAAAAGATGGCGGTCTTAGTAACGGCTTAACGCCTTGATTTTAAATACAACGATTTGTACCCGTTTCAGGTAGGATTATATGCTTAACTGTAGTTGGGTGTTGTAGAAATATTATAAATAACAATAATCAATCGTTGTTTTGATTAAAACTATTGTCAATTTTGTTTAAAAATGCTGGGTGTGAATCGCTCCCGGAGCTGCAACGTTATAGGTCATGGCCTCAGTTCTTAACTCGAAACACGGAGGGTTGAGAGATTAAGGTTTGTTATCTAATGTCATGCATGCTCGCTCCTTTACGAATGGTCTCGGATCAGATGATGTCTTCTCACCGTTCCTATTAAACTGCAATATGAAAATACCACTCTACCCCCCACCTCTGTTCTAAGGTTATTTTGGAATCCTTAACCTCTATTTTTCACCGCCACATCTGACACAAATTTACAATAATTCAACACTTCTTAAAATAGAATTTTGTGTTTAAAATAACATGTGATCTGCGCATGTTCGACCAGTTCAAACATGTTTGTTTTATGTTTTTTAATAAAATTCTACTTGAAAATAGTGTTGAATTATTATAAATTTGTGCCAGATGTGGCAAGAAATAATTGCTTTTGATGATCAAAGAAGATTAATTCACAGTGAAATATTGAAGGTTAGGGTTCCAAAATAGCTGTAGAACAGATTTGGGGGGGGGGGGGCAGTATTTTCATATTGCAGTTCAATAGGGTCGAACAGTAACGTTGAGAGGACATCTTACAATTTTTCATGTAGCTGAGCAGGGGTTGGGGACCCCTCCAGACACCACACCTTGATCCGCCACTGCTAATAGATTAGTAGGGGTTAGGTTATAATTTCCCTATTTGGATTATAGTTATCAAAGTGAATGAGATAGATGTTCATGTCACAAAAGCCTCTGTTGAAATATCGTTAATGAAAAAAGGGAGTCGGATCAAACATAATCGCCCAAACTCAGTCGCAAACCTATTCGCGCGGTACAGCATAATTCATTCTTTCTTTACCTGTCAAACTGCGATGACAACGCCAATAGACCGATCAGTGTAAATAACGCGTGGGAATCCTAAGTTGCCGTCTGACATCCAGGGGATGTCAAAATAAAATATAAATCTGGTTTGATGTCCCAGACTGACATGCAGAGCTTGAGGCAGGCAGTATTTTATTATAAAATTAATACAATTCTCCCGATATATGAAGGGGAGATAACTAGAACTAAATTTTGAAGGATATTGTTTAGTTTCGTATTTATAGATTGGCTGCTAAATTTGTTGAAGATGATCTATAATTACAGAGATAGTAAATTATGGTATTTTTTGTGAAATTAGAACTCTATTATATTGCATTATAACTGCACGACATAAATCGAGGAAATGCGGTTTCTGTCATACGGCTCAAATAAACTTATAATAAATACAGTAGCGCACAAGCAAACTTTCTCTGTATTACTGAACAGCCATATTTGTCTTAAAACTGAAAAATTAAAGGAGCTAAACCTCTAACACAATATTCCATAAAACCCAATATTGGTTCATTTCAATAAATATTGATGTTGTTATCTGGCTGTGAAAACGTAGGATCCTAATATGAACATTTTAAGATCAGTATACGAGTTGTATATTTTTATATTAGTAGTAATGAACACAGAAAAACACAAGACAATACAGGAGTCATTAGTAATAGTTTATTCACCAATGACAAAATAATTTAAAAAATCACGTAGAATGGACTAAGTCGGCGTAAGCGACTGTAATTCAATACACCCATTAATCTACAAACCAGGCCCGTAGCCAGCGGGGGCCAAGGGGGGGGGGGGCAATGCCCCCCTGAAAAAATGTTTTGCAAAAAAAAAATTTGACGTCCATAAAATACCTACTGCATGTAGACTGTGCCCCCCCCCCTTTAAAACTTAACTACCCCTCCGCTGGCTACGGGCCTGCTTTAAACTTGTATTGACGTGAAATGTAGACCACTTTTGACCATGCCATGGACATCAAGTGACTTGTAAAATACTGCATTGCTATGATAAATTTAGCAATTGCATCAATTTCCATAATATTCTCTAGTTGATATACACAAATAGTTCACACCAGAGTGGGGATGGGGGAGGGGAGACTTGGCAAGGTGGAACGATAGCAGCAAGGGAGGCAGAATTTTATAATAAGGTCATTGCAAGGGATTTTGCTATTTGGAACATGGCTGTAACTAGGGGGCGGGGTCGCAGGGAGCTGCAAAAAGTTTCACCCCCCAACCCCGCATGTGAAAAAATTGTCGACTGAGTAGACAGAGTTAGGTAACAATTCCAGATATCTTTGAGTTAATTATAAACCATGTGACATTGTTTTTTTCTTGGAGCCTTGTCAAGAGTTGATATTGTGTCTCTATTTCATTGTGGGAATTATAACCATTCAGGTGTACTACTAGGTTAACTTCAGTGTGTCATAGTGATACATTGTGGGAATTATAGCCTAGATGTACTATGAGGCAAACCTCCGTTTGTCAGAATGATACATGGGCTACCCTCACTCAGTGTGCCATAGTGATAAGTGGGCCAGTCTTTCTGAGTCATAGTGACACATTGTGGGAATTATAGCCATTACATTGTAGGTGTACTACTAGTCTTTCTGAGTCATAGTGATACATTGTGGGATTATAGCGATTAGGTGTACTACTAGACTAACATCTGTGTATCATATTGATACGTGGGCCAGTCTTTGTGTGTACATAGTGGTACATGTTATAGCCTCCTCATAGTGATACATTGGCCAGTCTGTGTGTGATAGTGATGCATTGACTAGCCTCATCATAGTGATACATGGGCTAGCCTCATCATAGTGATACATGGGCTAGCCTCTGTAAATGATCTTCAGCTAGTGTTACATGTGGCTGTCAGTTTTATCCAAAATTGCATGACTGGTACCTTTTTAAGTACATGTAGTAGTACCATTTAATTTGGTCTTGTGATGGCCTTTTGTAACCATATTGTGTTGTGAAACACAATATTTAAATTTCTGTAACAAATGAGACATTCAGAGGGTTAACACGAATTGTGGATAACAGACAAACCGACATTGGTGACATCAAAGTGACAATGATTTGTTGAAATCAGTCAGCCTTTTATCATACTGTACTAAATCTGTTAATGTAAGTCTTGCTTTTGGTTTCATGACAACCCAACAATCATCTCTCAATCATTGGATGGCTGTGATATTGAATGAATTAAAACCTAAGCGTCATTTAGTAATTTAATATCAAAATTGATAACCAAGACCTTTGGAATCACGGTGGCTAAGAGTAACACGCTGACTCGCTGGCCTGGAGGTGGGGTGTTCGATCCCTGCATTGGCCGAGAAAGTTCACCCCTTGTCAGTGATGCAGGACGGAGGGCCTGACAAGGACAGCTGTCTAGTCGTTCGGATGAGACGATAAACCAAGGTCCCGTGTACACATTTGCGTGCACGTAAAAGATCCCTTGACAGTTGGAATTCAATATAAGAGTAGGCCATAGTGTCACTGTCCAGGCAAAATTTCCCTCATAGCACACTGTATGCCGTATGCCTGTCCTCATTATCCCAGTTTGGAGCAAAACAGTAGGATGTTAAACCCCATTTCATTTCATTTTCTTACAATGTTTCTTAATGACAGTTGAATGAAACTTATAGAAATTCTTCAGTCAATGTCGACCAAGGGGAGGTTTTTCTTCCTCCCCTTAAAATGGAGGGGGGTTTATCATCATTTCTGGAACCAGGAATGAACCCTTCAGAACCATTTCCCATACACGCAACTAATCACCACTGACAAAGGGAAACCATGTCGGAAAATCCAAATGAACCTTCTTTGATTAGTATTTAATAATTGAACATATTATTCAAGGTACAATTTTATGGATACACAATTACTGAGTTTAATACTAGCCCAGTATAGGAGCAGAACAGTAGGACGTTAAACCCCATTTCATTTCATCATTTCATTTCATTTCATCTGAATGGCTTCGGCCTTATTTTGTTAATTAGTTTATTGTTATCTGTTTGTATATAACCTTCTGTAACATGTTGATTGTATCATTGATTGATAACGGTGAGATTGATAACGGTGAGAGTGACCTCGTTGAAACGTTGCAGTTAATAAACCTAGTGAATGTCATCCATAAAGCTGTCTGTTATTATCAAAGTATCCTTGTCGTAACGTCGCTTAGTATTAAACTCAGTAATTGTGTATCCATAAAATTGTACCTTGACCCAAATGAACCTGCTCGGCCAATGCAGCGATCGAAAACAAGACTTCCAGACTATCGAGCCAGTGTCTTCTTTGTAGATGACCATAATTATAGTGTGTTTTAACTCCATGCAAAGCTTGATGTGGTTTGTCTAAATGAATTAATGACAATATTCCTACTTCAAAAATGGGGATATAAAAAAACCCATTATATCTTCAAACTTTATTCACTACTTCAACTCCTTTTTCAACTTTTTTGACGATTACACCGTGACAAGATTTTTTATGTTGTCTCAATGATACATTATGTGCAAACTTGTTACCACAAATTTCACAAGAGAACGGTTTATGACCGGTATGCGTTCTCATATGAACCGTTATATTATACGACTGTCGAGATCGTTTTCCACAAATTTCACACACATACGGCATATCCCCAGCTTTATGAGTTTTTTTATGGCGGTCCAAATGACCTTTCAGTGCAAAACTTTTCGGGCACAGGTTGCATTGAAATGATTTAACACCACTATGATATATGAGATGGTTCTTCAACTCTCCATTTCGCAAAAATTGTTTGCCACAATGATTACATATATAATCCTTCACTGTCTTGTGACAAAACATATGTTTTGCTAAATGTTTCTTCGTATAGCCTTTATAATCACATTGATCACATGCGAAGTTCTTTTCTCCCCTATGACGTAACATATGAACTTTAAAATCACTAAAATATTTAAAGAATTTACCACAAAGTTCACACTGTCTTTTTTTCTTTATCAAATTCATCCTCTCATGAAGTTTAAGATGATTTTCATCAGTCTGAGCCAAGACATGTTTTCTCAGTTGATGTTTCGCGTTAAAATGTTCGTCACAAATTTTACACACAAAATCATTTGTTTGCATTTGATTTGATCGTTCGCGTATTTTAAATGATTTCTTTTTCTTAAATGGCTTGGTTTCAACTTTCTTTTTTTTATACTGTTTATCCACGCCCCAATCTGGATCATTATTTACATTATCATTATATTCTATATCATTATCAGACAACTCAAGGCTACTTTCACTTTCCTCATCTCTATTATCATGATCTTTTGTTTCTTCTAACTGTTTTACCACGTCCCAATCAGGATCATCATCTACATTATCATCATATTCTAAAGCATCATTATCAGACAATTCAAGGCTACTTTCACTTTCCTCATCTCTATTACCATGATCTTCAGTCTTGTCTTCAGAATGGTCTTCTACTTCTGAACTGATCTGTCTCTCTTCTACTTCATTTTGATTTTCCATCTCACTCGCATCTTCAAAATGTCTTGTTGCCGTGTCAACAGAACAGGATTCAGCATCTTTTTCTACTTTTACTTTAGTTATATCCAAATTTACATCATTTCCTTCTACACGATTTTCAGATACAATTCCAGCAGAAGTTGACACCCTTTCAGCATTATCAATGTAAAGATTCACCAACGAAGCTGTATCGATCATAGCTGATAGTTTATTTGTGGGAGAACAAACTTGTCTTTTCGCAATTTTCGAAATCTTATTTATGTTTTTTGATGAGGATGGCGACATGTTCGCTTCCGCAATAACTAACTGGCAGAGATTTATCACTGTATAGCTACTGTTCAACGTTTCTGAAACAATCTGATTACAAGATTCTAAAATTTGAATGCAGTGAAATTCGTAACCAGATATTTCAGAACAATGAGAGGTAATTTCATTCACCAAATTAGTTTGTGATTCCATCAAATTTTCAGATATTTCAATAACAGTATTTAATCTAGTCACATCAGTCCCATTCTGTATACTTCTGTTATCACCGGTTCTTCTGTAATTAAAAAAAAAACTTTCATTATTTTAATTTATCTTTGAGAGCATTAGTTGTACATGTAGCTCTCTTATAATTTAAGGAAGCCAATTATTTGACAAATTAGCATCCATGAGTTTTTAAAATATGATTTTCTGACCAACTGGAGTGAAACTACAGGGTTTAAGTTAGTATGTAACTTAAAGCTGAACTTTGATCACAAGACTACAAAAATAATTGAAAAAAAGATAACACCATAAACAATCATCGTACATGTTTTCAATTTGTAGAACAAACATGGCGATTGCGTGAATTCAGCTTTAATGTCCTACAATGTAGACCTACTTGTTTGCACCACCATGGTTAATCAAAACAGGAAATTTGACAGGTAGTGTGCTACATGTTGGAGGGAAATTTTTGCCAATACATCTGCTATTCCAAAAATTCTTCATTGTGCAACATAATGTAGGCCCACAATACATGTATGGGCACTGTTTATTTTTTTGTCCCATCTAATCAACTATCCATTTATCCTTGGTGACAGTCCTGCAATTCAATACATTTTGTCTGGACAGCGGCATTGAGGCCTACACCTATTTTGAATTCTGTAACAATGACAACTGACAAGGGGGAACCACATTATTGGAAAGCAATGAACTTTCTGGGTCAACACCAGGATAGAAAATGGGACGTCAAGTGAGTCAACACCTTACACACTGACTGACTGAGCTACATGTACATGTATCAGTACTACTAGTAGTAGCCTATGCTTCATTGCTTGTGCCAAACCATTTTTACCGTTCATAATGATCCAGTAACCTCCGGGCCATCTCCTCATCATTTAATGCACACGTCTCCTGTTTAAATCGATTCCACCGATCTATTTCAGACGGAATGTTGATCGTTGATTGTTTTATTTTTTTTCTATATTGTTTCTGATATTTACGATCATATTCTCTTCTCGCGGCATTGCATTTACTTTTACTTTTTGGCGTTTGTTGTGGATCAGACATTATAATTACTTCTGCGTTGATTTATGGGATATGTTTTGTTTTGATCTTGATCATGGACTCTTCTCATTACAAAAAGGTACCTCGGACGCGCCCCTTTTACTTGACAGCTTACAATTAATAAACTTATTATATCTAATCAATAAAATTCTAAACAATTTCTTACAAAAGAGGAAGGGGGATAACTCCGAAATTGTCTTGAAGGATATAATTATTTTAGTTTCGTATTCTAAAATTTTCCTGATAATTTATTTGAATTTATTAAAAGAAACAAACGTATGGTCCATAAGAAGTCTAAATAAATATGATAATTAAAAAATTAAAGCTTTATTATAGGACTGAGAATCTATCGACCGTAAGTTTCTAGATGGGGAATGGAAGCGTAAACAACCAAATTTACCAAAAAAGGGATATAATTATAATGCAATCAGTGGCGTCGTGCCCATTGGGGCCTGGGGGGGGGGGGGGCTGGGCCCCCCCAAATTCTCAGGGAAATAAAAATATTTTTATTGATATTATTAAGACAGAAGACCTGTCCGTCTGTTTTAGTCATCACATGGTCTCCAGGAATTGTATAATTTGTCATTATCCGTGTTTAGTTTATTGCACTTTAGTTTAGTAGATATCATTTGTTAAGGCCTCGCCATAGAGCTATTTCTATATAACTCGCTTCGTACACTCTATCATTTAGCCTCGATCTAAAATTTCCGGGAGTATGACGTCAACGTAACGGTTAATCTCCGCTCTCGTCGCCATTTAAAAATTTAATCAATCAATGAAATCCTGTTTAAATCCAAGCCGAATCCAAGCCATCCGGGGGTTTACGTACAGAGTTGATTTTGTGCTTGTTGTGGAAATCCCTATTTATGATTGTATGTTGTATTTGATAAAATATCCATACATGTATACGGGTGTCAAAAATAAAGACTGAAAGTATTTTTTATTAAAATACAAATACATCTAAATACGTATTTGACCATGCATGAAGTTGTTCGAAATGTCCATTCAATAATTAAATCGAAGTTGAGATGAATAAAATTCAGTTTTCGAGTGATAAATTATAATTATCACTAAAAAAAAACGACCATTTTTCAATCATAACTTTATTGTCTCTAATCCATCGAAATGGCGTTTCCGGCTTCTAATTTTAAAAATTTTCCGTACCCCCCTTGCATGCTCATGCCTACTGCATTCGATGTGGGCGGCGCTACCGCCAACACTCTCCGCAGCCAGTAAATTTAATTTACCATGAACACACTTGCAGAAAGTTGGGCCCCCCTAAAAAAATTTTTTGCACGACGCCCCTGAATGCAATGGCGCTAGATTATGAATATATTTAAAAGTTAAGAGTAAAATCTTATTTTGAATTCTGAAATGGAAGGAAACCATGCAGTGTAAATTAAAAAGGATAGGAGTAATATGATCACTTAAAAAAAAGCTCCTGTTATCAATCTGTAGCAGCATGATTTTGAAGTTTTTGGTGTTTACCAATGTGTTTTACAGCGAATTAAAATTATCAAAACGAGAAATGACAATGAAATTGGCAAGTGTCCTAGTAGCATTAGTGGTTATATATTTCCCTTTTTACTAATATTTCGAAGATTACGATAACAGCTAATTTGCAAATATTATTGAAATGACTTTCCATTGACATAACATTGGAATCAAATATGGCAGCTATGTTCCTATAACTGTATGTAGCCTACAGAATGGCTTGAACTGCTATCAACACTGATAAGACAGATTATTGCATATCGGTAAATTAATTTTTGAACCAATAACTAGGAATTTCGTTTCTTCGTCATTGAGTTTTAAAAAGTTATGTCATTCTGGATTTAATCTCGAAAATACGCTTCGCTATAGCTTCAACTTTGTTGGATCAATATTATTAAATATAAAGTTGCATGTCCTCCGCAAATAAGTGGAATGGTATAGATCGCAGTTTATGACAATTACACCCTGTGGTTTTGCATATAAACTAAATATTGGAGAACTGAGAATGGAAACCTTGGGGAACACCAGGGATCTTTGTGACAACAAAGTGCCATTCACAGAAACACTATGTTTCCTATCAGTGATGTAACATTCTAATAGTTTCAATGCAGTGTCGGTTATGCCCAATTCCAGATTCAACCGTCTAAGTCTAAGTAAAATAAAGTATTGAATGCAGATCCCAGGTCCAGTGCCGGATTAACCTTGTGGGGGGCCCGGGACAAACCAACTGTGCGGGGGCCCATTGTCGTTTGTTCAAATTGTTTGTACTGACCGCGGATCGTACTAGTATGTATTCCTCCCCCTTGAGTGCCTGGGGCCCCCAATATCCCTTACTGCCCAGGGACCCAATCCTCGCCCCCTCAGCCCAGGTACTGGTTGGCTCCGGGGCGTCCGGGATAAAATATTAGTATGACCCAGAATTGTGGGGGACCCCTAAATGTGGGGTCCCGGGACATTTGTCCCAATGTGCCCCCCCCCCCCCGGGACTAGATCCGGTACTGCCCAGGTCGAGAATGATCAGAAGGCCACATTCACGTTTGTCTAGGCACAGATTGACATCGTAGTGAACACGTACTAGTGCAGTTGGGGTGCTATGAAATTCCTCCATGAAGTTATTTTCACCGACACACGATGTTACTTGTGCAGCAAAAATGCTCTCCAATATTTTCGAGAAGAAGATGCGGTTTGATACTGGCCGATAGTTTTTGTTCACATTGCTGACTTTAAAATAACTTTTGAGACTTCTTCAGTTGAATAATTCGACGAAAGCTGCAATATAATGATTTTGCCGAACGACGGGTTATCTCACAATATCAACAATTTTATCAGTGTAATAGTAGGAATATTTTTTGGATAGCTATTACTACTGAATCAGTATCAGGAAGTGCAGTTTAACCATGAGAAGGATTCAACAGAGAGTAGCGATTTTGAGTGGAATCGATTTTGTCAGAATATGATTTTTCCTTAAAATCTTGAATTATATTTTTAATTTGACTGTAAGGTTTATTAATATATTTTGATCAGTTAGATTCGACTCACACCATACATGCTCAGAGACGTTTGGCATCTAACAGCCGCTTAACCATTCAACAGAATATCAGAAGCCACGATTAGGAAGAGCACAGAGAAAAACATTTTTATTTAGATCCCTGTTTTGGAGTCATAAGTAGGTTTAGGAATCTGTATGTTGAAGGTTATATAGGGAAATGATCAGATGTTAATTTATTCTTAACATGGAGGCTATGCAGGAGAGAATTCACTATCCTCTCTTGTTATACCGAGGTCCAGGGTATGGTCATGATTGTAAAGTGGAACAATTAACATGTTGTTTAAGTGAAAATGTCTTGAATCGTGATGCAGAGACATTAGATACATTGGTCAGATGAAAACTGAATTTTCCTAAAATTAGAGGTTCGTGATTTGCGGACACATTCCATTGATTGATTTCATGTTCTCAATGAATGCACTGAAAAATACATAATCAGATTTAGTGTAATGTTCCCCTCGATCAATGGAAATAGGGAGCTATCAAATCTTACAGAAGCATTCTGAGAGTCTTTTCTCTCATACAATCTCTCACGGATCTTTGTTTATTGCATGTAATTTAAAAGCAATAGGCCTTGTGGCCCTTCCGTTTGCCAGAAATGTCTATCTGCCAAGACAAGAGAATTTATCAATGAGTTCATAATCTGACTCTGATGGTTTTGTACAACTGCACCCAAAGCACAGAGCAAGCACGCCATAGTCATTACCTTGAAAATCTGATCACGGGACATAGAAAAGGTGAAATGAAATGAAATGTGGTTTTATGGCACGTCAGCACCCACCGGGCTATATTGCGCCAAACATATGGTGATTCGTGTGAGACAAGTTAAATAAATATCACAGAAAAAATAATATATGCACAAATAAAAACAGTAAATAAAATTAAAAATGAAATAAACCTTTTATGCATATTAATATTTAAAATACAAAAATGAAATGATAAATATACAATTAAAATTTATTATAAAAACATGTCTCTTTTAAAAAGTCTAGTATGTTACAATATAAACCCGGTTGGGCAAACAGATGACGTAGAGACTGGCAACGGTAATATTTCGATCTTATGTTCTTGAGATGATTGCACTCAATCAAGATGTGCTTCACTGTCAAAGGAACATGACAGTGTTCACATTCCGGTTGAGGCTCTCGCTTCAAGATGAAAATGTGAGTTAAAAAAGTATGACCAATGCGAGAGCGACACAAAACAACTTCATCCCTCCTGTTGGTTCTATAGGAGCCTGCAAGATCCCAAGACCGTTGCCAGCGGTCATAAATGAAATTATTTATAACAGATTTAAAATCTTTGTAAGGCGTTAAAAATTGTGATATGGGAAGATCTAAAGCAGACTTGGCGGCGTACGCCTTTGTCTCATATGCTCATGTTGCTAAACGAATTAACAGTCAGTTTAAGTTGGAAATCGTAATTTACTCCGAAACAAGCCGGTTGGTGAGTTGGTTAATTGCCCGTCAGTTCGCCCACCAAGTGCCGGGCTTCGCACGCCCCCCCCCCTCTTTCTGAAAATCCTGGATTCGCCCTTGTGTATGTGTACATGACATTTAACTTTAAATTTGAAGATTATTCTAAATTATTTCACATACATGTAGTCTCACTCTCAACCTGGAGATATCTGATCATGAACTGGTGTTCCTGGAAGTCAGAGACTGGACGAACAGAAATTTGACCCATGTTCAGAAATTTCTCGGATTAAGTGGGAATTTTTGTGTGAGAACAAACTAAATTCAAAATTAACTGTCGTCATAGTAACTGTTGCAGTTAAGATGATTACAAATTATTTCACATACATAGTCTCATCCAGCCTTGCTGACTATATCACCATGACAAGATTTTATATGTGTGTGTATGTGTGTGCAAATTAAATTGTTATTTCTATAAATTATAACATCCGTGCAAATTTTCAAGTGATGGGCGGTGAGTGTTAAAAACTGATGTTTTCACTGTATAACTTGAAAAATGAATCGAAAGTATAGTTAAGTAACTCTGTATTTTCTTTTAAGTAATTTTATAGAATTCTTAATCAGTCCAAATAGTCTGTCTATAATATACATGGTATGACTGGTATTTCAACATGACTCTAAAACCAATATTAAGACTATTGTTTTTTAATCTACATGTAACTGATAGAATGATTGAGTGATTTGCTGCAAATTAGCACAAATCATACATCTTTTCAGAAATCCACTTTTCTAAAAAAAAAAAGGGCCCTACATAAAAAAGTAATAAAAGAAAATGTTTAATGCCTTCTTATTATAATTTGTTAAAACTGATTTAAATCTTTTTTTAAAGCTATAATTACATCTATAATGAATTGGATTTTTGTGTCATATACACTTAATTTACTTTTTTGGTGCTACATGTACATGTATAAGACTAGAGGCTTGTCATATTGGAAATATTTATATGGGCCTTAAAATGTAATTGAAAAGTAATTGAAATGTACATGTAATTGACCATTTACATGATTTTTGAAATTTAATTAATTACATTTCCATTACTCATTACTTTTGAAATCTTCCATTACTCATTATATGGCCATTACTTAAAAAGTGTAATGATTACAATTCATTACCATTCCCAGCCCTGCCAAATTTAACTTTGAGTTTTATGAGCACCCAGTATTTGAATTATTTGAATTATCTCCACCAGCTTTGTTGACCATTTCACCGTGACAAGATTTTTTATGTTGTCTCAATGAAACATTATGTGCAAACTTGTTACCACAAATTTCACAAGAGAACGGTTTATGACCGGTGTGTGTTCTCATATGAACCGTTATATTATATTTTTGTCGAGATCCTTTTCCACAAATTTCACACACGTGCGGCATGTCCTGTTTATGAGTTTTTTTATGACGGTGCAAAAGACTACTAACTACAAACTTTTTCGGGCACAGGTTGCATTGATATGATTTAACACCTGTATGAAATATGAGATGTTTCGTCAAATCTTCATTTCGCAAAAATTGTTTGCCACATTGGTAACATGTATATTCCTTCACTGTCTTGTGACAAAACATATGTTTTGCTAAGTGTCTTTTCGTATAGCCTTTGTAATCACATTGATCACATGCGAAGTTCTTTTCTCCCCTATGGCGTAACATATGAACTTTAAAACAACTAAAATATTTAAAGAATTTACCACAAAGTTCACACTGGCTTTTTTTTTTTACCAAAGTCATCCTCGCATGAAGTTTAACATGATTTTCATCAGTCTGAGCCAAGACATGTTTTCTCAGTTGATGTTTCGCGTTAAAATGTTCGTCACAAATATTACACACAAAATCATTTGTTTGCATTTGATTTGATCTTTCGCGTATTTTAAATGATTTCTTTTTCTTAAATGGCTTGTTATCAACTTTCTTTTTTTTATACTGTTTATCCACGCCCCAATCTGGATCATTATTTACATTATCATTATATTCTATATCATTATCAGACAACTCAAGGCTACTTTCACTTTCCTCATCTCTATTATCATGATCTTTTGTTTCTTCTACCTGTTTTACCACGTCCCAATCAGGATCATCATCTACATTATCATCATATTCAAAGGCATCATTATCAGACAATTCAAAGCTACTTTCACTTTCCTCATCTCTATTACCATGATCTTCAGTCTTGTCTTCAACTTCTGAACTGATCTGTCTCCCTTCTATTTCATTTTGATTTTCCATCTCACTCGCATCTTCAAAATGTCCTGTTGCCCTGTCAACAGAACAGGATTCAGCATCTTTTTCTACTTTTACTTTAGTTATATCCAAATTTACATCATTTCCTTCTACACAATTTTCAGACACAATTCCAGCAGAAGTTGACACCGTTTCAGCATTATCAATGTAAAGATTCATCAAGGAAGCTGTATCGATTACGGTTGATAGATTATTCGAGGGAGTGCAAACTTGTTTTTTCGCAATTTCGGAAATCTTATTTATGTTTTTTGATGACGATGGCGACATGTTCGCTTCCGCAATAACTAACTGACAGAGATTTATCACTGTATAGCTACTGTTCAACGTTTCTGAAACAATCTTAGTACAAGATTCTAAAATTTTAATGCAGTGAAATTCGTAATCAGATATTTCAGAACAATGAGAGGTAATTTTATTCACCAAATTAGTTTGTGATTTCATCAAATTTTCAGATATTTCAATGATTTTATTTAATCTAGTCACGTCTGTCCCATTCTGTATAATTTTTGTATCACCGGGTCCTCTGTAATTTAAAAAAGAAAAATTTCATTATCTTAATTTATCCTTAAGTGCATACAAGAGAGAGAGAGAGAAATGGGGTTTAACCTCCACACACACAAACTAGGTCATTTTGGGACTAACATATGGTTTAATTTTGAATTTCAATAATTCGCTTGTGCATAGGGGTCTTTAGCAGTGGGAGGAAACTGGAGGACCCGAGAAAACCCACGAGGTTAGACAGGCGACCCTACTCCTTGTCACATACAACCGGGGATTCGAAACCACGCCAGTCGACTCAATGACAGACTTTATGATACAGATGGCGCAGGCTAACCATTCAGCCATCCAAGCCCTCTAAGTGCATACATTAGGTGTACATGTACTGTACGTACATGTGTGTACCCCTCTTACCCTCTAGTCCCCATAGGGCTACATTTCCATGCTTAAGAATTAGAAATTAAAGATACATTATGGAAGATCAGATAAAGAGCTGGCAGTTCTCTCTCTGTAATAGCTAAAAACAAGATGGTGTAAAGAGAAAATCTTATTTTAAAATCATGGTAGCCTCGATTGTTATTGTTAAAGTCGTCACGATAATTAACAGTCTCCATTATAAAAACCAATGAAAATCGGACACATAAGGTGGCATCGAGAGTTGATTATGTACATGTATGGTCTTTTCATATACCATATTTTAACGCTATTTGAGAACGAGGGGCGGCCATTTTGTCTGTCAGTTTTGGGCCGATTTTCACGAAATTCAAACTCAACCGTCCTTAGGGTTTAACGGTGATATAATAATACGTTTTTTTAAATCGGATAAAAATTATGACCTCATTAGGGTCCACAAGCTAAAAACGTGATTTTTCGTACAATTAGGGGCCATAATTCAGGAAGTTATGTTCAGATATGCGCGAATATCGAAAGGAACCGAGATCTTTGGGTTATAATCATACATTTTAAGTTTAAAATAAATCGGATAAAAATGTGACCTCTACAGTGTTCACAAGCTAAAAACGTGATTTTTCGTAAAATCAGGGGCCATAATCCATGAAGTTACAGTCCGATACATGCCAATAACGAAAGGAACCGAGATCTTAGGGTGATAAACCTATATTTTAAGTTTCATTGAAATCGGATAAAAATTGTGACCTGTAGACTGTTCACAAACAATTGTGGACGGACGGGGGCGACGACAATATACGTCCACATGAAAATGTGGGCGTATAAAAACATTGCGTAATACTAATAGATAATATAAATACAAACATTACATAAACATTAATTTAATACATAAAAAAAACATTTATTGCATAATAGATAATATAAATACATACATTACATACATGTAAACATTAATTTAATACATTAAAAAAAAAATTTCATATAGATATTACATTGTAAATCTCATTTACACTACTGGACCATGAACTCTGGTACATATCCCTAGCAGTATCGACACACTGATACTACCTTCTTTGTACTCGTTCCACGAATTGAAAATTTCATCTTGTCTTTCTGTTCAATTTTTTTTTTTTTTTATCAAATACCTGTTTGAGCAGATTGGAGTGGCATAAGTAAATTGGCTGATCTTCTTCTAAAATTTTATTCACTACTTCTTCAAATATTACTCTGGCTGGACTAATGGATTGGAGATGGCCATGTCTTTTACTTTTATTTGATAAAAAATAAATGGTTAATGTTTATCTCATATTACCTAATCAGATCAGAGGGTGTGAAGTACCTAATTAGGGATTATCCAATCAGTTGATTAATTAGTACCCACCTCTTTCCTTTGAATTACAGCATGGGGAGGTTAAATGGGCTATTTTTCCCCTGACAAATTCTTCAGGACACATGGTTTGTATAACAGTAGCACCACATTGATGTTTTGTTGTCATGTCTCTCAGTTGAAGACTTCTTGACATATACATGTATGTATATCCATTTTGATCTACTAATTTATTTTTTCCTTTGTGCGACCCACTATATATACCACTGTAAACTCTGGTACAGTTGTACCTGAACTTGGTTCACACACCATACATATTCTGGTGAGGCCAAGATGGTGTAGTTATTCCTGAATTTAATGTTATATCAAAAAGACTACCAGATGGAGGATGCTCCATCCATACCGTAGAATTAAAGGCAATATCCACAGCTCTTGAGTGGCTTACATGTACATGTATGTCATCCACGTAACGCAAGCGGATTCTTTTTCCCCACAGGGTTTTTTCTATACGCACTGATGGCGCCAAACATCATTCAGCTGAACCTCCTGTTTTAACGTGTTTTCATTATGACAAAGGGAGAAGATGACCCGCCCTCTCTTCTCACAACAGTGATTTTATAAGTGTGCTTTAAATTGACTTTTTAATATACAAGGACCTTTTATTTTGTGTGTTAACCAATTTTAAGGAGACTTTTGATATACACGGACGTTTGTATTGTATGTTTTTACCAATTTTAAACCAATTAAGTGTAAATAATTTAATTAAATCAACCTGTCCATAATATCATTATTGGACGTTAAATCTTTAATAAACAACAACAAACAACAACAATATTTGCTCAGATATATTGTTTTTCATTAAATTAAAAATGTTTGGCCGTTATCACCAAATTTTTTGGCCGTTGTGACCAAATTTTTTGGCCGTTAAAACCAAACAGTTTGGCCGTTATGACTAAAGTAGGGTCGTTTTGACCAAACCTGTTTTTGGCCTTTATGGCATAGGGCCGTTATGACTACATCCCGTTTTCTTTGAGTACCCCCCACTGCTAAAGACCCCTACACGCAAGCAAATTATGGAAATGAAACTGAACCATGTGGTAGTTGTTCTTCCCATCCGAATGACTAGACAGTTGTCTTGTCAGGCCCTCCATCCTGCACCACTGGCAAGCAGAAACTACTTAGGAAAATCTTACCCACCATGGCTCCATGTGTGACACAACACACTGTTAAAAATACAAGCAAGGAGGTCTAATTTTCTCACTAAAATGTTCCTTTACATTGCACAGGCGTTCACAGGGACTGACATGTGACCATTTACAAGTAAAAAGTTGGCCCAGCAAAATTTACTAGTAGGTCAAAACATTTTAATTTTAACAAAGTAATAGGACAAGTGTCAGTGTGACAACAACACTTACATTATGTTACATATGTACAGACACAGCGTACATTCAGAGCTAAACTAATGATAAGGGGGAACCACACCACGAAACCAATAAAATTTCGAGGCCAACTCTGGGATCAAATGTGGTACATGTATCTCCAGTTTAGGAGTCAACGTTTTTACTCTCTCCTCAGTCACTCCAAACAGCGCCAAATTAATATTTTCTTACCGTTCATAATTATCCAGTAACCTTCGGGCCATCACCTCATCATTCAGTGCACACGTCTCCTGTTTAAATCGATTCCACCGATCTATTTCAGACGGAATGTTGATCATTGATTGTTTTAATCTTTCTCTATATTTTTTCTGATATTGAATCCTTTTTTCCCTTTTTTTCTCAACCGACATTTTACTTCTATTCCTTTTTTTTGGAGATTGTTGTGAGGCATCCATATTTAATTACTTCTTCATAGACCTGTGCTTGTGGGATTTGTTTTGCTTTGTTGTTCATCAACTATCCTCAACTAAAAGTTACTCCCGACGGACCACTTTCATTTGACAACTTTCATTCAATCAGTAAGGTAGTAACTTTGAAGAAAAGAAGGGGAGTAACTCCAAAATTGTCTTGGAGGATATATTTTAGTTTCGTATTCTAAAATTGTCCTAGGTCACGATACAATTTGTACCAATTGTTATATATCTCTGTTGTGAAACTACAAGTAAAAAAATACATGACAGAAAAGATAATGATAGACTACTGACTCGGTCGTAACAGTGTATGGATGGGCCTGTAGTTGTACTTGTAGCTTAAACAAAATCTTTCTCAAGAAAGTTGAACAGCCATTTTCTACAGCGAGAGAGAGAGAGAAAGGGGGTTTAACATCCACTAGACCTAAACTAAGTCATTTCGACACTAACATATGGTTCAATTTAATTTTCAAATTTGCTTGCACGTAGGTGTCTTTAGCAGTGGAAGGAAACCGGAGAAAACTCACAAGGTTGGACAGGCGACCCTACTCCTTGTCACGTACAACTTGGGCATCGAAACCACGCCAGTCGACTCAGTGACAGACCTTATGATACAGAGAGAGAGAGAGATGGGGTTTAACGTCCACTCGACACAAACTAGGTCATTTCGAGACTAACACATGCTTTAATTTTATTTCAATCATTCGCTTGCGCATAGGGGTCTTTAGCAGTGGGAGGAAACCGGAGGACCCGGAGAAAACCCATGAGGCTTGACAGGTGACCCTACTCCTTGTCACGTACAACCCCTTATGATACAATGTGCAGACGCTAACCATTCGGCCATCCAACCCCCCCCCCCCTATATTCTTCAGCACCAGTCTACACCATTTCAATCAATTTTAAATTAAGATGATAAGAGATGAAGAATTTCAATTTATCTAAAAATCTTTGATTTTAGTCTTATAATTTCCATTTTAAATAGGTAAATATTTTTTAAGTTTTATACACAGAGAAATTGGGTTTAACATCCACTTAACACAAACTAGGTCATTTTTTAAACAAGGTGTAGTTATGTACATGTGAAGCGCTGGAGAGCAGCTCGCTGAGTTGAATTGTCAATGTTATATATAAATTTTATTTACTATTATTATGGTTAAATTGTATTTCAATAATTCGCTTGAAAGTATATGTAGGGGTCTATAGCTGTGGGAGGCAACTGGGAGATCGGAACAAAAACACGAGTTTGGTACCTTTGGAGCAACCCCACTCCTGATCACATACATGTGGGCATGAAACTCTATGACAGACCTTATTACCTAAAGCCCATGCATAGGACCATTCGACCATCCACTCTTTTTATCCATAGACAGAGCTGTGAATTTGATGAATTTGAAAAAATAAATCGATTTCATTCAATGATGTTTAATTTAAATTTTCTGATTATTATAAATTATCTCCACCAGCCATGCTGACTATTTCACAGTGACAACAATTTTCTAATGTAAAATAGGCCTACATACACATGTGCACATTAAGCTTTAAATTTTAAAATTATTCTAAATTATTTCACATAGTCTTAACCAGTCTTGCTGACTATTTCACCAAGGTTTTTTTTATGTTCTTTCAACATTAGATGTGTGTGTCTGTACAAATTTAACATTATATTTTTAGAGTATTTGAATCATCTCCACCAGCCTTATTGATTATCTCACCGTGACATGATTTCTTATGTTGTCTCAATGAAACATTATGTGCAAACTTGTTACCACAAATTTCACAAGAAAATGGTTTGTGGCCATTGTGTGTTCTCATATGTACAGTTATATTATACGCTTGACGAGAACGCTTTCCACAAATTTCACACGCGTATGGCAGGTCCTCTTTATGAGTTTTTTTATGACGAGCCAAATGACTACTTTGTACAAACTTTTTAGGGCACAGATTGCATTGATATGATTTAACACCTGTATGATATATGAGATGTCTCGTCAATCCTGCATTACGCAAAAATTGTTTGCCACAATGATAACATATATATTCCCTCACTGCTTTGTGGCAAATCATATGTTTTGCTAAATGTTTATTGGTATAGCCTTTGTAATCACATTGATCACAGGCAAAGTTTTTTTCTCCGCTATGACGTAACATATGAGTTTTGAAATTATGAGCATAAGAAAAGACTTGACCACAAAGTTCACACTGTCTTTTTTTTTTCACCGGACTCATCATCTTATGAAGTTTAAGATGGTTTTCATCAGTTTGAGAAAAGATGTGTTTTCTCAGTTCTTTTTTCAAGTCAAAATGTTTGTCACAAACTTCACAAAGAAAATCATTTTGATGCGATCGTTTGCGTCTTTTATACGATTTCTCTTTTTTAAAGGGGTCGGTACAAACTTTATTTTCTTCTAACTGTTTTACCACGTCCCAGTCAGGATCATTATTTATATTATCATCATATTCTAAAGCATCATTATCAGACAATTCAACACTACTTTCACTTTCCTCATCTCTATTGTCATGATCTTCAGTCTTGTTCTCAGTATGGTCTTCTACTTCTGAACTGATCTGTCTCTCTTCTATTTCATTTTGATTTTCCATCTCACTTGCTTCTTTATAATGTCCTGTTGCCATGTCAACAGAACAGGATACAGCATCTTTTTCTACTTTTACTTTAGATAGATCTACATCTACATCATTTCCTTCTACACGATTTTCAGATACAGTTCCAGCAGAAGTTGACACCCTTTCAGCATTATCAATGTAAAGATTCATCAAGGAAGCTGTATCGATCATGGTTGATAGTTTATTCGTGGGAGCGCCAACTTGTCTTTTCGCAATTTCCGAAATATTATTTATGTTTTTCAAGGAGGATGGCGACACGCCTGCTTCCGCAATAACTAACTGGCAGAGATTTATCACAGTATAGCTAGTGTTCAATGTTTCTGAAACAATCTGATTACAAGATTCTAAAATTTTATTGCAGTGAAATTCATAACCAGATATTTCAGAACAGTGAGATGAAATTTCATTCGCTGATTTAGTTTGTGATTCAATCAGTTTTTTAGAAATTTCAATGACATTATTTAAACTGGTAAACTGTGTTGCGTATACAGGTGTCCCATTCAGCATACTGGGTGTTCTGTAATATAATAAAAAAAACCACAAATTATAAACATCAATCCCATATATAATTGGCATAATTTATCCTTGAGAATATGCATACATACCCCTCCCCCATAACCGTTCATATCCATAAATAGTAAATGTTAGATCATGAATTTAATTCGTGGAACACAACGTTTTCTTCTTACCGTTCATAATGATCCAACAGTATTTGGGCCATCTCCTCATCATTCAATGTACTAGTCTCCAATTTAAATCTGTTCCAACGATCAATTTCTGACACAATGTTGATCGATGATTTTCTTCTTTTTTTATTGTATTGTTTGTCATATTCTTTCTTCTTTTCAATCGCCCAGTCGCTTACAAGTTTTCTTCGTTCATTTCGTTTACGTTTTGACGTTTGTTGTTTAGGAAGTTGCTGTTGCTGTTGTGGATCAGTGACAGTACATGTAAATGTATGAGTATCAGTATCGCCATCGGCCATTTTTCAATTTGACAAGTTCCGTATTGACTTGACGTATAATAATGTTTTGTCTTTGTTCTTCACTCTTCTCAATAAAAATGGCCCTCCGGACAGACCAATTTCAATTGAAAACTTTATGCATGTAATAAAATTATTCGTTCAATCATAGAACAGTAAATATAAACGATCTATGGTTCAATCAATCGATACTGTAAGAAATAAATCTTACAAAGGAACAAGGGAAGTAACTCCAAAACAATTTTGAAGTATATATTTTAGTTTCGTATTTACTACCGGTTAAATCTATTTCAAAAGGCCAGTTGCAGATTTCGCAAGATCACTTCTGAAAGTTCTGATACTTCGGATTCTAGTACTGAAAATACCGATACTGCAACTGGGAATTCTATATTTACTTTAGAATTTAGCAACGATGTCTAATCGGACTCGTGTCCTGTGATGAGCGCAGGGGTGTGCGTACATAAAGATTTTGTTTAGCAAAAATGCGAACGACTGATGCACATGTCCCTAATAATACGATAACGAGTGGCGCAGTCAGGGGCCGAGCACCACAGATGATAGTTTTCTAGGGGCCAGTAGCTGATCTGGAAGCTGGGAATAGGGTGTGGGTGTGGGGTTGGTTCCAAATCTAGGTTGCCATCCACAAATGAAAATGAAATGAAATGGGGTTTAACGTCCTACTGTTCTGCTCCTAAACTGCATGGGCTAATGAAGACGGGCATACGCCATACAGTGAGCTATGAGTATGAGGGAAATTTTGCCCGGGCAGCGGCGCTACGGCCTACTCTTATATCGAATTCCAACTGCCAAGGGATCTTTTATAAGCACGCCAATATGTACACAGGATCTTGATTTTTCGCCCCATCCAAACGACTAGACAGCTGTCCTTGTCAGGCCTTCCGTCCTGCATCACTGACAGGGGGAAACCACGCCGGAAAATCTGGATGAACTTTCTCGGCCAATGCAGGGATGGAACACCGGACAAAATCACACCCCACAATGAATGTCAACAAAATAATGATTATAACACTGGGCCCTGATTCACGAAATTTTAACTTAAGATAAAATCCAAATTTTAGTAGATACCTTAATTTTGATTGGCTAAGCACTAAAATCAATCTAATATTATCCAATCAAATTACTAAAATTTTGATTTTATCTCAGTTAAGTTTTCGTGAATAAGGGCCCTGGGCGTCCCGGCCGGTAGAGCATAGATCGTATTGCCTATATAATAGTTGTTCAGCGATTGTTTTTTCGTCGGAAAGCGGTTATTCAAGTTGACATAAACTTTATGACATATAATATATGATGATTGTTATTGATTTTGTTATTAAATTTATGTGAACCTTAGGGGCAGTAACTATAACACTGAGAAACTTTTGAAAAATTGAATCAATATCCTGGCATTTGTGGTCATTGCTGGGAGCAAATTCTTGTGAACAAGAGAACCAGAAATAGCTGTCAACGGGACAGAATCTCGAAATCTGCCCCTGTCAATTCCGCCTGTTTTGCAAGAGTTGTCGACAGAACATTTGTACAGTCAACGCCCCACAACCCACGCACCAGCGGTACTACTAACTGGGCAGTTCACTATAACCGTGAATATGATAGTGTTGAGGCTGTATAAGACCACAGAGGAGTGGAAGAATGATGTCATAATGGAATCTAGTGGCACATGCCCGAAAAAATTTCAGATATTAGATTATGTAACTGAGCTGTATAAGACCACAGAGGAGTGGAAGAATGATGTCATAATGGAATCTAGTGGCACAGGTCCGAAAAAATTTCAGATATTAGATTATGTGTTGAGGCTGTATAAGACCACAGAGGAGTGGAAGAATGATGTCATAATGGAATCTAGAGGCACAGGCCCGAAAAAATTTCAGATATTAGATTATGTAACTGCGCTTTTAATTTTTGGGGACTGGGCCTGAGGGGACTTTGTCACACTGGGGCGCTTATTTGGTCTCTGAAATGCCATTTACTGGACTTCGGGGTCTGGGGAAAGGTTTTGCAGAATTCTGATGGTCAGAAAATACGTTTTTATTTCTACTGGGATGACATATGCAAGAAGTTCAATAGATTGCCTTAACATTTCATAATTTAAAGATTTGTTTACGTATTTCTGAAACAAACTATGTTTCTCGGTTTTTCTTTTTTTCGGGTTATTTTCTTCAGTCCTTTCCCTAGCATAACCTCAGTCTCATGCTTTATCTTTCGCGGATAATAAGTTATTTCCAATAAACTCCTGATAAAACTAATTATATTATCTTTCAACGCGTGCGCTTTAGATCGTAAGGTCTGTCATTTGGGTCAAGTGGAGTGGTTTCGATTCTCAGCTGGTACGTGACAAGTGGTAGGGTCGCTTGTCCATATAAGGGTAGGCCGCAGCTGCGCTGTCCCTCAGAACACTGTATGGCGTATGTCAGCCGTCTTTAGCCCAGCAGGCAAAGGCCAACGGGTAGTCGTTCGGTGAGACGAATAATCGAAGTCACGTGTACACATTGGTGCACGGAAAATAATACTGGAATTCGATATAACAGTTGGTCGTAGCGCCACTGTCCAAGCAAAATGGCACACGTCCGTCATCTTTAGCCCCTAAGGTGCAGAAAAGTGGGGGATGTTGAACCACAATTTATTTCTCTTCTATTCATAAACAGTGTATTATGTTTTCCAATCTTCACTCCCCATGGGTGCCAATATTCGTTCGGATAAGACGAAAAAACGAAGGTCCGCTGACATGCATTTACAAGAAGTCTTAAAACGTGTATTTCGTTTAAAGGTCACCGGAAAAGGCTTCATAAATCGTTTAAATAATGCAAGTAATTATGTCAAAATATCATTTCTATAAGTATAACAGGATCCCGAATGTCAATATTACCTGCCACAGGTAAATTTCAACGTTAGCGATTTCTGCCGTTCTCCGTGAGTCGTTGGGAAAATCCATTGCCCCTCGGGGAGGGGAGGGGAGGTTGTAACGTTCACTCAATACGAAGTGGGTCATTTTAGGATTAACATAATGGTTCAATTTTAGTTTAATATTATAGTGGGGAGGGGCATACTGTTGGACAATCCAAAGTAATTTTTCGGACAACATCCGCACCGAACCCGTGAAGTCGTGGTTGAAGGGCTAGCACCTTACGGTCTGAGCCAGTTCGGCCCAAACATCTAAATATCATTATGTTAATACACAAATTAAACCAAGTCCCGGTGATTTCAACTTCATGCATAGTCGTTCGGATAGGAAGAAAAACGGCCCTGTATATATATCTCTGTGCACGGAAAAGAACCCTTGACAGCTGGAATTTGACATAGGAATTCTGAGAAAATGGAACAACAGACAAACATTAAAATAAGATTTATTATACATCATGTTTATTTCAAGACAGTATTGTAAAGTAAATTCTGAATCGAGTTTGGCTGAAGAAGCTACGCTAGCTGCTGTTGGCCGTAAACTTTAGTTTTTCCGATGTATTTTATTCATCAAGTCTGAAAGAGAATAAAAAAGTTGATTATAATTAACAATTTACATATGAATCCTGATTGGCCGAATAAGCTATGCTAGCTGGTGTTGGTCGTAAAGTTAGTTTTTCCGATCTATTTTATTCATCAACTCTGAGGAGAAGAGAGATGGAGAAATGGTGGTTAACGTCATTGGCGGATCTAGGAATTTTGAAAAGGGGGGAGTGCGCCGAAAAATGAGGGCACTGACCGCGGAGACGGCGCACGCCGCTGAGACCCCCCCCCCCAAGAAAATTATCCGTCATTTCCTTGCATCTGTAGCCATTCCAAGAGCTATTTGGCTGATAATTTCGTCTAAGTAAACGTTCGGAAATCGTTGAAAAAGAGCCTTAAAATCGAGCATGCGACTCGAAAATTTTCAAGGCGAGCGAGGCATTATGATGGGAAAAAAGACGAATCTATTTAAGTCTTGTAACTTGTACTGTGTACTGTCCACACATGAAACAATGCTGCATCAAGTTGCATTCATGCGCGTCGGTGATGGGCATGAGTGTATACGCCGCCGATTCCACAAGATGCTATCATTGATGTCTGTCTATAGTCACTCTATAGGATTAGGGCACCGTCAGCTAAACAACAATAATTCGTTTGAAAGTGGAAGCATTAATTAGACCAGACTGGTGTGTTTGAGTCGATGGTTTGAGTCATTTGGGATCCCTGCAACGGGTTGGGAACGGACATATTTGGGTCTGAGAAAAGGCACTTTCAGCAGTAAAAAAGGGCACTGTCGAAAAAAAAATTTTTTTTTTTTTTTTTGGGGGGGGGGGGGGGGGCGTCTCGCGCCCCCACTTGGATCCGCCTCTGAACGTCCACTCGACACAAACTAGGTCATTTCGGGACTAAAACAGGTTCAGTTTTATTTCAACAATTCGCTTGTGCGTAAGGGTCTTTAGCAGTGGGGGGAAATCGAAGGACCCGGAGAAAACCAACGAGGTTGGACAGGCGACCCATCAACTCCAGTTGACTCAATGACAGCGCGCACGTGCTAACAATTCGCCCCCCCCCCCCCCCCCGAGGAGAATAAAATGGTTGTTTAAAGATACATTATGAGAGATTAGATAAAGAGTTGGCAGTTCTCACTATAATAGTTAAAAACTAGATAATGTAAAGTCGATTTGCTGAAAATTTCAGTCAAATTAATCTAATATGATCCACTAGTCTCGATCATCAATACTAAAGTCGGAACGATAAAAAAAAACATGATTAAATCATGAATGAAAGTTCAGCAGCAAATTGGATCATAATCCAATAAATATCACAGGTTAGCGTTGACATCGAGAGTTGATTATGGTTTGGATGAGTTAATTAATGTCTAATTAATAAATTAGATAACACTTCAGGAGAGAGAGAGAAATTGGGTTTAACGTCCACTCGACACAAACTAGGTCATTTCGGGACTAACATATGGTTTCATTTTATTTTAATAATTCGCTTGCGCGTAGCGGTCTTTAGCAGTGGGAGGAAACCGGAGGACCCGCAGAAAACCCACGAGGTTGGACAGGCGACCCTACTCCTTGTCACGTACAACCGGGGATTCGAAACCACGCCAGTTGACTGAATGATAACACTTCAGGAATAAAGAAAGTCCTGCAATAGGAAAATTTAGCTCTTGCATAATGTATGTTTAACGTATAGGACTAGAGAAAGGTGGGGTTACCTCCCAAGGGGTTCAAAGAAGGAAACAAATAAAACCGCCATTTCCAAAGATTTTATAGTTGTTAAAGATAAATCGCCATGTGTATTTGTTCCTTTCGTAGGCATCAATAGTGTTTAAGAATATGCTTACTGATCCCTACTCAAAAAAACCTTGTGGGCTGGGCGGTCGAGTATCTCTCTCTCTCTCTCTCTCTCTCTCCCTCCGCCCGCCTTCTCCACCTCCACCCCTCTTTCTGTCCCTCTCTCTCACCCATTCACTCTCCCTATGTCAAACAAATTACTTACACTACACTTTGGACCGATTATAGAGAGAAAGCTGCAGTTTTCCCCATTGACACAGGTGACGCCGTTACATCTACACTCTCCCTCAAAACACGATTCCAACTGAACACAATCGATTTCCTGACATTCTAAAATATAAAAAGAAAATTTAAAATTTAATTTAATAGGCCAGAGTCAAGTGGTGTATTTTCGATCACACAGTTGTACATAACAAGGAGTTGGGTCACATGTACAACTTCGTGTGATTTCCCGTACGCGCAAGCGAATTATTGAAATATATGTTAGTTCCGATATGACCTAGCTCTTTTCAAGTGGACCCTAATCTCTGTCTTTAACACATAGTACTTACCTTCTATACAACTGGCAACACCACCAGTTTCAGTGCAGGTTTGATAATCGCCACAGACGTTGCCGTTGCATTTACACTCTCCCTCATCACAGGTTAGGGGCGCAGTACACTCGACGTTTCTACATGGATCTAAAATATAATTTGTTTTTAAAAAATAGATGGATGAACTTCTATAATGAATGATAACCATTTAAATAAATTGGTTTTACCATGACTTTCCACCATGATACACACTTAATACGGATACTCGATTGAACGTTCAGAAATTGGATTCTCACAATCCCCAAAATAGCGACAATCGAGTTAAACGGGGGATTTCCGGCTACAACGCATGACTAAATTTCACGTTACTCGATTGCAGCTGTATTTATTCGGCACGTTCCGGGCGGACAATCGAACATCCCCACTGATTTTGCGCTCTCAAGTGACAAGTCGCGTGAAATAAAAACCCAAACCTCTTGAAATGTATTCTGGTGGATAACGCTTACGGATTGTTGACTAAATGAAGGCAGGCCGCCATTAATTTCCCAGTTGACTTTAATGTTAATTCTGATCCGTTGCCTAGCTCCAACATTTCCCCAAATGTTCATTAGGTTGGACGCTTTCTACCACAAATAGAGCAACATGTGGCAACCTCTTGCTCAAAAGCATGTATGAGGTTCACCATAGGACTTTGGAGATACACAAATTGGGAGTAGCTTACAAATAAGCATGTAAATGTCCGCACTACATTTTCAACATAACCAGCTCTCTTATCCATCCGCCTCAAAATCATGAATATTCGCCGAAAACCTTGCAGGGGTCAGCGTGTATGGAAGACTCCAGTCATGCCTATTTATAAACCATGGATGTGTTCAGGGAAGGGGTCAGCGACTATGGAAGGATCTAGTCATGCCTATTTATAAACCATGAACAGGGAAGGGGTTATCGACTATGGTAGGATCTATAAAAGTCATGCTCTTTTCAGTTTTGGAATGATAAATTTTTAAGATGGTCACATGATAAATTTGTTCATAAGCTAAAGTACCCAATTGACAGAGAGGTTGTCCAACCATTTCTGGTTGTGTTTACTACACTGGGTTGTGGAAGAGTTATTATATAACAGATGTCCTAGTTACGGCGAGTTCTTGGTGTGCTCTGCACGGAACTGTGGGTAAACCCATAGAAACGTCACCGCTGATTGATTAATCAATGACTGACGGCATAGGGTCAGAAGTCGCTCGTATTACCCCTGACGCGACCTCCCACTACAGCTGGTCAGATCTTCATGTAGTGTAGGTCATCGAAGTAGAACAAAAACGAAACGAAATATAGATCTGTAGTTTAATCAGATGGATATAATCTGGAACCAAGAAATGAAATGAAATGGGGTTTAACATCCTACTCTTCTGCACCTAACCTGGGCTAATTGAAGACGGGCATAGGCCATACAGTGTGCTATGAGGGAAATGTTGCCCGGGCAGCGGCGCTACGGCCTACTCTTATATCGAATTCCAACTGCCAAGGGATCTTTTACGTGCACGCCAATGTGTACACAGGACCTCGGTTTTTCGTCCCATCCGAACGACTAAGCAGCTGTCCTTGTCAGGCCCTCCTTTCTGCATCACTGACAAGGGGAAATCACGCCGGAAACTGGAACCAAGAAGAACCGGATAACGCGTTAACCTGTCAAGCTTGTCACTTCGTTAAGATGTCAATGGAAGCAAGACAAACCGATTGTAGAGTCAAACTGCGACACCGAATCAGTCATGACTCGCCAGAAACCATTGAGGTTTTAAGAATAGTACGAATCGACAACTGACCACCTCCAGAATGTGGTAAGACAACTATAATATTTCAGGACTCTCGTGGTTTTTAATAATATGGATAAAAAATGTCTTACCACAGCATCTCTCACAAACATCCGCATTCTTTACCCTTCGACAGCTGACGTTCCTCAACACCATTCCTCCTTGTCTCCCATAACGCCGATGATTACGATTATGCCAACGACGACCATGCCTACGTGCATCGACAACAGTCATAACTACAGCAACCAGGAGAACAACTGTCAGCAAAAAACGCATGTTGAAAAATTTTCAGACTCACGACTTCACAGAGTAGAGAAATCAGAATGTTAAGTGATTAATTCAGAGATATATGTGTTTATATACAATTCACAGGTAGACAGCTGCTAATATATTTTACGGAAATAAAACAGTTACAAGTTTTTGGAATGTATACACGTTGACAATTTACACAAAAACATCCACGTCATTTATCGATTTTGTTAAGATAGTTTGAGCTTGTGGTGTGTTCTCGTGGCTTTACGTTTTCTGCTCTAACCGGTTTCTGCCCTAACCGGTTTCGTGTGCACTGGGACTTGGGTGAGCTATTGAATTCTTTTTTTTTTAAGTGGAAATAATTTGAGAATTCATTAATCCCGTCGCATCACCTTTGTTTTCCGTGGCTCTATGAATCACCCTGGGGTTCTACCTCGTTTATGAATTACCCTGGGGTGTGTGTGGGGGGGGGGGGAATCTACCTCGTTTATGAATCACCCTGGGGTGTGTGTGGGGGGTGGGAGGGGTCTACCTCGTTTATGAATCACCCGGAGCGATTGGGGGTGGGGGTCTATCTCGTATATAAATCATCCTGGGGTTCTGTCTCGTTAAGTTTTGGTCTAACGCTGACCTTTCTGTGTATAGTTTATGCAATACGCGACCAGGAATACCGGTCAAAAGAGATAAGGTTGTCGAGACGGGATGTAACCAGATCATGTACTAAACACTTTGCTGAATCACTGAAATATATTTACGTAGTTGTCCAATATCATGGTCATTTGGCTGTCGATGATATCACCTTTATTGCAAGCATGATTCGACGGGGCTAGAGTATTAAATCAATTTTTATCAGATTCAGAAAGAAATTTAGATAGTGATTTATCGGAACCAAGAATGACATCTTTAGTTTTATTGTAAAGAGAGAAATTTACGGAGCCCGGTAAGGGACGCAAAAAAAAATAAATATAATAATAATAACCGGCGCGCGCCGGATAATAACGGGCGCGCACCGGATAATAACTGGCGCGCGCCGGATAAATAACTGGCGCGCGCCGGACAAATAACTGACGCGCGCCGGATAATTTCCAATAAGAAATAGAATGAAATGGGGTTTAAAGTCCTACTGTTCTGCCCCGACTGTACTAATGAAGACGGGCATACGCCATATAGTGCGTGCTATGAGGGAAATTTTGTCCGGACAGCGGTACTACGGCCTACTCTTATATCGAATTCCAAATGCCAAGGGATCTTTTACGTGCATGCCAATGTGTATACCGGACATAGGTATTTCGTCCCACCCCAACGTCTGTACGTTGACCGTAGGCTCGCTATCCAGGAGGCCGCTTGTTCCATCCCTGCCTTGGCCGAGAAAGTTTATCGGGATTTCAGTTCCCCCTGCACCATTGATTGACAAGGAGGAACCACGCCGGATAATCATGATGAACTTTCTCGACCAACGCAGGGATGGAACACGGGACCCCCAGATAGCGAGCCAACGTCTTATTAACTGAACCACGTGGCCCCCTTTCCAATAACAAGAGTTGGGTAGCCAAATAAGGTCTGACATTGAATCAAGTGACGTGGTTTTGCTTCCGGCCTTGTACGTGACAAAAGGGGAGGAGGGGTGTCGGGTCGCCTGTTCAACCGTTTTCTTTCGGGTGTTCCGGTTTCCTCCCACTGCTAATCCCCCTACGCACAAGAGAATTATCAAAATACATTGGAAGCATATGTTAGTCCCGAAATGACCTAGTTTGTGTCGAGAAGACGTTAAACCCCACCTGTCTGTTGGTGGAATTGTGCTGTACATGTAGGTTTTCTCCGGTTCATCCGGTTTTTTCTCACGAAGTCAAAACTCAAAACATTGCTTTTCAACTCAAACTACAACTGAAAATTGTGGAGGGGGGGGGGGGGGGAATGGTTAGCACGTGCGTGCTGTATCATAAAGCCTGAATCATAAAGCCTGTATCATAAAGGCGAATGGTTAGCACGTGCGTGCTGTATCATAAAGCCTGTCATTGAGTCAACTGACGTGGTTTCGAATCCCGTGTTCCATCCCTGCGTTGGCCGAGAAAGTTCCTCGGGTTTTTCCGGCTTGGTTCCTCCTTGTCAATCTATGGTGCAGGAGGGACCACGCTGGAAAATGCCGATGAACTTCCTCGGCCAAAGCAGTGATGGAACAAGGGGTCTCCCGGATAGCGAGCCTGCGGTCAACGTACAGTAGTTGGGATGGGACGAAATACCGAGGTCTGGTGTCCACATTGGCATGCACGTAAATGATCCCCTGGCATTTGGAATTCGATAGGGATTTGGCGCAATGGTTAGAGAGTAGGATTTGTGACCGAATGGTTGCAGGTTCGAGACCCGAATTGTGCGCCGAGTTCTTGTGTCCTTGGATAAGACACTTTATCCCTGTATTCCAGTCTACCCAGCTGTAAATGGGTACCGGTAGGATGGTGTATGTATTATACAAAAAACTGTTGCGCTCCTTGAAGCAGCATATGTTGGGGCTCTTTCTAAGAGTTCAGGGGTAAAGGGAGGTAATCAGGCTTTACCTGTATCCTAGAGACCGGGATAAAAATTGTGTAGCGCTTTGAGCATAAACTTGGTTTATGGATATAACGCATTATAAATATACTCATTATGATATAAGAGTAAGCCGTAGTACCGCTGCCAGGGCAAACTTTTTCTCATAGTACGCACTATATATGGCGTATGCCCGTCTTGATTAGTCCAGTAGGAGCAGAACAGTAAGACTTTAAACCCCATTTCATTCTAATTCTTATTGGAAATTATCCGGCGCGCGCCAGTTATTTATTCGGCGCGCGCACGTTATTTATCCGGCGCGCGCCCGTTATTATCCGGCGCGCGCCCGTTATTTATTCGGCGCGCGCCAGTTATTTATTCGGCGCGCGCCAGTTAATTATCCGGCGCGCGCCCGTTATTTATCCGGCGCGCGCCCGTTATTTATCCGGCGCGCGCCCGTTATTATCCGGCGCGCGTCCGTTATTATTATTTTTTTTTTTTTTTTTTTTTTGCGTCCCTTACCGGGTTCCGTAGAAATTACTGGTAAGGTAACAATAAATATGTATTTATTAATATTAATATCAATTTATTCATTTATTAGGTGCCTAAAATCTACTCGATAGCGCAAATACAATAACAAAGGGTACACATCAAATAAAAATTAGGAATAAAATGAAAGCTTTCAATCAATACCTATAAAACAACAGTGAGAAGTTATTAACGGTTATTAACAGATATATGGTTCCATAATTCGCTTTAGCAGTGGGACGAAAACCCACGAAATTGGTTAGGCGGTCCTACTATTTGTCACGTACAAGCGGAGAATCGAAACCACGCCACCTAACTCAATGACAGACCATATGAATTAACAAACACGTGTTTAATCACTAGACAACCCAAACCCCAGTTTGGATGGGTGGTTGGATGGCCGAACGGTTAGCACGTGCTGTCTGTATCATAAGGCCTGTCATTGAGCCAACTGACCTGTTTAACCTCGTGGGTTTTCCCCGGGTCCTCCGATTTCCTCCCACTGCTAAAGACCCCTACGCGCAAGCGAATTATTGAAACGTTTGAAGGTGTGCAGCCGAGGTCAAATGGAAATATCATTGCCGAATGTACAAGCGTCTGGTATTTACAAAATGGCGACAGGGGAGATGAACTATCTCAGCCACCACCGGCAGCTAGCTACCTCCAGGCTAGCGAGCCAGTGGTTAAGTGAGTAAGACGTTCCCATGGCGACGGGCCATTCCAGTAGTAGTAATACTAGGTCTATTACTGTGGAAGATGTAAGTGTATAAATTTTCAAAATTAACAATTATTTTACAAAATGGGAAACCAATTAACCTGAGCTATAGATAAACAATAATATAAAGAGAAGTATGTACGTATTGGAATATGAGTGAACAAGAGTGATCGCTGATGCAGGTGTAAAGAAAAATTAATAATAAATAAAAAATAAAAATATAAAATATATTAATTCAATAAACAGAAAATCATAAAAGATAACTTATTATTAGACTGTAAAATTGGACGGGGGGATCCGTAAATATATTAATTCTATGAATTGAAAGTCAATAAAATATATTATATGATTGTAAAACTGGATAAGAACTGAGAACCAAGATATGTAAAATATATAACTAGACCATGAAACTGGATAAGCACTGAAATGTGCTAATTCTGAAAATCATGAGAGATGACACATGTAATTAGACTCTAAACCTGGACGAGAGAAACCGTAAATATATTCATTTAATAAACTGAAAATCAATACATGTGACATATATTATCAGACTGTAAAATTGGAAAGTCAAGATATGTATAATTAGACTGTGAAAACCGGATAAGCACAAAATTAAAACTTATTTTACAAAATTAAAACTTATTTCACAAAATTAAAACTTATTTGACAAATTAAAACTAATTTATAAAATTATTTATAAAATTAAAAATAAAAATAGGAAATAAAAAAAAATATTTCGTGTTCGAGCTTCCGTAATTTGATACACGTGTTGTCGATAATGTCTGATATTATATGATTTAACTTTGATCATAAAATTTATTTCTTGTTGGGCCTTCCTTATTACAAGGAAATATAGACCTTTTATTATCGTTGTAAATTTTATAAGTTTGAATTCGTACAAAAAACGTTTTGATTTTGGCGATACTTAAAAGGCGTTTTTGTGAGTCGATTTGATTAGGTTTTGATTTGCTAGTACGATTTGGTATGATTTCGATTTGATTAGCTATGGTCCACAAATGTGAAATTAGATAATTACGATTTGGTAAGATGGCTGCCATCAGGGACACCGATCAGAAAAAAAATTGTCTCTGCTAACATGACGAGGGGGGCGTGTGTTTCACGTGTAGTCCAAGTTACCTACAGATTACAGTGACACTGCTGGCACCCAGAGGGCCTAAAATTGCTTAGAGCCAGAGGTGATCTAACATTCTTGTGGACTATAAAGTTAACATTAAAGGAGCTTAATCGCTTACATTTGGGACCTAGAAATTGACAAAAGTGGGTCGCAATGCATATAATACTGTAATATGAATGTATATAAACTGATTTACAT